TGAGCTGCTTGGAAACACCGTTGATAATTTCTCTCCTCTGAATACACGGGCTGCTGCAGTTTCGGCGGCACATTACATACCACTGCGTGCGACGTCAGTGAGCAAGCGGAGCTTCAAAGAGAGAGGACGCCAAGCTCGAGTGAGCCGTGGACCCTTCGTCCTGCTTGAACTCTCCTTCGATGGTGAAAACTCATGACGCCGGGACGCGGCGTGGTAGATGACCTAGCTTTGCAGGCTTTGTGTATCCGGAAACAGTATGACCTACCCACGTCTGGTCCCACCACGCGTGCCATATCTCGAAGCCAGCTTTCCCTGCATTCAGGAGTTCCGACACGCACTCGGGCCATGCCGTGTTACTGTGCAAGCAGATGAGTAGAAGCTCCTCGCACCACAAGGGAGGGCGGAGTATGACGAGCCTTTGGGCCGTCACTGTCACTCAGTCCTTCCTTGCATATCCATTCACGACCGAAGTGCAGTGTTACACCCGTCTGAGGGGTCGGGCCTTGCTTCAGTCCCAATGGAGGTACAGGCTCTTCGTGTTCGAGGTTCTGGAAAAGTCGAGCGGGCCTCGCCAGCACGGTTTCTTGTTCCACTATGAGAGTCGTGTGCGACCTACCTTACCTACCTACCTACCTACCTACATAGTACGTATTGTACCCACCACAGCAGACTCGGAGAGGCCATGGATGGAAGCAGCATCGCCAAAGACACCTCGAGAGAAGACCGGACTGCAGGGAGCATTCCACTGTGCCCTGCTGGGAATCGGCGTGATGCGACTGGCTCAGCTTTGGTCCCAGAGACCAGCTCTCCGGTCTCCCAGCATGCCAGCTAGCCAGACCCCGAAACGCCGTTGCCGTGCCCTCGCACTCCCCCGATCTTGAGACAATGCTAGCTTTGTCTCTCCTGTCACCAGAGCCTCAATGGTTTAGCAAGTACCAACCAACACACCGCCACTTGCATGCGGTCCTCGTCGATGGCTCTGACCCTTGCATGAGCGGGAGCAGGCTGCGACCTCGGCTGGCCACTTTTGAGCCCAGCAGACAGCCGTCTTGTCCCCGGAACACGGCATTGCTTTTCTTTCTGAGATGCCCCCATAGACCCAGTGGAATGTGCTCGGTTCCAGGGCTGCGGTGCCAATGCATCTGCAAGTGTAGGTAATCTGCCCAGGGCGGATAATCATCAGAAAGGATCACATAATCTACGAGCCGACAAGACACCATGAAATTGAAAAGACTAGATCTAGGTTTGCGCTACTGAATATTTTTTGGTCTGGACGTTGTACTGGCAAGTGCCGTGGGTACTCTCAAGTACTCTCAAGATCAAATGGATGTGTTGACATTCCGCAGGGACGGGAGACTGGACTGGCGTCATGAGAAATGTCCGGATTAAACCCTTGGGAAGGAGCGATCTCGCCGGAGAGAACCCCGGCAATAGTGCGGCGGTAGGACCCTTGAGGCAGGCTTGATCGGCTGCCGCTCCAGATGGTGCCTTCCATCGCAAAGACCCTACCTGCCTGCATGCACCTCTTGGCGGGTACTTTTTAGCTGGGACAGACACATCCCTCTGATATTGGGTGCCTTTCCTGCAACACAGCATCCTAAGCTCGAAACAGGTAAACGAGTGCGTCATCAGTCCAGGCCTCGGTCTCCTTTGGTTGCCAACAGCCGTTATTGTCTCAAGCGCAAGAGAAGCCGAGACTGCTCAGCAAATTCAACGTCCGGTTCACTCGAGAACAAAAAGACGAGACAGCAGACGCCCTTCCAACTCGCAATCCACCCGCTTACGAGAAGGACGAAAGGGATATCAAACCCCATCGGAGCTTGCCTGCCTGCTTACTACATGTAAGGTAACCCACGGCAGGGACGTTAGAACGCCAATGCCCGCTGACTGACGCTGAGTAACGTGTCCCTAGCTCCTAGATTACCACTGCTCCGAGAAAGCTGATATGGCATGTAAACAAGTTTGGACAAGACATGGGGAAGCTGTCATAGCTGCCCCATAGGCCGCGATTCGAGCCTCCCGCTCAGAAACCTTTCCTGCCTCGCTTCGTTGACGGGCTTCATTGGAGTGTCGTTGCTTTTGTGGCTTGACGCTATCGTAGGCTTGACCCACGGCGGCGATCGGGGCCTCCGCTGCGTCGGGTTTGTGGCAAGAAAGTACTTGATCACTGACGGGGAGAAGAAGATGTCCGCCGGCCGTCATCCGTACCCGGGGCAGAGATGCAGATCCCAGTCGTGACCCACGCTCAGGACATGTGGTTGACGTGCCCGCCGAGATTTGCGTGACCAGGGGTGGGAGGGGACATGCTGTACGGAAGACAGATCTCTCTCGATTACGGGTCAAAACTAACGATGCTGGCAGGCATTCTTTCTCCACGTTTTTCGTGATCAGGGACCATCTTGGGCTTAGCTTACGACTTGTCGCTTCCCTGGAGTCTCGTTACCTATTGACTCGGTCAAGCCGAGTCGTGGCTTGCAATAAAGCCACACATTGCTTCTTGGCTTTTCTCCCGGCATGCCCCTTGTCAAGACGAGACTGGGTTGAGTGGAACACTGGCAAGACCTTTTGTCTTTAGTGTTGGTCGTTCATTTTCTCGCCTTTTCCCCTCTCTCTGTCTTCTCATCGCGACTTATCTGGTGGCTGGGGGAGGGTTCTTGGATCGAAAAAGGTACCAGGAGGACGTTCGTTGGTCCTAGGTGAGAGCTCCCAAGTTCATATCTCAGACCCACTGACAAACGACCCGCCCTCTAGTTAGCCTCTGGCATGTATGTGGAGAACTGGACACTAAAGAGATGCGCAGCGCCCCAGTCTTTCTGGGTCTCCACCCCGGCGGCTTCGAAACACGCTCTGGACCACGGCTACCAGAAGGGAAATCTGGTTTGGCAGGGGGACAGGGTGACAGGGGAGGGGGAAAGAGGGACCCTAACGAGTACTTACGTAGGTACTCCGTACGCCCTCCTGCATGCACCGACCCTTTCCTTTCAAGCCACAGGGAGAGGACCCTCCCTGAGCTGATCCGTTGCTTTGCTTCAGCTGCCTTCAACCCCGGCCATCCCTGCAACTGCCCCTCCACACTCTGTCAACCCTCGCGATCCGTAACGCGGCCCTCTGCCCTCCCATAGTAACTCTTCAGATGCACTAACTCGCCCTCGAGTGGAAACAGAGTCTCAACGGCCACCGCGACGAGGGCGTTGAAGAGGCCTGACAGAACCCGGGGCTCTGTCTGTGGCTCTCACACCACCAACCTCTGAGGAGGCTCATCTGCCACTGTAACCGAGTTATGCACGATCCATCCAACAAGAACGAACTCCAGTACTGGGATAGAAATCAACGTCTGATCTCCACCCTCAACAGAAGAAAATATTGAGAGGAAAAAACCCACAAGTCAATAATCCGTCGATTGTCTCTTGATCTTTCAGAATATCTGGCATCTCAAGGTGCTTATTATCGCTTTCACTTTGGTCTTGAAAGTAGGGGTATTTATGTCAGGTCTGACAAGTGTCGTGGAGAATCAACCGGCTTTTTGGGGGGAGTTCCCTCTTTTTTTTGTCTTAGGTAGATGGTGAGACCTACGGCACCCTTTGCAGTACCCAGGAATGGGAAAGTTGAGACGACCGTTTTTGGCATCGTCATTCCGCGCCCCATCCATCCATCTTCCCAGGTAGCATGGATCCATCCTGGTTCCCACCTGCACTGCACTGGTCCATGCTTTCAAGAGCCCAACTCTTTTGCATCACCATGAGCTGATTCTAGTTCTTAGTGGCCCCCATCCGTCCATCCCCTGGGGCCAGCCACTTCGGCACCGAACTGACACCGTCAACGTCCGTCACAAGACAGAATAGGGAAAAACGCTCACCCATCCAGCTCGCGCCCCCCTAAATAGGCCGAAGAGCGGAGAAAACAAACCACAGCTGAGATGAGAGGGGCCTTGATGCGGAGCCCTGGCCTGCAGCCCCAGAAGGAAAGACGGAAAATGCGCGGCATATTATTCGTTGCGCCTCTGAATCTCGATTGCTTCAATAACGAGGCGACAGCTCAAAAGTGCTTTACTCGAAACGAGTCACTCAAGATTGGGCAAATTACACCTATCTTAGCATGCACTGACTGACCCCTGACAATCAATCATGACCTTGTCACACAAGTAAACACAGATACGTACTCAATGGACGTTGGCACAAGAGCTAGGTATCCTTTTGGGAGATATCAATTTTCGTTTGTGTATTGATACGTATGCATGCGGGGCCTGCCTGTATAATGCTTGCCGTGTACGTGCATCAAAGCCTCGAAACCATGCTTGTCCACGTCCGTCTCTCCAGCTTTCAGCCTCACTCCCAGCTAGCTCGTCAATGGTGACCATGACGAAGACAGATAGGGAAACATATAAAGACAAAAAAGAGCGAAAGGGGGTATACATATATGAATATATCAAGCGTCCCCTTTGCCAGGTGTATGCCCTCCCTCAGGCCCTGATATTGTATCCCTCCTGGGAGAGGAGGCTCCCTCTGCTACGTCAATATCTATATCTCGCTCGACTCGCAACTCGCCACTCCCGTCATGGCCACGAACACATGGAAGAAGGCCAGCAGGGTTCATGACGAGACGGTGGCAGAAGGAAAGCGAACCCCTGGATGCAAGATGCAAAAAAGCCTGAATGCCCCTGAGAAGAAAACCTAGTGACCAACGCAACTCATTTGCAACGTGGTCTGGGTATTGTTGTGTGCCCCGTGTGAAAACCCCTGAGATGACAAATGCGCAAAACAAAAGAAACAAAACAAAACAAGTAAACAGTAGAGCGATCAGAAAATCAAATGCCAGGGAACCATCCGTGTACCGTCCACTCTCTAGTGAAACATGTTCGCTGTGCTGCGCCAAAAAAAAAAAAAAAGGAACAAAAAGCCATAGATCATAAAAATAGGGACATCGCATGCTATCAATATGCAGGTATGTGCTCTCGGCACATGGGTGTCAGGGGAGATGAGAGAGCCGGTTCTGCTCCGCCATCATGAATGATTTCTCTTCTGCAAGACCCCGGGCCTGGACCTCTCCGACTGGACGACAGAGGGAGCAGGCGTCGTCGAGGGCGACGGCACGGCAATGACGGTCGTGACGCTTGTGTCACTGTTGCCACGGTTCTTGGTGAGCTTTCTGGGTTGTCGTTTTGCCGGCGGTGCTGAGTTGAGGTTCTCAACGGAGCCGTTGTCTGAAGACCGGCGGTTGTCGCTCGACGAACGGCTCAGATTCGTCGGCGTCGTCGATGAAATAGTGCTTTCGTTGTTGCTGGGAACCGGGAGACCCTGCGATGACGTGCCATTCGGCACCGGATGGAGTGGGAGGTGTATGGGTTGTGGTGCTAAAGGAGTCGGCGTTGCTGTCTGGGAATTTAGAGGCGGACTGGGGATCACACCATCCTCGCTAACAGGCTACGGCCAAAGGTTAGAACTTCATCAGGTAGTTAGGTCAGAGCATTTGATCCTAGTGCTTACCTGGGCGCCAATGTACGTGTCAAGCTTCTTCTTTAGCACATCCGATTTGACTGGCTTGGCGAGGTAGTCGTTCATGCCGGCCGCTAGACACTTCTCCCGATCTCCCTGAATCGCGGATGCCGTCATCGCAATGACAAGGATGTCCCGGACCGCCTCGATGGGGTCCTGACGAAGGAGTTTAGTAGCTTCGTAGCCATCCAGCACGGGCATCTGAACATCCATGAGGATGACATGGTAGGGCTCGCCATCCTTGGCCTTCTGGCGGAGGGCCTCAACAGCCTTGAGCCCGTTGTCATAGGCGTCGACGACGTTGTAACCTAGACGTTGCACGTACTGGATCGCGATCTTGCGGTTGATGGGGTTGTCTTCCGCAATGCACACTCGCAATTCGCTCTTGGGTATCTTGCTCAGATCGAGAAACGGGTTGGGCGAGACATCTCTATCAAAGGTCATGCCGTCTGCTGGTGGAGGCGACTTGGCTGAGATCTCAGGCAGGAGCTGTTGGGAAGGTTTGGTCTGAGCATCGCCCGCGGACACCTCGGGTCGTGCCTTGTCGAACGTGACGGTAAACCAAGCTCTGGTCCCCACATTCTCCTTGCTGTCCAGGTAGATCCTGCCCTTCATGATCGTCTCGATAAGCGATTTGCAGATGCTCAAGCCCAGACCGCTGCCGCCATACTTCCTGGCAGTGCTTGGATCGGCCTGGCTGAAGGGCTGGAATAGCTTGGCAAGCTGTGCCGGCGGAATACCAATGCCCGTGTCTTCAACCCAGAAGGTCATGGTGGCTTTGTCGTCAGTCTCGGCATCGACTCGTGCGCCAATGGTAATGGATCCTTTCTCGGTGAACTTCAAGCTGTTCCCTATGAGATTCCCGAGAACTTGGTGCAGGCGAACGGGGTCGCCATAGACGAGCATGTCTGTCGGGAGATTGATCTGCTTGATGATCTGTACCACGCCTTGGGAAGTCTTCTCCTGGTTACGGTAGGACACGGCGCGTACTACTTCCTGGACCATCTCCTTCGGGTTGAAGGCGATGACGTAGAGCTTCATCTTGTCGGCTTCCATCCTAGAGAAATCCAGAATGTCGTTGATGACAGTGAGCAGTAAGTCGGCCGAGAGTCGAATGGATTCGGCCATCTCCTGCTGCTCGCTGGTCAAATTGCTGTCCCGCAGGAGCTCCGAGTTGCCAATGACTCCGTTCAGTGGCGTGCGCAGCTCGTGAGACACGTTGGCGAGGAAGATCGATTTGGCCTTGGCTGCCTCCTCCGCCAGTTTCACATTGCGCTTCGCTTCAGCTTCGGCCTCCTCTGCCAGCTGGACGTTTCGCTTCGCCTCTTGCTCGGCTGCCTTGGCCTTGTTCTCGGCCTCTATCGCCTTGTGCAAGGCTCGTTTCTGGAGGGCAACCATGGAGACATTTTCGGCTGACACCTTCTCTACTGCCTTCATGGAGAGCGCGTTGGAGTAGCTGATGCCAATCTGGTTGACGAGAAGCTGGAGTACGGTAACGTTCCTGTCTGTGAATGACCCTGGCAATCCCTCGAGATAGAGCACTCCGAGTAGAGGCTTGGACCCATGGCAAATTGGTATCGCTATGACAGCTTTGCTGAGCGGGTTTCTTTGCAGCCAGCATTCGCTGACGTTTCCAAAACGCTCGTCGTTGATCAGATCGGCAATAAAGACAGCTTCACGGAAGCGGGTGCTGTAGAGAACGACATTCTCTGCGACAAGTGAGGTGCCCGTCAGTGGTATGCCGGGTTTATGGGCCTCCGCTCCTCGCTCCGGATCGCCACTTGCCGCTACACACCACTCTGTATTCCCTTCGTCCTGGACAACAATCGCAGCCAGAGTAGCAGAGCCACCGCAAGTCTGCAGAATGACGTCGCACATGGTCTTCAGGAGTTCCTCGACTTGAAGAACGGAAGAAATGACTTGGGAAGATTGCAAGATTGCATGCAAGTCAATCATGTCGAGAGCCGGAAGCCCAGCGCCCGCTTCTGGTTGCATGGTCCCTCTCCAAGCCCCCAATCGTTCTCCTTTCAAGGCGAGCATGCCAACTTGGGCGGCCTGATCCGTGAGATGGTCTTCCTCTCCATCAACTTCGACGGCTCTGTATTGGCCGGACGGAGCATCTCCGGCAAAGTCGGTCTGCACACCAACCTCTGTAGTTCGGGGGTTGCGGGTTGGGCCGTGTAGCAAAAGGCTATGCTCCCTCTCGATGCGCTCGGCAATGCCTGTAGCGCCCATCTGTCTGTACAGAGCGATCGCATCGCGAAGCGCGGATCTTGCAGAGCGCCTTGCCGAGTGGCGGACGAAAATGCCCGCCATCAGGTAGTTGCCGAGGGCTTCCTCGAATACGAATTCATGCTCGGATGCATGATCGAGAGCCTCCTCATAGTGCCGAATTGCTCTGCCTTGATCTCCTTCGAGTTCGGCAATCTGCGCCTCCAAGAGCCTCGTCCACGCCAGGTAATTGACATCCGTGACTACTGACCAGTCCAGAAACTTCTGCTTCAGCGCCTCCAATTCTTTGATTGTCTCCCTGACTTGGTCCATGTCATCATCAGGTCTAGCACGAGGATCTTGTTCCTTTCGCAAGATGAGCCCAGCAAGTGCCAAGCCGTAAAACAGTGCTGCCAGTTGCGTGTTTCGCGCCGACCAAAGGAGACCCTCGTTCTGACGGCAATTCTTGCCAACCTCGGCGGCGCGCTCGTAAAAGCCGTAGAGGTAGAGCGGTACAATTTCCACGCTGTTGTAGAAGGCAAGGGCGCGCAGCCCGTTATCACTTTTGCCTTGCAACCAGGTTTTATACGACACGGTGTTATGCTGATCATCGCACATCATGTCTGTGGAACTCGTGATGTTTGTCTTCCCCTGAAGTGCTCGACATACCTGCCTCACGGCGATGAGAAGCGTGCCTCCTCTGGCATCCTGATGCCAGTTCGGAACATCTTCACAAGCAAATTGACAGAATGCCTCGAGATCTGCGCAGTTTTCGCTGGCAAAGAACTTGATCTGGGCAGCCAAGCCAGCACCAAGTATTGCCGAGAGGCGGCCCCCGGCAAAAGCTGCGTACTCGATCGAGCCGTCAAGCTGAGCGGCGGTTGTACTAATAGGGTACTGGACGTGTCCGATAAAATTTGCGAATATCATGTAGCCTCTGGCCATCGAAAAGGGGTCTCGGAAGGCGTCAATCAGCTCCATCGCGTAGCCGGCGAGGTCTACCGCGAGCTGCACCATGTTGAAACGTGTAAGAGCTACCAGCGAGAGGTGAAGAAAGCCCATGCCGGTCTGCGGGAAAGCACCATCTGAGAAGTGTAGCTCCAGCATCACCAGAGCCAGACTGTAAAACTCAACGCAATCACACCACCAAGCAGCGCTGATTGCCTCCACCAAGACGGCGCCAACAGACGACACTCTCGCGTCACTAGCTTGAGTAACGTTGAGTATATCTGCGCGGTCCATGGACTTGATCTTGGCCGAGATTTGCTCGAACTTCTTGTCGCACTCCTCGTACGTTGGCTTCTCATGGTAGTCGATCTCGAGCACCTTCAGACAATCCTTGAGACATCTGAGCGCGGTAAGCGAGTTTCCATTCTGTGAGAAGATCCGAGACTGGATGACATATGCGGGCGCTTTATCCATTGGCGTTTTCGCGCGTTTGAAGACCATGTCCAAGGTACTGTTGGTCAGGGGGTGCTGGCCCATGTACAGATAACATTCCGCCGCGCGAAGATAGAGTTGGCGTGTCTCTTCATAGGAGACGTCTTCGCCGTCATCTGCCCAAGGGTCAGGCTGCAATAGTGCCAAGGCATTGCTGTAATATTTGGCGGCAGATGTTCTTGCACCGTTTTCATTGGCCAGTCCGGCGCATTCACAAAGGAGTTTTCGGTACGGTGCCCGCTCCCGGACTTGGTTCTTGATGATATCGATGGATTCACAGATGTGGAAAGCTGCAATCTCCCTCGATTTGACGTCGTCGCAGTAATACTTCATCAATGTTTGAGCGATGATGAAGTGCATGGCCCTCGAATTGCACTGCTTTAGCGCGGAGGCTGCCTGAACATAGCGGTCATGAGCAAACCGGAACCTATCATCGGTCTCGCTTGAGGTGATGACACAGGCCTGGATGGCAGCTTGCAGACCGGATACCGCCTCTTGTTGGGTGTACACTTGGGCACAAGGACCTTCTGAAAAAGGGTGGCCGGCCTCGTCGAAATATTTGAACTCTCCGGTCAGTAGATGGCACACCATCTCGAACGAGAAGGCGTTCCCAAGCAGAGCGGCCCACGCAAGAATTGACCTTGATGCTGGAGGGAGTTCGTTCAACCGGCCAGTGATAAAGTCGGTGTCGAGAATCTCGTAGTTGCTGTCTCCCTTGAACTGCTCGAACACACGATTCACGTCGTAATGCCACTGGCTAGTATGATAGTCGTACCAGATGCATTTCTTTCGATAGCAGGCACTGAGCATCTCTCTCATGAGGAAGGGGTTGCCGGCAGATTTCACTTGTATAACCATAGCCAAACCTGTCACATCTTCTTTCGGTTTGCACAGCGTTGCAGCGACATATTGTACCAACTCGTCGTCGGTCAAGGGCGAGAGTTGTATCTTGGTGATGGTCGGGCCTCGAGCTCTTGGCATTTCTTCGGTTTCCGGAGGATATACCAGGGCTTCCACCTGCTCCGCAGACATCTCCTCGGGGCGATAGGTAATGATGATGACCATTTTGAGTCGCGAGCTGATGACTTGCGTGATCAGCTCCAAAGACTCTGTGTCGGCAAAGTGGAGGTCATCCAAACAGAAGCAGATGAATTTGTGATTCGTGAACATCCTCAAAAGGTCCAAAAAGGTATTCATGAGCCTGCTCGATTTGGTGGATGTACCGCGTCGCAAAAAGTCCTCCGAGCTTGGCGCAGAGAGTTTCTGGCCCCGCGATAATGAGCTGGGCGAGCCGGGGGATGATCCTCGTCGTCTGAGGCCACCTCGCCCACTCTTGGACCATCCTGAGCTTTGAGAGCCCGATGCGGCCCGCGTGACAGAGTGTTCTACGGGTCCCAGAAGGAATTCGGGCAGACCCAGAACCCGATGTAGATTCGGCCATAGAGGTCGTACATATTGTTTCAGAGACTGGTGAAAAGGAGTCTCGGTGTTCCGCTCGCCCCAGACCTGTCTGAAGAGTGAAGATAGGAGCTTCAACAGGGGCCCAAAAGGGGCTCTGCGAGTGGTCTCGAATTTCGCTGTGGCACAGTAGCCCCTGCGTCGGGCCTCAGCGAGGACAGACTGCACCAGACAGCTCTTTCCAAGGCCGGCAGAGCCCTCCACGGTGACAATCTCGCAGTGACCCCTCCGGCGAAACTTGGCCGATCCCAGCTGTTTTGATAAGCTTGCTGACGATTCCATCGCGGCTGAATAGCGCCCCGAATCACTTCCTGTATTTACCGAGTCCGTCAGACTCCTTGTGTCGAACGGCAAAGGTTGGTGTCTCTCCCAGGCTCTTTGCGGCATCCTGAAGCCAGGCGTCCCGGAGTTGCCCGACGACAGCGTGTCAGATGACAGCGTTTGGGAGTCGGCGGGATGGCTTGAGGGGAAGAGGCCACTCCTCCATTTGGGATCAGACGATACAGTCTGAGTGAAAGACCCGCTGCGGCGATTGCCACCTTCGCCAGAGCTCGCACCTTCGCTGGAAACGTCGGCCCCATCCAGAAACTCGTTCGAGTTGGACAGACTTGAGCCATCAGAAAACCGGTTTCCGGCGGGTGGATGGTTCATCGAGTGACTCTTTGCAACCCTCTCTATGACCTGCACCAATTGGTCACGTTCCTTGTCTCGTCCTATCATGATGGCTGGCATCATGAAGAAGGAGGAGACATCTTTCGAAGCAATCTGCCACTCCTTGAGGGCCAGCCAGTCGCCCCCCCCGAGAAACTCCTGCACTCTGACAAGATCGTGCCGGAGGCCGCTGGCGGATTGATACCTCTCTGCCACATTCTTCGAAGTACACTTCTGAATGATCCTCCCAAGAGCATCCGGAACATCGAGCCGGACTGCGGACACGTTGGGAATGCGACGGCCCAAAACGCCCTGCACAATGTCCAACGCCGTATCGCCTTCGAAAACGGGCTGCTGGGTAAGTAAGCTCCAAAAGAGGACGCCCGTGGAGTAAATGTCGGTTCGTGAATCGGGTTCGGCAGGCATTCGGCCAGTCTGCTCTGGACTGATGTAAAGCAACTTGTTCTTGGCCCCAAGCTCCTTGGACAGAACAGACCAACCGGTGCTTGTCAAGCCGTGCTCGAAAGATCGTAGGCCCGACCCAAAGGACACCAACTTGACCTTGCCCGTCTCAACATTGTAGTGGAACGCATCGCCGCGGATCTCGCCATGTGTTAGGCCGAGTCCATGGTGAATCATCTCCAAGCATTGTGTCGCACCGATGGCGAAGTCAAGGAAGTTCTGTAAGCTGATAGGAGGGTCGAGCTCAAAGAATCCTTTCCGATATGCCTCATAGCCTTCAGGGCCCTTCCGCGCATAGTAAAATGCCGGGCCTAGGTCGAGTAACTTCGGCAAAGCATTTGGTCCAGGGTCCTGATAGATAGCAACTACATAAACCCCCCGGTCGCCCTGCTGAGGCGAAAGCTGAACGAGGTCAATCGGCTTGACCAGATGTTCGCCTTCCGGATCTGCAGTGGTACTCAAAGACTTGCTCGTATGGAACGTCCTCTCCTCTCGAAGAACATTGAGCGATACTCGGGCAATAATAGGTTCTTCCGCGAGGGCTGATCCGGCTGCGTCTGCTGCGTTGATAGGCGGTGATACAACTGGGACTTCGCTGTTGGCATCTGGGAGCGCGGATGGATCGGCGGGGGAAGCTCGGCTTGAGGTGAGCTTCGCGATCGAAGAGGGACTGGCCGCACTATTGGCGGAAGGCGACAGGGCTGCGGAAGGTGCCGAAGGCGCAGTGGCGTAAAGGGAGACAAATCTCGTCCCGAACACATGCCTGATGAGTGTAACGAGGTCAGAGACAGAGCCTAGCCTACCATGGCCAGCACGCGCATTGACGGAAAAGACTTACCAGCTGTCATAGCTTGAGTGGAAAAGCGGTCTCGATTCATCCCATGCGAAGCCAGGTATCAGCCGCAGACGTTCGAAGAGGCGTGCCGGCGGATCGATCGACTCGTCAGTCATGACAACCGACCCGTCCATGTTGCCGGCCTGGCCGCGACCACAAATGGCCCGGATCGCTTCAAAAGGTGCAGACGGCTTGGAAGATCCGGTGAGGAGATGCGCTCATTTTCGACTGGCAGCAAGGTGGTGATGAGCCTCTGAAATGTGCCGTGGTGTTCACTCTTGCGGTATTCAGGGAGCGCGTGGTGGTCCAACGGGTTCGGCAGTCGCTCCGCCTTTCTTGAGCCCTTTGAGGGATAAGAGACTGGACTGGCGAGGTTGTCGGAGCACCAAGGGACCCGGCTCGTGGGACGAGAGCGAGACCTCTCGAGGAGCGAGTGATACGTTCGAGGACGTCCAACAACGGGCTGTCCAGACCGTCGACTTGTCGTGATGGTGGTGCGTGGGGTCAGGAGGAATTTGGTCGGCGGTCCGCTGGAGTCACAGCACTGGCTTTGCCTGTGGTGGGCACAGGCACAGGGCGATCGGTGATGGCTGTTGTTGGGATGGTTGGTGGATGACCGGTGGACTTGGGATAGACCATTTCGCGGCCGCACTACGACCAAGCTAACTAGGGAAGTAAGGTAGGTAGGTAGTCTCTACCTACCAAGTAGTACTTGTAAGGTCGCATGGATGCACGCACTACGTAGTTTGGCGGGTGGGTGGACCCAGCTCAGAGACAGAGAGGAGAGATGCTAGCTTGGCTCGCTTGGGTAGTGGCTGTGGAAGGGACCGCACGCGCGCGCTGGAATCAATATGGATGCCCTTGAAAGCTTGAAAGCCACGAGAGAGGCATGGATCCTGCCAAGGCACCCAGAAAGAAGCAAGTACAGTGGACATTTACTCTCAGGCCAGGCATGTCGCTAAGGTAGCTGGACGTATGGATCAGCTCAGCAAGCCAGCCAGATCAGACAGAAAGAATGCCGTCGTGCCACTACCTGTAGTCAAACTCGTTAGCACCCGACTCCTCTCTCCCTGTATGCGTCCCCGAGCAGATCTTAACGCAAATGTCCTCTTCGGGCGCACTCCTCTGGCTAGGATCGCCTCTTGGCGTTTGCTAGTCCGCTCCCGAGGCGGCAATTTGGCCAGCTTGTGGCGAAGACCCTACTCCCTCCAAAGACCCTCTCTCCCTGGGTATGGGATTGACACGAGTCACAGTTGGATTGACTCTTTTTACCTAGCCACTGCACCTTGAGTGTGCTTGTGTACTGGGCAGGTGAGCCAGGTCAGTCCGTTGAAACTCTCACCACCAGCGACTCCCAGAGAGGCGTATGAGATGAGAAGCTTCTCGCTTGCCCCAGCGACCAATTAATTACCTGCCCTTCCTCTAACGGGAAATATGACGACAGTGGCAGGTTTGAACAGGGGGCCGCGGTCCGCCCGTCTCCTGCATAATGCTACCTCCCTTCCTTGTCTACGGCCAATCCCGTAGCAGCGTCCATTCTACAAGTAAAACCAGACAAATGAAGACATGTTTCCCATGCCATGGCGAATTTTGCAAGCTTATGTAATAGCCATCAGGCCATGGATGGATGGGTGGTCTCAATTTGGTCGAGGGGTAAAGACGATGGCAAATATGATCGAAGTGTGCCCAAATGCCATAATGGAGAAAGATCTGCAGTTTGCTCAGCAGACTACTTGTACTGTAGCATTCAGGCATTCAGTGCTTGAAGAACTGGAAAAACTCATCCAGTCAAACCGACCAGCTGGTCCATCAGAATGCAGTACATTAACTACTTTCGAACGCATCCCGCGCGATGCCCAAGTTTGAAGTCAAGTTACAAACACTTTTCGCTCTATTTCTATATGTAGCCCAAGGCAGAACGAACAGGTCTATGTTCAAGGCAAAATTTAAGTGCTGCGAAACAGATCAGCAAATCCTGTAAATCAGGCGACCCCTTTCGGAAAAGCGCTGTCGCACTGTATCGGTACCAGCCAGCTCTCGATATGTTCGCTAACCCATCAACATCAATTCCCGCTCAACCATGTATGTCCGGTTCAAATCATTCATTAGTCTAGCACTGTAGTGCGTTCGTCTGCATGGCATGTCACGCCTCGAATATGACGTGTTCATTTCACCTGCTTAGAGGACTTGCGGGAATGGCCGCCAGTGGCAGAGACGTTTGAGGCAGCTCGCTCCCGCGTCGGAAGCTCCTGAGTACCGTTAGTGCCATTAGATTTGGCCTCGGAAGCTGCGCCAAAGGCGAATGTCTGTGCCAGTCGGCGCTCGTTGTTCTGCCGCGTGTTGACAAAGTCCGGATAGTTGAGTGTCAACTCGACCGAGCCGGTGACAATGTGGTCTGCGGCCTCGACGCCGAGCATAAACGAGTGATCCTGGTTACCAACCTATATGAAAAGTTAGAAACAGACGTCCTGACATTCGCAGTCCCCTTGCTCAGCCCTTGCTTACCTCGTATCTCCAGCTGCCGAAGCGGCCACGGGAGTAGATGTCCATATCCTGAAGCTTAGGAAGGAGCTCCTTGAGGACACCCTCTCTCTCCAAGCTAGGAGTAGGGTAGCCGTGGTCAAACTTGCGGTGGTAGGTGGACACGATCTCGTCCTCGGGCTTGACCATCTCCGTGTTGATGAGGCCCTGGATACAGTCCTTAAGAAGGTTCTCTTCGTCAACGGGCTTCATGGAGGACTGAGAAACCTCCAGCATGATAGACCAATAAGGTCCCTCCTTGGCGTCGCTGGAGCTCGGCTTGCTACCATTGGCAAGGGCAATGGTCGGCAACTTGACATCGGCCTGAGGCTGGTTGAATTCCGAGTAGTTGGAGAAAATAGTGGCTCGGTAGAAGGGGCAGTTGTCCTCGGGGAAGTAGAGCTTTTTGTGAGACATTAGTTCGTTGCACAGCACCAATAATAACGAGCGGCTCAACTCACCCAGCACTTGTCGCCGATGCGCTCGGGACGCGCGCCGCGGATGCCAACACCGATAACGTGCGTCGAAGAGTAGAAAAGACCCTTGGACAGCTTGACAAGCTCCTGATTTCCCATGGCCTCGACCAGGTGGTCCACCGCCATGGTGTTGATCAGTTTGCCATAGCCGATCGTCTTGCCACTCTTCAAGGTCACGACCTTCTTGTCAGCCTCGACCTTGACAACCTCATTGTCCTTGCCGAACATCTTCTTCCCCTTGGGAAGAGTCTCGGCAACAGCAATCCAGATACCACCGGTGCCATCGCGCGTGGGGAAGCGGAAGGTCGCATTGGGGCCCCAGTTTCCAGCAACCTTGTTCAGGATGACGTTCTTGGTCACGGTCTTCAGATCCGGAGCAGCGACGCGCTCACCAAGCCACTGGCATTGCATCTAGGCGCGCTTTAGGTCAGCCCGCCGTCTGCTTGCTCTGCGATTCCGTCCGGGAAGGCTCACCTTGGTGGTGGGAACGGCCCAAACCTTGTAGTTGTAGGGCCTCATGAACATGTCGGCCAGCCCCACGCCCTGCATGCGCAGAATCCATTCATCAAAGTTCTGAGGCTTGGTGTTGGCAACACGGCATTCCATGGCAGCGTCGATGAGTCCATCCATAGCCTTGACCTGGTCCTCTTTGGGCAAGATGGACACGTTGTTCTGGAAGGGGTAGGGCACCCAGACACCCTTATAGCGGACGTAAGAGATACGCTGGTGCGTGGACCAGTCGTCCTCCCGGGGCAGAGCCTCGTTGATGCAGTCATCGAAGTACTTGTAGTGGGAGAAGATAACGTGGCCGCCAACATCATAGAGCTGGTCATGGCAAGATTAGCTATGCGCGCAGCTCAAGAGGCAGCGGGAGTCTCGTACGAAGCCCTCAGGGGTGACGTCGGTCGAAGCAAGACCTCCGGCCTTCTCGTTTGAGTCCAGGATCAGCCATGACGGGCCGTTCTATCGCTACTGTCAGTATCGTGAGAGCTCCAGCATCAAGGCTCGGGCGGTGAGACGAACAAGCTGGTTCAGACGCTTGGCAGCTCCAAGTCCTGTCGGACCGGCGCCAATGACGAGCACGTCAACGTTGCTGGATCATCTGGTCAGTCTCTAGTTGTGCCGTGTAGCCGCTGCACGCCCTCGACAAGGGCAGCGCATTCAATTGGGGCCAGACATACATATCGGCACCCATTGTGGGGATATTGAGGGTTGAAGATTTGGCGGGGTATCTCTTATCGAGCAGGGTCTCGGCGAGCTTTGTACAAGTGCAATGCCTCGTGAAACGCAGGGGGGAACTTGCGAGGCAGGAAGGAGGTGATAAAGGGGGAGAGAGAATTGGCAAGCAAATGACGACTTTGTAAGTGTGAATCGCAGGCCAGGCGATGTAATTATGGTTGCCGTGGCAGATGTTTGCCTCGAGGGGGACCAAAGACTGGTTGTGTCTGGTCTGGCCTGGGCCCTGATCTGCTCCGAAAAGGAGATTCAAGATGGAGGGGCTAAAATTATTCAGGACAGGGGGGTGATGATGTGGGTGGTGGGCGATCTGGAGCGATTGTCTCTCGCTTGGCCACTCCCGCCCTGTTCTGTTGCCATCCCTTTCACTCTCTCTTTTTTTTTTTTCCCTGCTTCCTTCTAAAGAACCTGCAAAGGCTGCTGGAAAGTGTTGTGGGAGTGCCCCTGGGCGGAGCTTAGCGTGCTTTTCGCCTGCCGAGCAGCTTTGGCTCTGCGCGCCAAACAGTGGATCCGGACCCACCTGCCACACATCACAGAGCCCAGGAACTGTTGGACAAGCGCTGGGGCCCTGATTAGTTGGCCCCTCCTGCAACGGCTATTCGTCCAGGAGGAGACATGGCTCGGTGAGTTGGACGACCGTGGTTCATGGCCCATGTCAACTTGGTTTAATCGTGGCATCTTGTAGGTTTTCTGTATGCCAAAGCAGGGAGATCGCAATCGAGACCTTCACAGGGCTGCTGCGCCGGAGGAGTAGAATGATCCCCGGTGCGAGAAAGCTGATGACCAGGCATGGGATGGCATGGCTGGTATGATTTGCAGTTTGGTGCAGTGGTGGCTACGGTCACTACACCGCCAAAGATACTGGCGGTCAAGATCAAGGCAAGATGTGATTTGATCGACAAAGAAAGATACCCTGCCAACCTGGCTTTGCGAGCATGTACTTGTGATCAACCTCACTCGGCCGGTAGGAACATCACAGTTTGCATGTTCTGACCTTGAGCCATTACTTATCTACCTCCCTGCAATGGCTGTGCAATGCACAACCTGCCGTTGATACTGGTACATGTGAATGAAAGAAACATACAAGTAGTGAGGTGCAAATGTGGCATCTTGAGAGATCGCTTGGCATCGGCTAACATGCAAGACCCTGTTCAGTGTAATCTTATGAAATGAGGTTAATACCCAGTGATACCCTTTCTATGCAAACATGCACAGCAAACCAGATTCGCTTCACCGATAGAAGACTGTGAGGGCGGCTGAAAAATTCGACTTGCCGGATCTACAACTCCAAATGGCGCCGCTGGCTCCCCGACGATCTGCCGGTGTTGTTGCACTCATCCCACCTAATGTACTTTGAAGATAACAAAATCTAACCAATAACTACTGAGAGCGGAACATTTTTTATGTATGCACATACGTCCGTGGTGCGTGGGTTTGTCCCTCAGCTTCGAAGAGTATCCCTTCGGCCCTCCTGTGGGCACTTCCGACAGTCTGAGCCTCAAGATCAGCACAAGAGAAATACCGATGGTCATTAGAAAACCTTCCCCTACTTGTAGATATTCTTGACGTACCAGAAGAATTTCTGAATTGGGGCCTGGGGAGTCTTGCTGAAACTTAGCGCAAGCCCACAGAGTGGAAACACGGTGGAAACAGGTTGATAGTTGGCACCAGTCAGCCAGTGTACTCGCAAACTCGGTATGTACGCAAGAAGAAAGAAGACTTCTCCATACCATCCACCACTGTCCTGTTACCTACAAGGGCCTCAGTCTCTGCCCTCCTGTTTGCCCTCTTGTGCTGCTCCAATTTCTCCATATTGCGTAATGAGTGCTGCTGTGGTGGAGATAAAAAGTGGCTTTGTAGATCTCCTTAGTCCAGGCTTGCGTAAACACACGGACAATATCGTCGCAGATCTGCTATTGCTCCAGTGCATACCTGGAGAGCGATTCTTGAAACAGTCATCGAGTCCCGCCATGGAAGCTTGTGCTGCCCATGCTCCCATGGTATCCAATGTGATGAATATGAAACCCGCTCCAGGTCCAGCCATGTAAGTCATCACGTGTGCAAGGGATACAAAACAACAAGTAGGATCCCAACCTCAGCCAAGGGTTGTCAGTTAATCCTTGAATGATTCCATTGCTTGCTTGAATTCTGAGGCAAGATATCTGACTCTGCTACCAGCTCAATACCAACACACACTAGAAACTCTCTTGCAGAATCACTGGTCCGGATCGCAGTGTCTCACCTGGAGTCGTGCATGGGGCAGAAGCTTGGCAGATCCCGTTTCACGCTTGCTGGGCGGGAAAAGCAAATATCAACGGGTCTTGCAGATCTGGCAGTGGCTTTGGCACTTCGTCTCATTGTCAAGAGCCTCACATTACGCATCCTTTGGTGTCACCCGCTTTTATTTATTGAAGACTGGAGCCTTGATCTTCAGGAGGGATATTGCTGATTGACGATCACCAACTCCAAATGACATGGCCCGTAGACAGCAGCAGAAAAGTGAAGAGTAGTTGGCTTCAGGTAATTGAAAGACAGCCAGTCGATATGGCCAGGTTCTCTAGTACACCTCATGGATACTTGCCTACCCGTGTTGGCTTTGCAGCTCATGATTTGGCCCTTCCAAAGCCCTGCATGGTCAGTACTACTTAGGTAGGGCAAAGTTAATCTCTGCAATCGGCCGGCGGCCGGGTACCTGTCAATCACCCGGACTCAGCCTCCTTTTTCGGGGTTTTTGCCCTTCTTTGCCCCTGAATTCTGAATCGCAGAGAAAGGGAGCAATGAAAAATGCGGGTAATTACTGGGCTTCTTTTTGGAGAACGTCATGTAAGTAAAGTAACCTTAAAGTATCCAATACAATACGACCCACTTGGCGCAGCAATTGCCCCTGGTGTCCCGAGGGAGTTAGCACTAATCACAGCACTGCAACTGGCCGCTCCTTAGTCCCAGCCTCAGGTACCAGGCTACAAGTTGATCGATCAAGCACTGACGACGGCTCAACCCCACCGAATTCCACTTTGCACGCCATGCGGAACACACAAAGCTTGGAACTGTTGGACTGGAGCCAGGTGTGCCACTGGATGGATAGCGTGCGAGCGTGCCCATCCCATGCCACCCTCGCTCTCAATTTCCCAGGCCCAAATGCCTTTTTGGCTGGCCTCCCCACCGAGTAACCCCCGATCTGTCCAGAACATTGGCCAAGCCAGATACCATATCTCGCCTACCCCTGGTCCTGCTCCTGCTTCTTTTTTTCTTCATTGCCATACCAGTCTCGACTCCCGCCTCTCGACTCTCGTTCAATCCGTCTCTCCTTCATCCTAGGATCGTAAAACATTTCCGTCGTCGACAGTTCAGTTTTTGGTAGCAGCCAGACCTCCCCGCCACTGGTAATAGCCTGAGTATTAGTCGCACCCGACTAGCGTCGTCTGTGTTGCCTGCTACCTATTACTGAAGTCCCCGCTGCTGGTCTCAGACAAATCAGGTTTGGCCTCTTGTCTAAAAAGAGGACCAACTTTACTTCTAATCTTTTTTAATCTTCTGTCGCTCATTTCGTTGCGTCTCTGCCGCACATTTCATCCCTTCTCCTCTCAGACTTGTCGCTTCGTCTTGTCTCGTCCAAGGCCGACCACGGAGACGAGTAGCCAACAAACGCCAGCCTCTGCTTGTGCCGCAGGAAGAGCAGACAATTTCCTTCACAATGGGTGTCGACGAGAAGAGCCGCACCTCGGGCGAGTCGCCCCGCGCCACAAGCCCTGTCCTCCCTACAGTCAACCCGGCTGCTGAGAAGCCGCAACCGCCCAAAGACTCTCTTCACCCGGCTTTCTATGTTGCGTGAGTCTCGAAGTGCTGTGCGCAATCCCTACTGTTTCTCTAGCTGACCAAGTTCGCGTTGCTAGCACCTGGATCGGTCTGAGCTCCTCGGTCATTCTGTTCAACAAATGGATCCTCGACACTCTAAACTTCCGTAAGTCGGCCGGCTCGCGAATTGAAGCCTCGGGTGGTCGCTAATCTCGCCCGATAGGTTACCCGGTCCTCCTGACGACATGGCACTTGGCTTTCGCGACCCTCATGACACAGTTGCTTGCCCGATACTCGACGCTTCTTGATGGCCGCAAGACCGTCAAGATGAGCGGCCGGGTCTACCTGCGCGCCATCGTCCCCATCGGCGTCTTCTTCAGCTTGAGTCTGATCTGCGGCAACTTGACCTATCTATATCTGAGTGTTGCCTTTATCCAGATGCTCAAGGTCAGTGTTTAGAGGGATAGGATTGTGCTGGTGAAATGGAGGCTAATACTTGTTCCCAGGCCACCACTCCTGTTGCAGTGCTCATTTCCAGCTGGTGCTTGGGTCTGTCCCAGCCCAGCCTCAAGGTGTTCCTGAACGTCTCGGCTATTGTGGTCGGTGTTATCCTCGCCTCTATTGGAGAGATCAAGTTTGTCATGATTGGCTTCCTCTTCCAGATGGCTGGAATCGTCTTCGAGGCTTTGCGCCTTACCATGGTTCAGCGCCTGCTCAGCTCTGCCGAGTACAAAATGGACCCCCTGGTCTCGCTCTACTACTTCGCACCGGTTTGCGCTGCTATGAACTTCGTGGTCGCGCTCTTCTGGGAGGTTCCCAAGATCCAGATGGTTGAGGTCTACAACGTCGGTCTCTTCACATTCTTCCTCAACGGCCTCTGCGCCTTCCTGCTGAACGTCTCGGTCGTCTTCCTGGTAAGTTCTTACTCCTGACAAAATCCTGCCAGTGTAGCATGTCTGACAGCAGGGTATACAGATTGGCAAGGGATCCGCTCTGGTCATGACCCTGTGCGGTGTGCTCAAGGACGTCATGCTAGTTGTTGCTTCCATGATTATCTGGGGCACCCCTGTCTCCGGTCTTCAGTTCTTCGGTTACAGCATCGCTCTGTGCGGCATGGTCTACTACAAGCTTGGCTTCGATGCCATCAAGGGCTATGCTGGAGAGGGCCAGCGACAGTGGGCCGAGTTCGGTGCCCGCCGCCCCGTCATGCGTAAGGTCATTGTCATTGCCGGTGCGGTTGTCTTCATATTTGTCCTCCTCGGTGGCTTGGCTCCTACCTATGCACCGGAGTACGACCCGACAAAGTATATCAGCGATGCCTCGAGCAAGCTTGGTATCACCGGTGGCGCTTAAGAGGATTGTATGGTTTTGCAGCGCGAAATTCTTTACGACAACAAGACCTCGAGAGACGAGCTTGAGAACACAAACCAAGACATTTATCTGTCACACACATCCGGCCTTGTGTGCCCGCTTCGGGACTCGTCCTGCTCGGTCATCGCAGCCTCGAGGTCATAGACTTGTTGGGCCGCTTTTTTTGTGGCGGATCAAAAGTACATATTCAGGAGTATTTGTCCCTTGACGAGGGCTGTCCTTGTAGACGCCCCGTCCAGTAATCAATTGGTGCGGCCTCGTCTCTTTCTGCAGAGACTTTTATTATTTCTTCTCCCTTTTCTCTCTCTTTTGTTCTGCAAGCGGGCCAAGGTACGGAGAGGAGGAACGACCTTTAAATAAGGCGTGTATACTCATAGAGCAGGCGCAGCACACGGTGATTGGGTTTTGCATGGGATAGCATCACGAGGTTAGCTTGATGCACTATTAGAAGGCGCAGCTCTATCACGATATAGATAATTGACTTGAGGTAAAAGGCATTGGAAATGGCTCTTTGAGGCGTTCATCCCATTCTTGACGTAGGTTGGACCATCATGTTTACCGAGAGCAGCGGGAATGCTGTGCAGACGTGGACGACTGCAAGATCGAGCGGCAAAATTGGTACCCATAGTCTGGAGGATGGAGCAGTCCGGCGTGACGATGCAGGATTCACCAAATCAAACGAGATCATTGAAGCCCAGAAAAGACAGTTTGGAATCATTTGGCATTGGTTTTTACTCCATCTTCTGCCCAAGCGTCGCGCATGCCGTAGCACGACCCGAGGGCTCACGTCTCCCCGTTCTAGGGGCAACTTGTCAACCAGGTAATCCCTCGTTACGCAAGCTCACGACCGCATCTCGGTAGAACGCCATGTGAGAAACTTCGAAATTTGCCTTGAATTTAGCTCATGAATGCCGATTTTATGACCGAATGATGCTGTATACATCCCGAAACCATTCGCCCCGCCCAATCCATGAAGAAGAAGCCGCTTAGAATTCTGTGGCGAGACATTTGTTAGTAAAGCTGCACCTTCGCGGATTGCTTCGCAACCAAGGCACAGCAGATCATATCCATCCTCTGGTGCCCTGGCGCAGAACGGGGTTCCAACGTACTCAGGGGGGTGAAGAACCACCGGTTCTTGCCGCTCGTGTAGCGGTCCTCCAGGGTCTTCTTGACGGTCTTCTTGGCCTCCTCCCGCTGAGAGGGCTCCTTGAAGGTGTCTGCGGAGACGACGCCCTTGAGGCCCTCGAGCTCAAGAGTGTAGCGGGTGGGCATCAGGTGGTTGTAGTTGACGACCTTGATGAAGGGCTTGACCTTGGAGCGCTTCTCTTGCCGGGTCTTGGACATGCGGCGGGTGATCTTCGACGGGTAGCGCTCGATACCGGCGACCAGGGCGTGGCCGTAGGGGTGTGACTTGTTGCCGCTGTCGACGGGCTGGATGATCACGACCTATGGTTGGGGAAAGACTCGTTAGTACTTCTGATCACCATCTCGTAGTGCTTCTCGACCAGACTTCAATCCTCTCCCACGAGAACAGAAACGCCAGCGAGACCCCCGGAAAAGTGTGAGAATAATTGCGTCGCGCTTTCTCCCATTGCCATGTCCCTCCTCTTTTGCAGTCTCTGCCCTGGTCGTCTCCCATCCCATCACCACTCCTTCAAGTCGAAACGCTGGTCGGCAAGCTTCAAATCGCTGAGAGGTGATCTCACCTTCTTTCCGGCATATCGGCCGTGGGTAATGATGGCGACTCTGCCGACCTTGAGGAACTTCATTTTGTCCTACGTTTCTGGGGGATTGGCGACTCGTTCGGGGTGGTTGAAGGTGTCGTCGGGGTCGGTCTCGAAATGTACTACTTTTTTTTTCTCGAAATTGAAAAGCTGTGTGGGCAGGGCAAAAAGGGCAGTGGGTCTCTTGTTTGGCGGGTGTCATGTGACTAGGGAAGAGCGATTGGAAAGAGAGAGTGCTGACTGATTTGTCCATATTTGTGGGACCCATTTCCTCCATCTCTGCTTACCTAAGGCGCCGTCTGAACTAAGAGAGACGAGAGACACCAGAGCCGAGGGCCCAGCTCGTGAAATAAACCGGGCCTGAGCTCTCCTCCAAGTTCCGGAATATCGTGAGTTAGATAGCTCACTCCAATCAGTTTCTGTCCCAATCCGTGACCAGCACCATATTGCGCCAAAATCACATCTCGAACACGATGGCTGCACCCAGCTATATTATTTCAAGGGCGGTGGACCCGGTCTTCGCCATTTTCATTGGAGTCGCGGCTGCTGCAACCCGTATCAACCGCGAGGAGAAAGAGAAGGGAAGGACGACTTCAGAGACTCTCGCGGCTGCGAAACGGTAAGCCTCCTTGTTCTCCCCCGTTTCTTCCCTGGCTTCATTGCTAATGCCTTGACTCAGCCGTATACTGGGTCTTTCCGGCAAGACAGCTGTATAAGATGGGCATTTTAGTCGCGAATAGCAGCCCAGGTCACATCAATAGTCACGAAAACTTCGGCACGAATAGATCAATGAACAAAGGTCTTTATTCGACAGCAAGCCAATCAACTGTTCTGGTTCTCTGGTTATGACTGGACTGAGCCATACTCCTTCCTCATCATCTCCTGGACCATCTGTCCGCACAGTTTCGCCGTCGGGTTCGTGCTGACGGCAAGACTCTTGGCAATCTCATTTCCAAACCTTCCGCCCGATGCAAAATCCCGAGACGCAGCTTCTTCGAATTGGAGCGACGTCCATTTGGCCTCCCGTCTTTGCGCCTCGACTTGGGACGACGACGAGGCGATGTACTTGGAGGTCGAATGATAGATGGCTGCCCTCTGGGTATATGCGAGGGATAGTGTGTTCTTGGCTGTTGGAGACATTGGAGCGAACGGACTTCTCGGCGAGAGCAACTGGATTGCCTTGTCCAAGTCTCCGAGCGCTGTCTCCGCGGCATCAGTTCTCTCTTTCGAGCTCGCCTCCACGACAAGTGCCTGCGGCAGCGCTGGTGCGTTGCTCACTAGCATGTTGTCTCCGTACAATCGCCTGATGGCTTGCGCCCGGTTGTTGCGCGCGCTGGCATAGTTTGGGTGTTCTGCAATGAGTTCGCCGAGCCTGGAGATGCACGCCTTGTACGGTTCGATGTAGTCAGAAGTCTGGGGAGTCTGGATCTTTGCGAGTTCTGTCTCCAACTCCTTCATAGAAAGAATGACCTCGCGCTCCTTCTGCGATACACGTTCGTACAGACTTTGATCCGTGATGTGCGGATCCTTCGGGAGCGACGAGTCTGCGATAACACCGAGCGCTGGGTTCGCCTCCGGATCCTTCATCTTCTCGAGGACATTGATGTCCCGCATGCTCAATGAACTAGGCGCCATTTTGAAGTGTCTGGCTTTGATTGCGGAGAGAACCGGTGTTGGGGAAGTATACAGAGATACGATTTCGCCAAGTTGGACCTGCTCTTCGCAGCGATGAATGCGTGTATGTGAACGGTTCACACGGGAATGAGCGGAGATATGCAAATCGAAAATGCTCACTAATGTGCAAGCATCAGGAAAGGCTATTTTCACCGCACGCAGTCACATTTATCTGTCACAAACAACCTGATTACATCAGACTCAGACCTACCTTTTTGGAGGGAGACGGCTTTCTTTGGGGTAATCGAGATGGGCCGGGCGTCCAAGGCCGAGCGGGAGGAATGGGGTGCGGAGGACGGCCACCGTCGGCTAAGTGCGGCTGGCCAAGGACCGCGCCGAGAACACGGCGCTCATTCCGCGATGACCACCAACGGCTTTTCAAAGGTGGAAACCCAAAGTCTAACCACCAAACAACCCGGTTTTGGGCTGGAGATACGGCCATTGCCGCTGCTCTCATGGGCGGAATTGCCCATGCTGCTCGGGGGCCCGTGGCTAGCCAATGTGAGGGGCTGGGATGTCATCACCTCCGGGTTTGCCGCTGTGTGGTCGCTATTCCGCCATGGCGAAGGTCAGATGGTCGGTCATTACGTGGGCATCAGCGCGGTGTAAGTCCGAAGGGCATGGAACCTATATATCCCCTGATCTGATCACTATGCCCTCTTTGTCGTTAACCTCGCGAGGAAATAACACAGAATTAAAAGGTCTCTCCCGAACCACTCGTGATCATTTCTTAGATCCCATATATCTCCAACCTGACCTAAACTAAACGCTTGTACATCCCATCATTGTCTCCATCTGCCTCATCAGAGAGTTCACATCAGTGTGTCAATGTCACCGTCAGCAACCGCAGCACCGCCCAGAGATACTGTCTCCTCCTCCATCGTACACGACGAGTACGCCGTCCAGAACCCGGCGTCCGGCAACTTCAATGGCTACGACCACATAACCTGGTGGGTTGGCAACGCCAAGCAGGCGGCCTCCTACTACAACAGCATCTTTGGCATGAAGACGGTCGCCTACAAGGGCCTCGAGACGGGCAGCAGGTACTTTGCCTCGTACGTCGTCGCCGCCTCGGACGTCCGCTTCGTCTTCACCTCGCCCATCCGCTCCGCGGCCCACCTGCCGGCCGACGAGCCCATCTCGGACGAGGACCGCGCCCTCCTCAGGGAGATCCACGCCCACCTCGAGAGGCACGGCGACGCCGTCAAGGACGTCTGCTTCGAGGTCGACTCGGTCGAGGGCGTCTACAGCCGGGCCGTCGCCAACGGCGCCGAGGGCGTGCAGGCCCCGCGCGTCCTGCACGACAAGCAGCACGGCAGCGTCACCACGGCCGTCGTCCGCACCTACGGCGACACCACCCACACCCTCATCTCCCGCGGCGACTACACGGGCCCCTTCCTCCCCGGCTACCGGGCGCAGTCGGCGCCGCCCTCGTCGGTGGCCCTGCCCGCCGTCGAGCTCGGCTGCATCGACCACTGCGTCGGCAACCAGGACTGGGACGACATGACGGCCGCCTGCGCCTTCTACGAGCAGTGCCTCTCCTTCCACCGCTTCTGGTCCGTCGACGACTCGCAGATCTGCACCGAGTTCAGCGCCCTGCGCTCCATCGTCATGGCCAGCGAGAACGAGGTCGTCAAGATGCCCATCAACGAGCCCGCGCCCGGCAAGAAGCGCAGCCAGATCGAGGAGTACGTCATCTTCAACTCGGGCGCGGGCGTGCAGCACATCGCGCTGCTGACGCCCGACATCATCTCGACGGTGACGGCCCTGCGCGCCCGCGGCGTGCAGTTCATCGACGTGCCCGAGACCTACTACACCACCATGCGCGAGCGCCTGCGCACCGAGAAGCGCAGCTGGGACCTCAAGGAGGACCTCGACACCATCCAGCGCCTCAACATCCTCATCGACTACGACGAGGGCGGCTACCTCCTACAGCTCTTCACCAAGCCGCTCATGGACCGCCCGACCGTCTTTATCGAGATCATCCAGCGCAACGAGTTCGACGGCTTCGGCGCCGGCAACTTCAAGTCTCTGTTCGAGGCCATTGAGCGCGAGCAGGCCGAGAGAGGGAACCTGTAAAGGCCTCCAGTGTCAACCACACTGCTGAAAAGGCGATAACAGGAACATTAATTTATCATGATTTATGACGTTTGAGAAGTGGGCAATGCGATTATGCCATCTTATCATTCTCTGAATAGCATGCAGAAGCACTTGCAATAAAACAGCTTTAAGCATACATTATCCCTGGACCACGACATGGCTGTTTATGGCAAGAGAGAGAGAAAGATTATGATCATCAGAATCATTAAGGCTTCGATTGTATTTTCAACCCTCTGCGTAGGTCTCCCCAGCATTGTAGACCCCAGAAACTACGGAGTGGCCGTATTTTGCAACCCCCTCCCCTGTGCGCCATGCAATGATATACGAAGACTATTCTATCTTCTCAGCCCACCAAGGACCGCTTGACCAATCTCTGATAGCATCCCTCTGCGCCCTCGGCTGGTCTATATGTAATGTCATAACCCCGCGCTGAGCTCCTCAGGAGTCAACGATCATATCCCCATTTGCCTGTGTGTTGCCGTTGGCACTGCCGTCCACATCCATCTGCCCAGCCGCAGCCTGCGCGGCTCTCGTATCGCTCTGGCAGCCCGGGCAGTTATGCACCACCTCATGGGCATACACATCGCAGTCGATGCAGAAGTGGTTGCCACAGACCTGGCACGCATATCGCCCGCTCTCACTGACACCCTTCGAGGGCGGTGCCGCTGGTGCCTGATCATCAGCCGGGTCCTTTGCCCCGGTAACTCCGTCCCTTCCCTTGATTTTAATCTTGATAGTTCCCGAGGGTGGTACGGCGCTGCCCTTGCCTCTTCGCTCCGGGAATGGTGAAAGGCACGCAAAACAAGTCTTGCTGCGAGCCTTTGACCAAGGCACCTCAACCCAGTTTCGCAGGGGGAACAGATGGTGGTAAGATCGTGCCAGATGTGTGGATAGAATCAAGGTCAGACCACAGGCTGGGCACTCAGCCGGCAAGCGGCAGACCTTGGTGCGGCAGCGCGTGCAGGCATACCCTTCTCGGAAGGGTTTGTTGTGGCAGGCACAGACGCTGGTACCCTTGGGGTCGATGGAGCGGGAAGGAAAGCCCATCATTAGTAGAGATGCGTTGTTCATCTCGCGGGTGCGTGTGACGGGTGGCGTCGTCACGTTGAGCATGAGCTCCCGACAATGGGCATCATGCTTTGCGACGGCGTAGCACGTCTCGTCGCCGGCGTTGGTCTTGGAGCATATCTCGGAGCAGATAGCAACCTGGGCTGCCAGTCCCACTATAGAAACACGGATACGATCGGATATGAGAGATGCGATAGTATCGTGGATGTCGCCTGGGTCGGACGAGAGGAGGGCGCCGTATATGATGAGGACCTCTCGAGTTCCATGGGAGGGTGCATGACTGTGGTAGAGCGACCATGTTAGTAAGTGTGCAAACTCTCTCAGAATGGGAATTGCTGCCACATCCTGGGGGGAGGATCTTACAATAACGCGCCACGGCACATCTCGAGCGCATTCTGCAGACTCGGGTTGCCCTGCGGCTCAATATCCACCCACTGCCTCAGCTTCGCAATGTGTTCTGCCGGGTTGCCGCTCATGTCGGATATCCTGACTGCGATACCGTCTTTCATGCCCACTATTCCGAGCTGAGAGATAGGGTTCTGCTCAAAGTATTCGCGAACAAACTCGATCGAGTAGTTCATGACGACTCTGTACATGTTGGGCAGGTAGTCCTTTGCCGCCATGGCGAAGCTCATGTCGAGCACCAGGAGCAGGTGCCGTATTATACCTCGCTGTAGTGGAGTCGTATCTCGTAGTAGCCGGCGACGTTTCTCGGCCTCGATGAAGTCTGTTACTGTGAGGCGGCCATCCTCGCCTTCGCCCACCTGTTCCCATGATCGCTTCACCGTCTCCCAAGCCGCCTCTTCTCGCCGATTTTGCCTTCTCCGACCATCGCGTCCTCGTCTTGATCCATGTGCACCGCCATCATCGCCTCCTCGCGTCACCTGGTGGTCTCCATAATCGTCGTCGGAGAGGTTGTCTGCAACGAATTCGCCATCCGAGTCGGCCATGGCAGGAGGGCCTGGAACACTGCAAAATCCCCCAGTTCTGTGCAAGAGATTGTAGAATCGTCGCTGGTATAGTTCGAATTTGTTAGAATTCCTTAAAAAGTTCGTGGGGGAAGATTTGTGGACAAAAAGGAACGGCAAAGTGAGGATTGGAAGAGAAGATGATGATCGATGATGCACAAGGCTGCTTGGAGATCTCGCCTGCTTTTAGTAGCCTCGCACAGTCTAGGCAGCTTAGCTCCAACCAATGGCTGTGTTGCAATTTGCACCAACCAAAAAGGTCACAAAAATATTCACTTTGAATCACAGAGAAGTCAATTATTTCATAAAGGATTGTAGGATTTTTCTATCAAAAACAGACGACTCAGCTCATATGCGTTAGTCGTCTAGATGGGGTATACTAGAAGTCATGCTCTAACAGGACATCATCGCAAATACAAGTTGCGTGTCAGCAGCGTCCCCATCACCATTTCCCTCCCCATCATTACGTCTCCAATGTCATCTTCACCATACGAGGTCAAGGCCAGACCCGTAGCTGCACTCATCCCCTTTGCTTTCGCCAAAACGACCACCCTTCCCATTGGTGATAGTGATGAGTGCCTGTCGCTGCCACAAAAAATTAAACACAAGGTGGGATATATCATTCGAGTCTTGCCGCAATGCCGTGGGCCACGTCGAATCCAAAAGGAGCGTAAGAAAACACCGAACCGTAAACTCCAACTCCGGTAATCAAGAAAGATGCACATCCATAACTAAGGGTATGTTCCTGCGACGGCGATCGGCCAGTCATCTTCAGTGATGCTCGACCAGAAGACCCAAACCATCACGACAGAGAGCAGAGTGAAGAGTGTCTCGAATAGTGCGCCGTCGATCTTGCCCGAAGTGCCCTCGCAGATGTGCCAGCTGATGGCGTAGTTGAAGACTTGTCCGATGGCGAAGAGGAGGCCAGCCGCGGTCAAATAAATCATTGGCCGGAATTCGCCCAGAACGCGCAGTACCAGGACAGCCTCGAGGACGTAGAACGCGACAAGGAAGATCAAAGGAACGAGCTGGTACAGGACATAGAGGGCAATGTTGCGGTTGGTGCCATCCGGCGGACCTTTCCATGAGTCGTCCCAGTATCCCGTCCACTGAAAGCCAGTGTCGAGAGCGATGTAACCGGTTCCAATAAGCAGAGCGGCCGCCGAGCCCACCATCAATGCCAAAGACAGCGGCGTTCCATCATCGATGATTTGATATCCAACAACGGCATTGAGCATGAGAATCCAAGTGGTTGCAATGATGAAGCCGATATGGATGGCTGAAAATGCCTGAGGAAGGGTCAGCAATGAGCGGATACTAACATCGAGGTCACTGCAACGTACCACTCTGACTTTGCCATTCAATGGGAACTCTCCTACGGTGAAGATCTCGCAGATCGAAATGACCAGATATCCGACCAGAAACAGCTGCATTTCCCTGGAGATCGAGGTTAGCATCATTTTGGCTGCACGGGGCCAGCACGGGTAGATATCTCACCTGCGCCCGACAGCAGCCTTCTTTCTTTCCGATCGCCATAGCAGATAGAGCGATGTTAAGATGGCTAGGCCACAAAGTAATATAGAGCCTGGAACAGGTCAGTTACGAAGTGTTGACCGGGTCAATATGTCTCGTTCTTGATGGCGTACCCAGATTGCCTAGTATTCTGCCACCGCTCAGCGGGATGCCTTTCAGCTCGCAGCCGCCCCACGGCCCGGTCTGATTGTGGAAGCTTGAGAGGAGCTGAACTCGTTAGTACCCGTGTATTTGAACGTCCAAGACCATGTTGGCTAGGACTTACATTGCAGACTGGTAGTGTGGAACCCCAGCAAAAGCTCTGATAACAAAGTGGTCAGTCAAACCTCCAGGCCCTGAAGACGCAGACATCTTGACATACGTCAAAATCCCCAAACTTCCCCATTGCGGATGAAACGACTCGCAGCGAGCGAGCGAGTTTCAGGCGGGTGTTGTTCGGTCAATTAGCGCCTTCCGGTCTGTGTAGGCGAGTTTTGTGAAGTCTGAACAGATGATCGACACGCCGTCCTCGACTCGCCAGCGATAGCTGCGACTCGAGAGCAGCGACAAAGTTTGGGTCGAGTTTTGGCAGCGCTTGCTCGTTCGTCGCGATGATCGTGCCACGGGTGCGACTAGTGCCTCGACCGACGGATGCGGGCCAGCCACCCTAGAATTGACGCTGTTCCAGCTCTAAATCCTCCTTCTCGGGGTGTTGCGCGTCCTTTGACGCTGTAGAGACGTTCGGGAGTTTCGTTGGCAAGGTGTTGCTTGCCGATTGTTGCGAGAAAGGGTTCGTGGTGTGTGTTTCTGGTGGTTGTTAGGGGAGAAGAAGGCGGAAGAAAGCTTCACAGCAAGGAAAGCAAGGCAGGCGCAGACCCGCTCGATCAAATGTGACAAAAGGCACCTGTCTGGGAAAACGGCAAAAGCAGCAGGGTCTCCGCAATTTAAAATGAGACCTAACTGTGGCAGGGGGAGGCGGCGCCCGTTGTCCTCCAAGCTCCCTTGGCTCCAGTGGCACCCACTGCGCCCAAACAGCTAAGGAACACGACCTGCTCTAACTTTTAGTGTGGCGGGACAAGGGGGTGCCAGCCAGAGCCAGTGCGCCCTAGCCCCAAGATAGCCCTGTAGTTGTCAAGGATCCTGGCACGGCCCCACTGCCCTCTTGAGTTGGCGATTGGCTGGAGTGCAAATGACGATGATGGCTGGTCCGGGCCTTGATCAATGGGACCGACCGTGCTATTTTCCCAAGGTTGTCCCCCCATCGTCTCGTCTCAAGGAACAGTGGCTGCGTCTCTACCGAGGGATTCCCGAACATCAGGTGCCATTGTCACTAAGCCTCACTCACCTCACTTACCTACATAAAGGGACGCGATTGCCATGGCTACGGGCGGCGGGTGGGGATATTCAAAAACCCTTCCTACGAGAGCAAGGTGCACAACACCGAGACTGGCTCGTTCGTGAAACGGGCAGCAGCAGATACGGCAGATTAGCTCAATCATTCTGAGGACAATGCCCCATGAAGGGCCATGAAGGGGGAGCCGTATTGTCTGCCAGGTCCAATACCTCGCAATATGTGGGTAATTTTGAGATCTTTATGCACGATGAGCTGGGAGAGACACGCCCCGGACGTGGGAATTCGGGCTCGATTGGCCTGGGCGGCCAGCTCAGCACCACACCACACTCCACGTTGGTTCGTCCGTGTCGTCTATTTCCTGGCTGCTCTCCGATCTTCTGGCTCTCTTGATCACCCCGGATCCCCGACACGCAATGCGTCTCCGAGTCCCCTGTCGCGCAGTCGACCACCCTCGACCAGTCAATGGCCTCCGGCCAACTTTGCAGGCCATGTTTCCACAGAGACGTGCCCACCGTGCATTGCTAGCACGCAAGGTGGCGTGCATGCATTGACCATCTTTACATACAAAGTGCCTTCGATGTCACCTGGGTAGGTCAAGGCCAGCGCGGGGAGATACCTAGCCAAACATCTGCCTAGGCGCTCTCTGGTAGCTAGAGAAGAGGAGGTTTAGAATTCATATAGTTGTTTTAGCTTTTTTAGCTCTCGACGCTGGCATTTGGGACAAGCTGGAGCTGAGAACGGTACTCACCGCTTGATGTCTCACTCTCCCGAGCGCCGATCCTTCGACTATGGTACCTGTTTGTCGGGCGGCCTTCCTTATGTTGAGTACGTTCATTCCGCCAGATTTCCAACGCCTATCCTAGTTGCCGTTCTTTGATACAGTTTTGGAATAATTATCTTGCGGCTCAATCTACAGTACACCAAGTTCAAGAGAGCTGATCTAGACCGTGGGCTAACAAGTGCTTCTTGGGCCTCTTCACCCCCATCCCCATTCTGTGTCGACTACGATCCCTTCTAGAACCAGACAAGACTATCTTCCCATGATAGCTCATTCGCTGACAGAAGCCAATGAAGTCTTAAGACAACCCTCAATTGTGGCTGTGCTGTAGTGTTGTCAAACGAAAGTCCAGCTGCAATGGGACGTTTGGGTGGCGGTAGTGCCACGCAGATGCTTTTTATAGCAACAAGCCCATCTTCGCCACTAGATTTCAGATTCCAGAAACCCAACCAGGCTGGTCTTGCTGGGGACCAGTAGATGGGATTGATGTCGCCTGAGCATCGCCAATTGCGAGATGGACTATGGCGGAGTCGTCCGTAAGGCGGCGACAGAGAGATCACGCCTGTGGACTATGAATACATTGTTGAGAAGTTTCTGCAACCTATGAGTGGGCGATGAGACCAAGATCACCGCATAGGCCCTATGTTATATGTTGCCGCAAGCGTGGTCTGGTGCTGTGGATTCAATCAATACCGACGCTTGCTTTGAAACCCATACAAGTTTGTGCAAGTCTTTTAGGGGATTTCTCGTGACGATACCTAGGTAGTTGATGAAACCTCAAGTGCTCAGTTAGGATCTTTCAATCCAGCATGCGTAAGAGTAACAGTAAGCCCGCACATAATCCGGTTCATCCTCGCAGAAGAAAGTAACCTAGCCTTCTGGGAAACCCGAGGGGAAGGAGGGACAAGAAAAGAATAGCTTCGGGCCTCTTTAAGTGAACAACACTGACAAGAGAGATGCACGTCTGCCCATGTGTCATGATAGGGAGCATCTCCACTCAGGAAACCCGTGATCCAATTTTGTCAGATCAACCGAGACGTTCCACGACACGGCCGGATCATTGCTGCGGACCTCACCGACTCCGACTTTTGTGGTTCTTGAGGGGCCGGGCATGGCCTCGACTTACTGCCGTCTCACTTACTGGGCTATTAGTTCGAGAACTCGGGTTGCTTTCATATAAACCTAGGGTCATATAGTTAATCGAACCACCCTAATGAATTCTGAGCATTGACCCGACATGAACTTCCCGTTGTGCCGGAATGCTGGGGATTCCCCTCATGCTCCCCGCAGGCCACCTTGGGGTTAGTCTCGTGAGACTTGTTCACGAGGAGTCGAGACTGCGTCAAGAGACAAGGGTGACCCCCACTTGGACACCAGTCGCCGGTGTCGCCCACCACCTTTCACGAGCCACGAGCGACCGCCGTCACGCTTCTGGGGTAGGAAAAAAAGGGGAGCCAGTACGTCATCAGGCACAACAACCCCAGGACGACACACGATGCACACGCGGGGTGTCACGACATCTATTTGTACCTGACCTGGCTGGTAAAGGAAAGGAGAGTACCAGAGCAGAGAGTCCGTGTAGAACAGTCGGTTATGTGCGAGACAGGTCTTTGCCGGTGGCCGGCCCACGATCAATGCGAGGCGCAAGGCGAAGCAATGGTTCGAGGTGAGTGAGTTGAGGAGGAAAAAGCTTGGAGGACAACGTGGATTCACCCAACATTCTGAACGGGGGTCTATCTTGCGACCATAGCCCGTTCAGTGTGGCAGATGACACCCCTATTACCTCGCACTGTCTGTGACCTAGTCGATCACCCTGAGATTGGCAGGCCCTTGGCTGCTAATGCTGGTGAAAGGGAGTGAAAAGACTGGCCAGAGGATATCTCGGCACGACTTGTTGCGGTGCGAGGGAGGGACTGGCGGTGGGGATGTGGAGATGAATGCCCTCCAGTGCTGGTGGTGCAGTGACCGACGTAGATTTACAGTGGGCTCACAGTGCGGGAAAGGCCCACCGGGTGTCAGCGACTCGGCGGGCAAGCTGAAATCCAGTGCTCCAACAGCCGCTGGAAACGCCCTGTTGGAACTGTCGGAACGAGCTGGATTGAGTTTGAATGCTCGGCTGGAGCCTGGGACTGAGATCTACCAAATTCTCCCCCAAGACACACACGCACCTGAGAGGAGTCAAACGGGGTCCTCGTGCTGCAACATTGCCAACTCGAGTTTAACCAACTTCCATCTCTGTCCCCTTCCAGCATGCTCATCGGCCCCAAGACCCAAACCCGCCCCGGATAGAGCCCATCGATGACCGACTATTCGTCTCGTGTCCCCTCGCTCTGCATTCCAGCACCAATAAATGCCCTCCACAGGCTTCGTCCCTTCTCCATCATCCCCTCCCTCCTTCTAGTCATTCATTTGTTGCGGAAGGGCGCTGCTGCTTAACAGCCCCCGTCTCGCCCAAGATTCCTTTCTCAAGCCCGAATCGTCTCCCTTCCAACATCCCCCTCCGCACCCTGCCTGGCCAGCACTCCCGATCCACCCACGACGACGACAACCAGTCGGCGTCACTGCTGACGTCTCAACGGCACTCTGCCTCCGCGTCCGGCCACCATCCGGACTACTCCCCCTCCGAGAGCTCCGACTCCGAATCGTGGGAGGACACGGGTGACATCGCCGAGCAGCTAGACGAGGAGGACCCTCTGCGTCAGCGCCTCAACGACACCCTCGGCGACGAGATCCTTGCCGGCGTCATCAAGAAGCCTCACAAGCAGCACAAACGCGTCCGCTACCACCACTCCGTGCCCTCGCCCCGTGGCTACTCCCCATCTCGTCGTGGAGTCGTTAATAAGGAGGCTATCCAGATCCCAGACTCTGTTCACCGGCGCGTATCCACTGCCGAACGCCTACTCGCCGCCATCATGACGGGCGGTTCAAGTTCTATCCATGGCCTCACCGGCAAGGCCTTGATGTATGTCGCCGCGACTTCCACACCGCGCCTCAACGATTCACTGACGCTCTGTACAGTTATTTCACCAGCATATTCGTCTCATTAGGCGTTTTCCTGTTCGGATATGACCAGGGCGTCATGTCAGGAATCATTACGTATGTTCCCTAAAGCTCTAGTCTCACTGCTTGGCTGGCATGCCCCATGTCACTGACATACTCGTACAGAGGACCGTACTTTGTCGACTACTTCAATCACCCTACCAGAGCGGAGATCGGTACTATGGTTGCCATTCTTGAGGTGGGCGCCTTCATATCTTCGCTCATTGTTGGACGAGTCGGCGATATCATTGGCCGGCGAAAGACCATCTTGTACGGGTCAATCATCTTCTTTGTCGGCGGTGCCCTGCAGACATTTGCGACCGGTATGGGAATGATGATGGCAGGCAGAATCATCGCCGGTCTCGGTGTCGGCATGCTCTCAACCATAGTACCCGTTTACCAATCTGAGATCTCTCCTCCGCACAACCGAGGAAAGCTGGCCTGTATCGAGTTTTCCGGCAACATCATCGGCTACGCAACCTCTGTCTGGGTAGACTACTTCTGTGGATTCATCCAGAGCGACTTCTCTTGGCGCATCCCTCTCCTGATGCAGTGTGTTATGGGTGCGCTACTTGGTTTAGGAAGTTTGATTATAGTCGAATCTCCACGGTATGTAATCGTAAGTTTTGGCTGCTTTGTAGGTTTGAAGCTAACACTGCAGCAGATGGCTCCTCGACAACGATCACGACGAGGAGGGCATCGTTGTTATCGCCAACCTATACGGTGGCGGTGACATTCACAATCACAAAGCCCGCGAAGAGTTCCGCGAGATCAAGATGAACGTTCTACTCCAGCGCCAGGAGGGCGAGCGCTCGTACAGCGACATGTTCCGCCGATACAAAACTCGCGTCTTCATCGCCATGTCTGCACAAGCACTTGCCCAGTTGAACGGCATCAACGTCATCTCGTACTATGCGCCTCTTGTTTTCGAGTCCGCCGGCTGGCACGGTCATGATGCCATCTTGATGACCGGCATCAACGGCATTACCTACTTCCTTTCGACGATCCCGCCGTGGTACATCGTGGACAGGTGGGGCCGACGGCTCATTCTCCTGAGCGGAGCTGTGATGATGTGCATATCACTCTCGGCCATATCCTATTTCATCTATCTCGACATCAAGGCAACACCGAATCTCGTCGTTGTATTCGTCATGATCTACAACGCTGCCTTTGGATACTCGTGGGGCCCAATTCCATGGCTGTACCCACCGGAAATTCTGCCGCTGAGCATCCGATCCAAGGGCGCCAGTCTGTCCACAGCCACTAATTGGGCGTTCAATTTCCTGGTTGGAGAGTTGACTCCAGTCCTGCAGGAATGGATCAAGTGGCGCCTCTATCTCGTTCACGCCTTCTTCTGCGCGACAAGTTTTGTAGTTGGTGAGTCGATTATCCGTGTGAACCGACCAATAGTTAGTTGGAGCTAACAATGGGATCAGTCTGGTTCATCTACCCCGAGACCTGCGGCGTGCGGTTGGAGGACATGGACTCTATTTTTGGAGATGCTAGCACCACCGCCGGGACACCTGCGGGCATGGGCACTCCTGCACTGGGCCCGGAGACTGGTACGGTCAGGGTTGGCTCTCCGGTGCCGTCGCTCGACATCCGTGGCCGACCGCCGTTCGGCTCGACCAGTGCGATCCCGGGTCTTGACATTGACCCTCCAGCCATCAGCGGCGATAGCAAGCCGCAGTATGGTGAGGGGCAGAGCCCTGGAGGCATCTCAGGATGGCTCTCGAGAGTCGGCGTCTTCCGTGGCAACTCTCCAAGCGGGTCACAACGCAGCGGAAGATATGCGCCGCTGGGACAAGGGGACGAGGAGAGATAGAAGGGTGCAACGGGCGCGTCTGCTTTTGGGGACATCTAGACATTTTGCATATAGACAGCGCGGGAAGACCAAGTGCTGGGAAGCTCACGAGAACGAATCTCAAAGATATGTCGAGATTGGTCTTAAAAGGCACGAGGACGGGTAGGGGCGGACCAAAGACTGTTGTATCACCACGTTGAGCAGGATACGGACGATCTACCAAACGGCTAAGCTAGAGTCAGGGTAATCTGGCAGTATGCGCCTTTCTATTGTAAGTATGGGATATCAGTGCGGCAACGCCCTCGACACCTTGGTTGAGCAAGGAGGGCTGGGGCCGGGAGGTACTACTATATTCATTGATTCGCAACTACATTTATTTTCTGGCCCGTTACGATCATGACGATCCCGGAAATGCTTGATTCCTACTGCTTCATCCCAGAGCTTGAATCAAGGTGCGCAATGCTTATGATTTGCATGTGATTAGTATGTACCTAACTTAGTACGTGGTCTGTGCGGAGGAAGGCCATGGCCCATGCATTAGCTTTGGCTGGCACCTCGTGCTATTTCATGAATGAATCCACCCATGGTGAAAGACATACGCCGCTCGCTCATCAAGCCCAACAGACCATGTCGACGGAGGAGCTGATTCACGCCTACCGCAAGCTCTTCCGAGCTGGGCTACGGGCCGTAAAGTTCTCCAAGCCGGCGCGCTTCGTGGTCCGGGACCAGCTCCGCGCGGCCTTCCGCGAGGGAAACGCGAAAGACTTTGACCCGGACAGGGTGAAGCGTACGGTGTGGTTCCTCACGCTGGCGGGGGAAGGGAGCCGCCTAGAGCACAAGATTGTGCAGAACCTGGTCAGGACGCAGTATACTCGCCAGACGATGGCGACGTCAACGCCGTGGAGGCTGCTGGCGAAGCGGCTGGACGACAAGAAGGTCCCGACGTAAGTGTCCTCTTGACGGACTGGAAAAAGAAGAAGAAAAGGAGTCGAACTCGACTAATGGGGAACGCTTCTTAGGAACCCGGTCCAGGAGTCTGCGTTTGCATACTACGACATGACCATCAAAATGCTCAACGACTCATTGGGCCTCTGTCTGCGGTGAGAGCACAGGAGACCTCTGCAAGGTGCGGATGTCTGGTATGTGTCCCGGCTTTCTTCGGCACTTGTGTGTGCCGGGGGGCCGTTCCGAACCGCCTGTTCAAAGAGCCACTCATCCGATCACTTCTCGGCCGTGGCACTCATCCTCAACCCGAAGTTTGCCCCAATCGATCTCCCAGAACCATGGAGGCCTAATGCGCGCCTCTACTGCAGCAAAGGAGACAGGCCCCGAGGGGGATCGACCCGGCCACTTGGCGATAATCTGCGCTACGGCAATTTCAACCCACGAGCTAAGGAGGGGGAGATCCCGCTCGCTTTGATGCTTATCTTGCCCTGCTCGATGTCTTGGGAGACGCTGATCTCCAAGCGGCGGCGACACGAAGGACTTTCCGTCGGGGTTGCAACGTGCGAGCGGGCGAGCAAGGAGGGGGGGGGGGCTTGCTTCGAGAAACTTAGGCGCCCTATGCTGCCTTTGATCACTTCATGTACTTACATATAAACAAACCACCATGCAATGTTCCGTCACCAGTGGGGATGGGCTGTAGCATGTTGAGCCAATCTTGAGCGCTCGTCGATTGTTGGAGAGCTACCGAAAATGGTACCTAGGTTGGCAGAGACAGAGACACAGTACTTAGAGTCTAGCAAAACCCCGCAGTTGACTCGCGGCGACAGACGTCCACGGGTGCCAAACTGCTGCACCATAGGTACTCCTGCGCTGGTGCTGCACTGCTGCTTGCCGCCACCAATCCATACCACTACTGCCTACCACCACCGCCAGCTCGACTTATAGCCGAGCTATGCCAGGCCAGTGAGCCAGTCATGAGCCATCCAATTCCTCGACAACTCTTCCTCTTCACCTCGCCTTGGTTCGATTTTCTCCTGTAACGGCTGACACATGTGGTCCATTGATCAATTGCTGCTGTCCCTGCCGAGTTTGCCATTCTGCCAAGCGCCTTTGTCTCTTAAGACAACATCCCGCCAGCTTCAAATTCTATTCGGATCAGGCAAGCCTCCCAAGCTTTGGGGATCCGACCAACCAAACCTCTCGGCCACCACCCCCCTCCGGCAATCAACCCATACGCCTGCTAGCTCCAAGGGTTGTCACCCCAGCTTCTTTCTCTCTCGTCGCACCCCGCAGCCAACCGTCCCTGCACCACAATCCACCACCACAGCTCTTGGCCACGACTCTACAGAGCATCACCAGCCTAGCGGGGGCTTCATCGGGAACATCTGCACACAGCGGGGTTTCTTGATGGGCCCTTCCCCCGTCGTCCACGCCACCGAACCCTTCGTGCCGCGAACGAGCCGCGAAGGTCCAGCTCCCAGGTCTCAGGCAGACCAAGCTCGAGACCAGTCCCCTTGCCTAGGAGCGGCTGCTCCGAGGAGGAGGAAGCGACTCTGATCTTGCCTCCCCTCCTTCGCCGAGCACCCTCCCGGGCCACGGCAGCAGAACCAATGCCCGCCGAGATCTGCGAGCATCAAGATGGTACACCAACAATACGACTACCTTCCCGCCGCCGCCCCATCATGCCTCCCCACGGCACCAGCGCGACCGAGCTGCAGCAGCAGGAAAGCAGCAGCAACAAGAAGAGCACCACCCACGACCAGAACCAATCCTCCTCCTCCTCCAAGCCCAAGCCGAAACGATGGGTGAAGCGCTACCGCACCGAGGTTTCGGCCAGCGCCTCGAGCGTCCTCAGCACCGTGGCCGCCTTCCCTCTCGACAGCGTCAAGACGCGCATGCAGACCTACAAGTACAATGGCTTCCTCGACTGTGTGCGTCAGACCTACCGGACCGAGAAGCTCAGGGGCTTCTTTCGAGGTACGTAATTGCACAGCTCACTCGTGCGATTGGACCTCTGTTCAATATCAGGCTGCTCGAGCAGATGTCACAATCGAACTCTGTGCTGACCCTGGTCTCTTTCATATGCAGGTGTGACCGCACCGATGGCGAGCGTGACCCTCGTGCGGACCGTCTCCTTCTCGATTTACCAGCGATCCAAATACGCCTACTCGGATTGGCTCAAGAAGAAGTTCGGAGTGGATGTGCTGAACCATGTTAACACCAAGGGAACATACCCCAACTTCTGGTCAATATCGTGCTTTGGCGCCGCGGGCGCAACCGCAGGAGCATGCATAACTGTCATCGCCTGTAAGCCACCAAGTCGGGACCGAGACCGGAGACCCCCCCTTGCGACTATCGAAGGACGGGCGGGATGCTGACAGTCTACATAGGCCCGTTCGAGTTGACCAAGCTGAGCGCGCAAGTCTCGGTGTTGCTCTCGGAGCAGACGCACTGTCCAGACTCAAAAAGCCACAAGGTCGCAGCGAGTTATCAGAACAAAGGCACTTTTAAGACGATGGCCAATATTGTCAAACATCGCGGCTTCTCGGGGCTCTATACTGGCTTCGGCTTACACCTACGTAAGGCTTGCTGTGAGCTTGGACTGATGACTTACAGTATGTGCTGACTTGGGATATTGAACAGTGAGGGACAGTATCGGCACTGGCATCTACTTCATGACCTATGAGAGTGGCAAGCAGCTGTTGACCACTTTTGGTGGCGATCATGCTCATTCGAATCCCTTGGCTGTTCTGGTGGCCGGAGGCCTTTGCGGTATCGTTTCTTGGGCTATGATCTGTATGTGGTCTCATCATTTCTTGTTGACAAAGACGTGATGGAATGCAGGCTAACTTTCTATAAAAAAAAGATCCGATAGACTCGGCCAAGAGCATCTACCAGCGGAATGCGTTGATGTACTCCAAGGGCCAGAAGGTCAAGCCGGTCAAGGTCGAGTTCTTCAAGAAGCACATGTACCGCGGCCTCGGCGTGTCCATGGGCCGCTCGTGCGCCGTCAATGCCATCTTCTTCTCCTCGTTTGAGTTTTGGAAGAAGCACATCAACGCGCTGCCAGACGACGCTTGAACTTTGGACAGACCCGCGAATATCATCGGATGACTGAAGTACCTGAGCCAGAGCCCCCGACCGGGCCAGTTCGGTCGACCTCAGCGAGAATACCCCACACAGGAGGCTGGCTGCATTACTCGAGGAGTAAAGAAGAGGGGGCTCTCCTCCTGATACAGAGCGGATGGCGTTTCATGCCGAACGCTTTCATTCTTGACTTTACAGGACGCACTCGGACAGAACAGAACATTGCATCATTACCGGTGCCCCATGGATGCGGCATTCTTACATAAGAGGGGAGGACATCATCATCCAGCGGGAGGCAAGACTAGTAGTACCCGCGCGCGTGTATCGCTCGCATGTCATGCTGCTGCTACGCGAAGTCTTCTTGTACTCCTGGCTTGTGTTTTTCTTAACTTTTTTTTACATATCTGCTACGCAAAATCCGCGTCTTTTGTCATCTAAGTACCACCACCCACTGGGCAGGAGAGAGAGAGATTATGGAAGTGCATATGGCTACTCCCCTAGCCAGGGCCTGGATTTCATGTGGTCAGAAATAGGACCTCTAAATACACACACAATACATATTGTTCAAAAAAGACTTGGCCATCGGGCCTCTTGGTGGCACCTTGATTGATATATGCAGTTTTGTGTGCTTGAAAAAATTCATCTCATTTTGTCATCTGAATATCTCGAGAGACTTCCAGTTCATCTCATCTCATCATTCTGGAGTGCGTGATATCTTCCTTCCTGCAACGTTACGCCAATGTAAAAGCCCAGCCAGCAACAAAGCTAGAGCGCAAAGCATTCTTCCACTCCGTTTCCTTTCCCCTCTCCTCTCTTTCTTTCTTTCCTTCTTTCAATACACGCTGCCCGCGATGCTCTTGTCCTCCCGCTCGGCCCTGTCGAGCTCCTCGTCCACATCGCCGTCGTTGACCCGCTCGTGGTCCTCGCCGCAGTGCGAGCAGCGCTCGCCACCGCCCTCGTAGTCGCTGCTCACAGGCGAGTCGCCCAGCCGGTTCGCCATCCTGTGCCTGCCCAGCTCGCTCGGCTCCCGCTTGTGGCCATTCGTCGTCGTCGTCGTCGTCGTCATCCCGTTGGACTTGCCGTTTGTCGCCGCCGCTGCGGCACTATCACCGTTACCATTCACGCCGTTACTGCCGTTACCGTTGGTAGGAATCTTGAGCCGCGCGAGGCGCAGCCGCGCCTTCTCGTCCTCGGACGAGTCGGCGTCGCTCGTGTGGCCGCTGTAGGTGCCGCCAAAGTCGCGGCCGACGTGCAGAAAGGGCCGCCGCGCCTTGTCCTGCTGGTGCGGGGGCGGCGGCACGGCGCTGGGCGAGGTGCGCATGCGGTCCTCGACCGAGATGTACGACGGCGTGCCGTCGGGCGACGACACGACCTCCTCGCGGGCGCGCGTGACGTCGATCTGGGGCGCGACGTCGAGGCCGCCGCTCTCGTCCGAGGCGAAGCGGCGCGCGGCGGGCCGGCGGGCCGAGAGGGACGAGGACGAGTTGTTGGAGGCCGGGGTGCCGTGGCCGTGGGTGTGGTGGTTGTGGTTGTCCGGGTAGATGTTCACGCCGTCGCGCTTGACGAGGTCAGCGAGGTTAGAGCGGATCCGGAAGTTCTTGTCGTGGGAGCATCCGTTGGGACAACCGCCCCAGCGACGAGGCACGATGGGCGAGGCGGTGGTGGGGGTCGGGGTGGTGGCCTTTTCCAGTTTCGACCCGTCCTTGGAGGAGTCGTCCTTGGCGGCTTCGCCTTCTTTTTGCTTCAGCAGCGCTGCTCTCTCGCGCCGGAGCTCTGACCAGGTGCGCAGCTTGTTCTCGAGCGTGTACTTGCCGCTCTCCTCCTTGCGCATGATCAGAAACTCGCAGTGGTTCACATTGCGCAGGTCCTCAAAGTACTCTACGCCCCAGTGATACCACTTCATGAGAAAGACGCGAGACATGAGACCGTGAGTGACTATCGTGGTAGCAGGTTAGCGACTGTGTTCAACCTTGGGCACAGGGTAGATCGGAATTGTGTCTTACCGAGGACGCAGACACTACTAAAGTCATCGTCGCCAAACTGTCTCCACAAGCTCTCGTTGAAGCCCGAGATGCGGTCATAGGCGTCAGCCGCGCTCTCGCCGTTGGGGATGCGGTAGAAGAAGTGGCCGTAGTCGGCACGCTCCTGCCACATGCGCTCCATCTCGGCAGAGCAGGGCTGGAAGTTACCAAAGTCCTGCTCGCGGAGGCGGGGCTCCTCGTAGACCTTGATGTTGTTGCGCTTGAATGGCGAAGGGCCGTCGTCCGGGTCGTTGGCGGTCAGGGTGGCCAGGATGCCTTCTGTGGTCTCGCGCGTGCGGCGGTATGGCGAAGTGAAGAAGTGGAGGGTGTCGTCTGCTCGTAGCAGGGCGCGCAGCCTCCGGCCGGCATCGTAGGCCTGTTGCCACCCTTCTTGCGTCAACTTGACCCGATGGTCGGGTATGGTCTGGTGGATGTCCCTGTTTTCTGCAGAGCAAAGGGGAGTTAGTTGGGATTGAACCAGTCGGGATTGTGCCTGGACAGCTCCGTAAGACAAACTTACTGTTGCCCTCAGACTGGGCGTGTCTGATCAATATAATGAGGCGAGGCTTCGCCATGGCTGGAGATGGCGATGGCGGGGTATCACAAAGAGCAAGACGCAGAAGGCCACAACAGAGCAGAAAGATTCAGAGTAAATGGTGCAGACGTTGTGCCAGTTCCGTTCCGAGTAACCAGATCGAGGATTGAAAGAGAAGGATTGTGACTATCAACTAGTCGTCTTGGCTCTCGAAGCTGGTGGCGGCTGTGATGGAGGGGCCCGTTTCCTTCCGGCGACCGGCGCGAAGGAGGAGTCACTTAATTTGTAAGTGCTTTGCAAGGCCCAAAAAGAGTGGTGGCTCTCGGTCGAATGGCAGGCGGCCAACAGATTCACGATCGACGCGAGTGTTGGTGGCATGCAGTATGTAAAGTACGGGCTTGGCAGGTGTCGTGCAACCCAATCCTTTTTCTTTCGTATGGGCAGCGTGGGTGGGTGGTGGTTTTATATTGAAGGAGGGTTCGATTATGAGCCTAGACGTCCGGCCTTGTTTTACTCGTCCCTGCTCGGGCGACGATGATTATTAGACTAGTAGGTGGCGTTGTGACGGCCGTAGCGAATGTTTGCGACCCGCTGTGCCGGGGCTGTTTAGAGTGCCGTTACGGGTATTAATAGCTGTGCTGGGTCTCGAGACGGGCGTTTTGCTGCTGAGGACTGAAGATATGGATGGGTAAGTATAGGTAGTGAGCTGGGTATCACCAACACATGGCATTGCAGCTGTGCTTCTTTTTGTATTTCCACGGCGCCCATGCTCTAGTACAAGTAGAGGGGCATATGCTTTTCTCGTGGCTGACCTGATACTTGTACTTTTTTTTTTTTTGGCCCCCCGTCCCTGCCAGTTGATTTTGGCCCATCCGATTCGACAGATTCAATGCCACCCTCACGGCGTCCCTGGTCCCAACCGCCGAGCAGGAGCCAACCAGGCGCATCCCTCCTCGTCCGGTCATCGAACCATCGCTGGCCAGATGCGCCAGAGGGTGCCAGTCTAGCGGCGCATGCCCAGCCTTAGCGCTGGGGTATTCCCACCCCTCCAGCTAGCTCCCTCATCCTCCCTCCCAAGCGCTCCGGGCTCAGTCCATCTCCAACCCATTCCACCGAATGCTGGGCAAGGCTACAGAGGCATGGCCCCCGTCCTTGACAGCCAGTAATCAAGCTCCATGATCGGCCGCCCCAAAATTTTTATCTCTTAGCATCAACCACCACCGTCAGCCTTCTTCTCCAACCCTGACGATCCATCCAACCACCCACCCAGAGTTTGTGTTTTCAAGCGAGCTGCCACCTGTGTCTGTATGCACACTTGGTCCGATTTGTACGCCAATCCCCACTAGACGCCGCAATATCTCAGCTCACGAAACTGTCCGCCACACGGGCAAAACAAGCAAACACCCCCAGCGCAAAACCACTCGGAGGCAGGCAGCCTCGCGCAGGTCGCAACATCGACACTCACATACTCCCAACCCACCTCACACGCACACACATACAGATCCCACCATGTCCGCCCCGGGCCCCGAATCCATCCCCACCTCCGCCGACCCCCGCTCCAAGCGGCCGGTCAAGAAGCAGCGCGCCGCCAACACGCCCACCGCCGCGCAAGCCGCCTCCCTGGAAGCCCTCTTCGCCAAACCAGACCAGCAGATCCGCGTCCCCGACGCCTCATCGTCCTCGGCCCTCGCCCGCCGCGCCGCGCACGCCGCCGCCTCCATCCCGGAGATCGTCACCAACGTGCAGGGGTCCAGCGCCGGCGCCGGATCGGGCGAGTTCCACGTCTACAAGGCGAGCCGGCGGCGCGAGTACGAGCGCCTGCGCGTCATGGACGATGAGCTCCGCCGCGAGCAGGAGGCCGAGGCCTTCGAGGCCAGCCGCAAGGAGAAGGCCGCACGGGACGACGAGAAGACGCGCAAGAACCGCGAGAAGCGCGAGAAGATGAAGGCCCGCAAGGCCAAGGCCAAAGTCGCCGGGGGTGGCAAGAACGGCGACGGCGGTACGGCGGCGGGCGCCACCGGAAGTACAAGTAACAACCAAGCCTCTGCCAACGGGAACGGGACGAGTAAGGGAAACAGCACAGCGACGGGCGGGCAGTCAACAGCGGCAGAAAGCAAAGGCTCCAAGGAGAGCCAGGAAGGCGGCGATACAGGGTCCCAGGCAGCGCCGACCAGCGGCATTGTTATCCACGACGATGATTGAAACACACTAAGTACCGAGCGTACCATCGATTGCACGTCTCTTGGTCGCAGAGTAGCTCATCATGAGCGGCAGCCCTCCCGAGAAACGCCCTTTTTTGGGGTAGTCTACCAACGATTCTATGGGTAATACATGGGGGTATGCCTTTTGGTCACACATACAACATCAACGATCATCTAGCTGATTTCAAAGTCCAGCCCTTACTCTTCGCCTCCACCAACACCGGTGCCAACACCGGGTTGCGCCTTCTTGGCGCTGCAAATGTCATCGACTCTGAGAAGAAGGCATGCCGCCTAGTCGAAGAGGTTAGCAAAGGGCAAAATAACAATTGCCAGTGACAAGAATAGAATGACATACCTCAATTGCCGTCTTCATGCTCTGCACCTTGATCGCCTCAGGCTCCCATACGCCATACTCCTTCATGTCGGCCAGCGTGCCAGAATCGCCGTTGATACCCCAGGAGCTCTTGCCCTCGGCGTGCTTGGCGCGCAGGTCAGTCAACACGCGCACAGGGCTGGCGCCAGCGTTCTGGATGAGTGTCCGGGGGATGACCTCGAGCGCATCAGCGACAGCCTTGTACGGCCATTGCTGTACGCCCTCGATGCTCTTGGCCAGCTGGTTGAGCCTAACGGATACCGCCATCTCCGTAGCTCCGCCACCGGGCGACAGTCTGGGGTGGAACATGACGTTGCGCGCGACACCCATGGCGTCCTGCAGGTTGCGCTCAATCTCGTTGAGGACGTCCTTGGAAGGGCCCCTCAGGAGAACAGTGCAGGCCTTGGGCGTCTTGCACTTGGTAAGGAAAGTGAAGTACTCGTCTCCAATCTTCTCGATCTCGAACAGGCCGCATTTCGTACCAACATCGGACTCCTGGAGATCCTCGACCCGGTTGACAATCGTGGCACCAGTAGCTCTGGCTATCCTGTTGTTGTCGGTCTTTCGCACACGGCGGAGAGCGGTCACGTTGGCCTTCATGAAGTAATGTTGAGCAAGATCTACAAGCATAATGTTAGCAGCGACATTCCCAGCAAGCTTCCAGTAAAAGTAGCGTACCTGAAACACCCTTCTCCGTGATGACAAGATCAGGGTTCAGTGCCAGGATGGCCTCGCACATCGCCTTGACCTGCTCCTCCTCAATCTGCAGAATCCGGTTCCAGTCCTCCTCCTTGGTGATCTCAATGTTGGTCTGTGATTCACCCTTCTTGTACTCCAGCGGGCAATCCAGAAGGACGATCCTGGGGTTCTCAATCCTCCTGCGCATCTTGGGGTGTGTGATGTCCTTGTTGAGCATGACTCCGTCCAGGACCCTGCTGTCCTCAATCTCGCCGCCGGGCACCTTCTCCACACGCGCATACCGCTTGATGTCGACCTCGGTCTTGCCGTTACCGACCTCCCACGTCACTGTCCTCACCGCCTGGAGAGCCAGGCTGCACATGAGCTCCGACCATCTCGAGACGAACTTTGTGCCGATAGAGGAGTTGATCAGGCCGTACATGGCCTTGTCGTCGTCAATATCGATAGGGAGGGAAATCTCTTCGATGATCTCGAGAGCGTCCTTCAGTGCCCGCTTGAAGGCGGAGATGATGACGACCGGGTGGATGTTTCGCTCTAGCTGAGGGAGGGCTTGCGCCAGAATCTCACCAGCTAATACGAGTTAGTAAATATACAGGCGAAAAGAAGAATTTAAATAGTACTATCTTACCCAGGATAATGACAGTGGTGGTGCCATCTCCGACCTCCTCGTCTTGCGTCCTGCTAAGCTCGATCATACTCTTGGCAGCGGGGTGGGAGACCTCGATCTCTCGAAGGATGGCATGCCCGTCGTTGGTGAGCACGATGCCTCCCATGGGGTCGAGGAGCATCTTCAACATAGCCTTGGGTCCGAGGCACGATCGAATAATGTCGGCAACACTAGCTAACTGTCAGGCAACCGTGGTTTGCGTTCGTGGAGGGAGATGATTCCTTACGTCTTGGCCGCCGCAATGTTCGACATCTGCGCTCGCCGTCCGGTCTGCCTCTCACCGGCCCCGGTGTCTGCGTCATCGCATCAGCATTAGACCTGCTGCAAGGAACCGTTGGAAGCTCTGGATTTAGGGGGGCCCATACTCATCACCAATACTGGAGCCTGCATCTTGAACCGACGTCGTGTTGCACTCTCAAATGGTCGGAAACGGTCGTCGAAAGGTTCGAGTGAAATAAATTCTCCTGTCAGTCGATAAAAGTGTCGGGGCAGCTAAAAGAATTGCAAGACTGCTCTGGACTTGATCGCTGATGATAGCTTGGGTGCCCCGCGGTGCTTCTCGTCGCTCAAAAAAGTTCGAGTTGCTTCCTGCAGGTCCCCCGAGCTCCAGGTGGGGTGGATTAATAACTTCTCCGCGTTCCGCTAAATTTCAATGTTGACCACATTGATGCACGCCCTCGCCTACACTAAGTGCTCCCCTGCATCAGGCATCACCACATCCATGATATGATAAAATCCATGTATTCTCCTATTCGAGCTAATCAGATATTTTGAAATCAACGCGTTACTCTCCGTGTAGTACAGCCGCTTGTCCGTCCGTCGCTCCCAAGGATACCAGCCATCAACCCAAACGAGCATCACTTCGAAGCACCAAGTCGTTCCATCTCATTACAAGTCTGGATGTCATGTATTTCCTACGAATAAGGCATCTACCTAATCTAAACATCAGGATGCAACTTCCTGGTGGGGAAGAGCTTTCCAGCCTCCGAATTGCTTGATAGACCATCGCCCCTTTTTTTTGTGCAACCCGCCCAACACACTGTCCCGTCGGGCCCTGCAACAGTCCTGACCAGACTAGACCTGGCTCTCATGGCTCCCTGACCTTGCTGCGAACGATGCCTCTAATGCGACGAGAGAAGCAAATGTCCTCCAAGTTCTTAGAAGCCCTTCTGGCCCGCCCAACAAGTCTTCGCATACAGCCACATGCAGCTGTCTAATGGTATCATTACGTAAACAAAAGATGAGGATGTCTATGACGGAGTCGGTTCCTTCATGACGTGGTCGAAGAATACTCTCAAAGTCCTCACAAGCCGTAGAACTCCCAGCCGTCACTGGCCGAGGAAGGCTCTTCTTGACCGGTTGACTGGTACGAGGGCGCGAACTCTGTTCTGAGCTCCTCAGCCAGTCACAGCTCATCGTCTTCCTGCTCAATCTCGGACGGCTTGAGCAGGCCGCTGACCTTTGACCGCCTCTCATGCTCGGCTTGTTTGGCATCGCGCTCTTGCTGCTCCTTCTCGGCAAGGTACAGCTCGGCGTTGTCCCCACCAAACTCTCGCAGCGAGATCAAGAAATCGCGCAAACTAAGGCGGAACTTGTCGTACTGGGTGTTGAGGGTGAACAAGCTCTCGACGAAAGCCTGGATTTGGGCCCTGCAGGAGACAGTCAGCCTAGCGTCCAACTGGGTTGGATAGGGGAGGGACTTACGTTTGGAGGTTGCTGAAAGCATTATTCAACAGGTTTGCCACGTAGTTGGCGAGGAATTCCTTGTTGCTCGTACCGGCCTGCGCCTGGTCGGACTGGTAGATCGGGCCTTGGATCTTTGGCTGGGTATCGTCTGCGGGCGAGATGAAGTAGAACATGCGCAAGAGGAGCATCGACTGCGTCTTGAAGCCGGCCTTGTGATCCGTGTCCGTGAGGACAAAGAAGACGTCCTGGAGGATGGGAATGAAGAACTGGTTGAAGAAGGCATTCGAGGTCTGCGCGTCGGTCTTCTCGGCGACGTTGCTGATAAGCTCCAAACACATGTTGAGTCCAGCAGCCTCGACATCACGGTTGTCGTGCTTGCTGGCCCAGAGGCACGAGTCGATGACGAATTTGAACTGCCGGTTGTCCAGCTTGAGCAGAGCAGGGAAGCAGTGCAAGTTGATAGCTCGCAAGAGGTTGAAAAACTCCACCCGATGCTCTGGGAACTCGGAGAAATCCTTGTTGATCATGTCAAGGGTGCATTCGAAGACGTTCTCCATGATGATAGGAACCTGATCCTCCATCAGACCTGAAAGCTTAGTAATGATGGCGGTCATAGCCTTCAGCACTTCGGCATCACGGGCGCCAGGTACGTTCCGGTTGTAGTCAACCAGAACCGAGTCCAGAAGCTGAGGGACCATCTGGGCGCGCACAGCTTGCAGATCTTCAGCCTTCTCGACAAAGACCTCGATGAGTTTCAGGATCTCCTTCTTGATGGTTCGCAGACCCCGGACCTTTGGCATCTTGGTCGCAATTTCTCCTGTTATAATTAGTCAGTAGGCCGGTCATGAGGCTGTTCCCTTGATGTCACTCACCCTCTCGTGCCACAGCTTCGGAGATGAGCTGGCTAGTTGCACGATACATCTGCAGCATGTCGTGGTAGATGCGACCAATCTGAGGGTAGAAGTAGGGCCCGATAGACGAGCACGCAGAAACATTGGTCTTCATGATGTTGCCAATGATCTTGATCGTATCAGCGTCCTGGAGGATGGTAGGGTTCTCGGTCGCGGACTTGATGATCTGGTCCCAAGCGGCATTAGGCAACCCCATGAGCTCGCTCAGAAGCCGCTCCTGCTGGTTGCGGTTGCCCTGCGCGGCAACCATGTAGCCGCAAGCCTCGTAGAAGGTATGGACTTGCTGAGGGGTGAGGTCGCAGGTGATCTTCTGCAGGTTTCGCACAATCTCCTCGATGAACGGCTCATGCTCGCTGGGTTGAAGGGCAACAAAGTGACGACGGCATTGCTTCGCGATCTTGATGAAAGTATCGCAAGCCATGTCCTGGACACCTACGACAAGAAAGAATCGTTAGCAAGTAATCTCTGTGGAAAGCGAGCGTACTCGACCTACCCTCGTGTGACTCGTGCATGAACTCAAACAGCTTGTTCACGACAGTCTTGAGGAACTTCCAGTGCGCCTTCAAGAAGCGAGGGTACTGCCCGACGATGTACATAATGTTGCTGGCAACCACTGCCTTGTTGTCTTTGCCCCTCTTCATCTCAGTCAGGCCAAGCAGATCCTTGATCACAGTGACCAGGAAACGCTTCTCGGTCTCCTCGTTCATGGCCAGGGAGATGGAACCGATAGCCCAGCAAAGAACGTTGCAGTTGTGCCATGACCACTCAGTTCCGTCGACCTGTCGAGCGAGTTTCTCGGTCATGATCTGTTCGGTATCGACCACATCCAGATGGGTCAGGTAGACGAGACATTCACGGATCGTCTTGTAGAGCTGGACCGTGTCGCTCTCCTTGACAAACTCGCGGACGATCTCACCCTCGTCATTCTCGACAATCAGCACTTCTTCAGGACGAACCATCTTCTCGATCATGACGATGCGGAGGTTAGAAAGCACTTCCTTGTACTTGTGCTTCCTAAGAGGATAGTTGTTGAGGAGTGCAGGGTTCGGCGCTCCTTGGGATGACAGAGTGCCCATTGCCATGAGGGGGTTAACATCAGTAATGGGCAGAGACTGCATCTCCTCGTAGAGCTCTTGGACTAGCTTCAGCCAGTAATCGAGGCAGATCTTGAAGATTTCTCGATCATCAATCTGCGAGATGCGAATCAGGTAGTAATGAGCATGGGTCAGGAAGTCCCTGTTGGGCAGATTCTCAATGAGCTGTTTGCAATGTTAGTGGGTCCCTGATGTACAACTCGATCAAGCAGCTCGGCATTTCGGAGGCACTTACGTTGAGGTGCATGGTGAAAAAGTTACAGATGAACAATGCCAGGTTCTGCACGAACTCCTGATCCCTCGAGTTGCTCTGAGGATATGTCGTCTTGAGGTCCATCGCGATCGGAATGATAGTCGTGATCGTGGTAAGAACCTCAGTGAACATCTTCACGAGCTGTTCGTCATAGTTGCTAACTTGGCCGGGACCACCGGTCTGGAGACCTCCAATCTCTGTCAGACACTGAAGAGTGACGTTTCGGAACTCGGGGACTTCGAGGAAACGGGTTCGGAGAGTCTCGATCAGCGGCGTCTCGAAAATGTAACCAAGCGGGATCCAGTTGCAGAAGCGCAGCAGGGTCTCAAGGGTGGCCTTGATGAGGCTTGGCTGGGTGGCAGTGTTGAGGATCTCGGTGCAGAGCTGGAAGATCTGCGAGAACTCGGCACACATGGTGGTCTTCAGGTTGCGAGTCTTGGTTGAAGTCATCTGCTCCGCAGAATAGTCAAAGACCTCTTCTGACAGCAGTCGCAGAATGATCATATTGTTCTCGCAGATCGACAGGCTGGAGTGGCACGACGAGATGATCTCGTTGATGAAGGTTGGCCAGTTGTGGGGCCATTCTTGCTTGAGGACCGAGATCAGGACGAGGTTCAGCTTGTTGAGCAAGGTCTTCTCGGTCTTGAGGGATTCTTCGGAGCTTGAGCTCTGGATGATGAACTGAACCACAAAATTGCGGATTCCTTTTGGAAGGTCAGGTTAGCAGTCGAAGTGGCGGGGGAGCTTCTTGCCGGACGAAACAAACCTTGACACTGGTCGCGAGGAAGGACGTTCCATCTCGTCATGATAACATGGTCCAAGACTTGTAGCGCGAGAAACTTGGTCTGGGGATATGTCGCCTCGGAAAGAACCTTATCGACCATGAGCCAGGCATCGGGATCCTCTTTGAACTGGTTCAGAGCGGCCTGGGCAGCTTTTTGCTATGGAAGTGCAGGGCACAAGTCAGCTAGGTCAAGGCCGAGAGCAGGGCGATGATGAACAGCAGAGCTTACCTGCTCTCCGCGACCTTCATAGAAGGTGCGGACGGTGGCGTCCAACTCGGCGACGGTTGGCGCCATGGCGGTCGGGTGCGAATCTCAAAGAGAGGCGGAGCCGTATCACTACGAACCAAGCACAGAGCGGGGAGGTCGGGAAAACGAAATCGATCTCGCTGAAGCAGACGAGGCGCCTGAGTTGCAGATGAAGAAGAGCGGAAGCGGAGACGGGATCGAGAGAGGGGGGAGTAGAGAGGAAGGGTGGGAGAGGACTGTGAAGAGATTGTGTTTGTCGACGGTGAAAGCGTGGTGGAGGGAGTGATGAGAAGGCTCAGTCAGGTCGAGAAGCTTCAGGCCCCCGCGCGTGGTGTTCGGGAGGCTGGCAGAGCGGGGCGCGAGTGGAGGGGGCAGACGAATTTGTACCTCCCGCCTGACTGGTAGCGCCTAAAAGTCGCCTAACAAAGACACCTGCAACGCGAGCAATCCACTGACTGCGCAAACCGATTTGGCGCATAACGGGTGGCGTCACTGTTTTCCCCTGCCAGCGCCGACAGCCAATCATCCGACCGCTCCTCGCCCAGGGCAAGCGTCCAGGACGTGTACTTGTAATCTCTACCTTGACCTTGCCTGATGCGACGAGCAGGGGGGAGAGACAGCTACCTGAGCTTGGCTGCCACTGATTAAGCTTAATAATGATACAGCTCAATGCCCGCTTATGTACGCAATCCATCTCAGCTCTCTGCCTTTCATCCTGGGTCTCCTTTCGGTGGTATGCATTATGTCATGCTCCTTTCATCTAGGTAAATATAGATGGTTCCGGCAGTGGTACAAGTACATCTAAGCAACATGTGTCGGTTAGGATTCTGTTTGAAGGTTGTTTTCTTTAGGCAAGCTCCGGTATCTTGTACGGAAGAGCATGTCATCATCAGATGCTCAGATGCGCAAAGGCTGGAGTGGGCATCAGACCAATCAAATGCGGAATTCACACAAATCCCTCGTCCGGCTCTTGCAGAATGATGCACTTCCGAGCTTCATTTTGATTTTTGGTCTCCTATACGTCGTCCTGTTTATCAGAGTCTATAATCCAAGGAGATGTACCTCTTTTCCCCAACCGTACCATGGACATCTATCTACACAACCCCTCCCCCCAAAGGCATCTACGGCTTCTTGTAGCCGCACTCAGCAAGGCCCTCTTCCAGGGCTGTGAGTGCCTTTTCCACGTCCCCACGCTCGGGTTGGAGCTATAATCAAGTTAGCACCTGGTGTGTAGACAGGCAGTCTAGGGAAAAAACGACTTACAATGCTAGCACCCATGTGGCCAAACCGGATGTACTTGGTTGCGATCTCCTTGTGGATACCGCCAGCAAAGACGACTCCCTTCTTGGCCAGAATGGGCAGCAGATCGGTGCCCTTGACGTTCTCGGGCAGGTAGATGGCAGTCATGCCGTGAGCCTGGTCCGCACTCTCGCCGGCGACCTGCTTCAGGCCCAGAGCAGAGATGCGTTGCTTGATCTTGTCAGAGACCTCCTTGTGCTTGCTGAAGCGCTCAGCAAGGGGCTTCTGCAGAATCTGAGTCAACGCCTCGTGCAGTGCATGAACCAGCTGCGGCGACGGGGTGGCGAAGTAGGAGGGCTTCTTGGCCTCGTAGTTCCGCATAACTAGCTAGCGGTGAGCATGTATGACTCTACACATAGGGCGGCACATGACTTACTGGGCAGCCAGTTCTTCATCGAAGCAAAGTAGGAAGCGGGAGGCGTCTTGCGGCTCTCCAGAGCCTTGATAGCCTTGCCGCTGAACATGGAAACGGACAGGCCGGCGGGGCAGCCGATGGCCTTCTGACTAGCCGTGACAACACCATCCAGCTTCCAGTCATCAAAGGCGATCTCCTCGCTCGCGACAGAGCACACACCATCGACGATGACAAGAGTCTCCGGGGAGACCTTCTGGACCAGCGCGGAAAGGTTCTTGAGCTCGCTGAGGACTCCGGTCGAGGTGTCGACGTGGGTGACGGTCAGGACCTTGTACTTCTTCTCCTTAAGTGCCTTCTCGATCTCCGGGAGCTGGGGCCTGGAGCCGGGTGCCGCCTTGATCTCGTCGACGTTGGCACCGTACACCTTGAGGCAGTCGGCGAAGCCGTCGCTGAAGTAGCCGCTCCCGAGAACGAGGACGTTCTCACCAGCCTCGACCAAGTTGGAGGCCACCAGATCCCATCCCAAGGTGCCAGAGCCAGACAGGACAAAGGGCTGCGAGGCGGGGTCGGAGGTCTGGAAGAGCTTCCGGAGCATCGACAAGACGTCGCCGAAGGTAGACACAAACGCAGGGCCAACGTGACTCTCGCTAAGAGTACAAAGTGTGGTCAGTATCTGCAATATTGCATGCTCGGGTGCGCTCCGAGGAGGACTAGGTGAGGATCAATTTACCTGTAGTGGCTCATGGCCTTGAGGACGGCATCGTCGAACTCAATGGGGCCCGGGATGAGCAGGGTGGGGTGCGGCGGCTGCGAAGACATGGTGCGCGATTGATTGACTGCAGATAGGTTGGAGATGTTGGTTTGGTTGCGGCCGGCAAGATGTCCAGAGACCAGAGATAATCGGTCAACAACGGAAGGGCTGGCCGTGGAATTATAGTTGCGTGATGGAGGGGCCATGCCGGTCGCGGTGGTCGATCGCCGTGGTAGCACCCCTCCTCCTCCAAATGCGCACCGTCTTAGTAATGCCGAGCCTGTTCCGGCACTGCCCGGCCCCGAGAGTGACAACTTGGGGCAACTTCTAAACGGCTGCATATGCGCAGCTTTTCTGTGATTCGCGGGTCTGTTGTAATGCGACTCGAGTTGGTCTCCAACTTGAGTCTGGATCAGGACTGATCAAGTGAGATCTTATTCTTTCAGGCTGAGAAGAGCAACGGGGACAGCAGACTAGAACCCGAGAGTAGCTTTGAAAGACTCTTCTCACCATCGGCAGATTTCCCCGAAACCCCCCAAAACACCACTGTAGCAAATGCCCAATCCCGAACCCACTATTCGCAAGCAGCTTGGAGGCTGGACCCAGCGACTCAGCTCCGGCTGTCGGAGGCGGACCGAAGCCGAAAAGACCTGGCACCACCACATCACTGTACTTCGTAAGTAGACCATAGCTCAAGCTCTGGAGCAGGGAAGAGGGGTCATTTAGGTACCTAGGTAGGCCCAGCTAAACTGCTTCGGTGGAGCGCCACGGTCTGTGTGGGGAACAGCAACCGCCAATGGCAACCTGCAGCCGCACGATCCCCCATTACGACAACCAGCATTGATCTAAGATGCAGCCTTGAGCTCACTTACCTACTCTCCATCGACTCTCTCATGATACTGCAAAACACCAGCCCGGCATTGATCATACGGCCTTTGTTCCTGAGAGAGGAGCCTCAAAAGGTGTAATTGACACCTGCACTTGTGAGCCAGAGTCCTTGCGAGCTTCACAACTTGGATGCGCCCTGTGAGAGTTGTTGCTCAGTGCGACGCACATCACCATTCAGCTAGAGGCGCCCCAGTAGGCGGTGCTTGGAGCTTGACGGATAGCTGGGAACCCGTGCGGCAGCATTTACCATAAGGACGAGATCACCATGGCTTTCCTGATATTGGTCATTGGGGACCTCCACATTCCCGACCGAGCTCTGGACATCCCTCCCAAGGTCAGTCCGACTAAAGTTCCCGCCTTGCCAGTCGCGCTTGTACAGCATGCTCACACTCTCTCGTCCAAAACAGTTCAAGAAGCTCCTAGCCCCCGGAAAGATAGGCCAGACCATTTGCCTGGGTAACCTGACCGATAAGCACACCTACGAGTACCTGCGCACCATCGCCCCAGACCTGAAGATCGTCCGCGGCCGGTCTGATGTCGATGCGACCTCCCTGCCTCTGAGCCAAGTCGTCACGCACAGCTCCCTGCGCGTCGGCTTCCTCGAGGGCTTCACCCTCGTCAGCAGCGAGCCCGACATTCTGCTCGCCGAGGCGAACCGGCTCGACGTTGACGTTCTGTGCTGGTCCGGCGGAACCCACAAGTTCGAGTGCTTCGAGTATATGGACAAGTTCTTCGTCAATCCCGGAAGCGCGACGGGCGCGTACTCTACGGGCTGGAGCAAGGAGGGAGAGGAGGTGGTGCCGAGCTTCTGCTTGATGGACGTGAGTATCGCACTAAATGCATGCAAAGGGACTTGCAATGCTGACATCAGTGGCTTAGGTACAAGGGATCTCCTTGACACTATACGTATATCAGCTGAGGAAAGATGCCAATGGAGCAGAGAATGTCGCGGTGGAGAAGGTCACGTATACCAAGCCGGTAGAGCCGTCTGGCAGCTAGGTAGTGACAGGAGAGGCGTTTGAGGCTGGTGAACTCTCCAGGTGTCACTCGATTGAACTTCTCAATGCGCACGCCCCGGGACTGCCACTACCCGATATAAAATAAAAGGCTTGTGAGAAACAATTAGGTCTTCTCATCAGCTAGTAATGATACCACTGGGACCATGCCAGCCGTCTTTTTCGTTTTGCAATGGCATAGATTCTTATCAAGTATTATCAAACATGAAAGGCTGAATTGGTATCTGCGCGGCTCGACAAAGATGTACACATGCTATCCAACAAGCCCGGGAATCGAGAGAAGAGAACCTGCTATGCCGGGCCAGAAAAAGCCCAAACCCATCCCAAACTCCATACGCTTTGCGAAGGGCGAAATTACAATTCATCAAGTCGTTCATAACATCATGCTTCTCCTCCTGGATATCCTGTCCATCGGCACATTACTGCCCCCGTCTCTGGCAGAGCGCCTGGGCTCTTCGTAAGACGAGTCGGCCTCGTCATCCCCGTCCAACATCGACAGCTTTTTCGGCACTGCCAGAGATGCGCGCTTCCTGGAGCTCGCAGACTTTGCTGGCTGTGCGGTCGTTGCTTTCTCGGCGAATGAGCCCTCGTCCCGCAGCGCCATCGACGATCTCCGGGACGACCTGGACGGTCGAGCGGCGACGGACTTGTCCTTTGCCGTGACGATGTCCTTTGCTTCAACCACTGGTGAGGACGTTGTAAATTCATAGGGGTCCGTCTCATCATGGGCTTCCGTCGCGGTGATCACCGCCTCCTGATCTGCGCGTGCGTGGACCTTGGACAGAGCCTGACTGGCCGCCGCCTCTTTGAAGCCCATGGCCGATGTCCGCTTTCGGCGATCTCCTGTTGTGGTTGCCGTAATACCAGTATTTGACGGGTCTTTCTTCGCCAGAGGACTAGTGACGCTCTCCCGACGTTGCTCCTCCTTTGCCATCGATACTGCGGGTGGGAGCTTTGTCCACGACTCTGCGGACTCGGGCTCCAATTTGACCTTCACCGACGAGGAGGGCTCCAAAGGTGGGTCTTCTGACTTGTGCCGCTGAAGGTATCGACCTTCTCCAGCAACGGCGTCATAGAGTTCCTTTGTCGGTCGTCGCATCTTGTCCCTTAGGTTTGGTTCCGCATAGCTGACAGAGGCCCTAGAACGCCTACTAGGTCGTGAGGTTTCTCCGTTGGAAGAGATATCTACTGGCGGAGGGGTGTCGTGCGATCCGCCCTTGCCCTGCGACCGGTCAGGAGTATCCGGAGCCAAACGGTTCGCTTCGGTGAAAGGCGTGATGGGCTCCAAATCTGTGTGAATGTCCACAGATTTGGGTTGCGGCGGTTGCGGCAGTTTCGTCGCATCGATGACTACTGACATCTTTTCGCGAGGCTTCTCCCTGGCCATCGCGCTCCTAGGTTGTTTCGTAGCCTCATCCGGTATAACGGCCTTAATAGTCGGTTTCCGAGGCGATGACACATCCTGATTCGTGCTCTTCACAGCCAAGGGCCTTCGCATTGGAGCTGATGTAGATGTGTCGCGCGTATCTCTCCTGGTTGATGGCAACTCCTTGATCTTCCTCTGGCTCTTGATCTGCGACGCAATCTGGTTCTCGTTACCCAACTGATTCAACCTTGACTTCAATGCCGCGGTCTTGGATGTCCGTGAGCTGTCGTTCTCATCGTTGACGGCGAACTTTCTCTTAGAACCAGTCCGCAGTCCTTCATTCTTCTCTGACACAACCTGGCTTGGCTTCTTCGAAGGCGATGAAACTACATCGAGGTCGGCGGTCGTCTTGCGCTGGTAGTCGAGCTTGACTGGAGCAATGTGCGCCGGTGACGCTGCGGTGACTGTTTCCTCCGCCTTGGCAGGTGAATCTGCAGGAGGTTCCGGTCGTGGAGGAGAGTCCACTTTCACTGGCTCGTCTTCGACATATCGTGATACTGGGGGCGGCCCAAGGTCCGGCGATTGAGTTGCAGAGCTCTCGGCATCCTCGCAGAGAGCTAGGATTTCGTCGCGACTGCCATCCATGTTAGTGTCAATTGGCCAATGGAGCACAAAAGATTATCGCATACTTCAGGGTCTGCCTCGGGTACGACTTGTTCTCGTAGATGGGAGGTAAACGGCCTTCCTGCATAGCCAGGGCCTCCTCATCTTTGACTGATTCTCTTGGGCGCCGTTGCGCCGGACTTCGGTTTATGCTGGACTTCGATTTCGCGATCCTGCGTCCCATCGGGGAGTGCCTTTTCGCGGGCGGCTCCAAGCCAAGATTGGCAAGCAAAGACCCCCATTCAAGAAGCTGGGCTTCCATCTTGGCCTTGATCTCGAGAGCATGGTCGGCAATTCGTTGCGCCGAGCTGTCTTCAGCTTCCTTCTCTAGGCGCAGAATCTGGCCTCGAAGGTCGAGGTTCTCCGAAAGGAGTCGCGCGCATTCGTTCTCGAGACTACGGATCTTGAGCGATTGATTGGAATTCACTCGGGCGATATCGCGGTTCTGCCGTAGAAATTTGCGCCGAACTGGTTTGTTCGAATCAGAATCGTTAGTAATCCTTTCAGTCCTATGCGACAATATTGGGACTTGGTACGTACGCGTTTCTAGGCTATCTGTTGATGCGGGTGGTTCGTTTAATCTCGCCATGATTCATAATGATCAAAAAAGCAGGAGGAGAGACAAGAGGCAGAGGGCAAAAAGTCGCAAGATAGTTACAAAGCTATAAAGAGCTCTTGGTCGCGGTCGTGTGCTTGCCAGAATTCGGAGAGGTATGTTCGGTAGCTTCCAAGGTAAGGGGGGGGTGTTGATGAATATTTTTGCTGATATCCCGGCCAGCTTAGGCTACGTCGTTATTGGAATGTTTACCGGGGTGTGGGCGTTGGCCGGGCACCCCGTGCCAGCATTCCACCACCACCAAGGCTTAGCGTCTCCGACCACACAAGATCCTGTGGATCAGGATAAGATAAGGCTAATTAATGTTCATGGAGTCGGGCGCACCCCGCCAGACTTGAGCATCTCCAGCTTGCCGTTCAACGAGCCTGATGTGAAGACCATCTTCTACACTTCGACAGCACTGCGAGCGAGCATCAGCCAACTAGCGACAATGTCATACTCCTCCCGGACCACCCTCCCGCCGTCTCATATGCGTCAGACGTCGACGTCGGCCAACCTGAATCTACTCACGCGCGTAAATGAGAAAAAGGCCGAACTGGAGAGCTTAAGAGAACTTCGCGATCTCAGCGCTGCTGTCGCGACGCAAATGGAGGCATTGGAGCAGAAGTTATCAACTTTGTCAGATGGGACTGAAGGTATGCAACGACGAGTTACTATTGACTGCGGTTGGAATTCAGCGTTCCCTGTGGCTGACCTCGTCCAGCAATCGCGACGGTAATGGCCAATTGGCACAATGTCTTGCGAGCGATCAATATGGCTTCCAGTACGTACAGACTAATTGAGACTCAACGAGGCCTCTTGCTAACCCGGAGTGTCTAGCCAAATTGCCGAAGCCTAAAGACGAGTCCGAGGCGCAGCCCGACGATGCGTCAGTCGCGTTGCCTCAGACGCTTGTACGAATACCTACCGAACATGCTCCAGCCTTGCAAGCGCAAGCCGACAATGCCTTGGAGGAAGGCGGGGACGAATAGTGTATTGACAGGAAGGCGAGACGGTCAATGGAATGGACAGTGCCATCGTTGCACTGCCACTCATGCTGATGATAATGATAACGATAGGCGGGACTCCGTGTTTGGCAAGCAGAGGCGGGGAGATCCACGATGATACCCATGATAACGACACGCGCTGTGGTTATCGACGATAGATATAAATACATGGACATGTAAATGAGTATTCAATCGCGCACGATGCGCTCAAGACGAATCCGGCCAGAGAGCTCAAGATCAATTGGTGATGCGGAGGTAGCTGGGCTTCCAAGGGCGGGAGCGGCAGCAGGACTGCGGGGTCGCGTCCAGACGCGTCAAGTCTTTGCTGTGGTCGCATCAAATAACACCTTCCGCCTGCAGACTGCGGGCTGTCTTTTGGTAACTCAAATGGACTAAACTTCAACTCCATCGATGAGCCGTCATGTCTTATTTTCGAGAGACAATTCGGAAGGCTCATTGAAACAGAGGGCGCTGGGGAAGGTCCTTCTTCACCACAGGGTTGCTGCGTCGGCGCGCACCTGCAGCCCACACTCACTGAACTACAAGTACACACACACACACACGGCTGGTAAAAGTAAATAAAACATAGGCTCAGCCGGCTCTCGTTTCCTCTTCACGAAACAAACGCATTATCGTGACTGTTGATGACTTTCCTCTCTTCTTCTTGGTACTTCATTCGCAGCTTTTAGCAGTCTTTTGATCGGTTCATCTCTTCCTCTCTTGCTACATCGAGCACAAGTGCAAAGAGCAAAAGGGGGACGGACAACCCCGTTAACAGTTCGGCATCCCGAAATTGCACATCCCAGTCGAGAATAGCCCAGACCCTGGTACGTGCCAACCAACCATCCACGAGGCCAGCCCCGACCCGTACCCCGGAACGGCCCCTGTCGGGAATGTCTCAGGCTGTTCTTCAGCCCAGCACCCAGACGATGGCTCGAGCACTGGGGTTCCGGGACCAGAACCAGTTCGCTATTCTCGAGGGCAGCGATAGCAGCGATCCTGGCACTGGCGACGACACTCCTCCTCCGGATCCCCACGCATCGCGAGTTCTTCGATCCATCGATGTCGAGCAAGCGCAAAACACGGGAGAACTCACCCCCAATGGCCTAGCCACCAAGCTGCAAGGCCTGCACCTACACACGCCCACCAAAGAAGCTCCCGAGAGCATTCTTAAGGGACGTGGCCGCCGGTCCCGACCACCAATTGGCTCCGAGACCTTCCAGACTCCAGAAGGTGTGAAAGAGAAACACGCCCACTTCGCAATACCGCCGGCGGTATCGGATTCTCTTGATGATCAGAGCACACAATTGCGCAAAGGTGAGCCCTCCAACTGCGGTACACAAGACTACAGCTAACGTCGTCTCCTCTTGAAGAAAACGACCCGGTCACCTGCCGCGCCTCCAACTTTCAAACAACTCAGCTAGAGAAGCATACCGCGGGCCAGTTCGACTACGTGCTTCGCGTGCCGCTGAGCCCCGTTGGGACAGAGACAGAAACCGGCTTGGATGCCCAGCCCTGCGTACAGGACCGATACCTCTACTTTGGATGTAACGTCTTGGAACGGCGGACACGCTCAGCAAGCGCATCTAGCCACCAGTCTCGTCAAGCTGGTTCTTACACCGTGGTAGCAGTTCCGACCGACGATCACGAGAAGCCATTGGCAGACGAGGACGCACTCGAAAGCAAGACCATCATGGCAACGAGTTTCGAGAATGCTTCTAGCCCGGCAGGTGCCAAGAGGCCGCCAGAGCTGCAGCTAGAGTCGAGTGCGCATGACCGTGTCTCGCCCAAGGCTCTCAAGAAGGCGGACCGCTGCAGCCTCCGCTCGCCTGGCAATCCTCTTGCGCGAATCGAGGACAGCTTCGAGGCAATCGACCACCTCGAAGAGCAGCTTGAGGCTCTCCATGCCGTTGTTCAAGTCAAGAGGGTGCCCTCTCCCGATAAGATGCCGTCAACGGCAGCGGTAGACGACCATCTGACGGTGCCCGGTGGCGGGCTTTCGAGAACCTTGTCGACTCAGAAAAAGATCATGTCCAAGTCTGCATCCGTACGTATCAAGACAACGCAGCCCTCTGGATCCAAATCGCTACGCAGGTCGTCATCGGCCATCTTTGCCAAGGAGAACGAGCGGGAGCCCCCCAAATCTGCGGAGAAGAAGCCAGTGGTCGCACGACCAGCTAGCCTCCTCCCACCGAAACCATTGGCAAAGTCTGGCAAGCCTCCCACGATGCCGACATTTGAGCTGCCCGGCGAGGCTGTAGCTCGAAGACTGAAGGAGCAGCGTGAGGCCCGGCTGGCACAACCGCCGGTGGAGAAGCCCTTGGCTCCATCGCCCCAACGGGCAAAGTCGCTGAAGGCGCCTACGCGGCCCAACTTTGAGCTCCCTGGAGAAGCCATATCACGCCGGAAGAGGGAGGAACGTGAAGCTCGGCTCAAGATGCAAGAGGAGGAGGAGCGCAAGAGGCGCGAATTCAAGGCGAGGCCTGTGCGCCATAGCATCGCGCCCGGCTCGTATCCCCGAGAGACGATTACCAGCCGTGCTCGACAGCAGAACAAGCCAGCCTCGGCAGAGGCCGTGTCACCGGCCACAACCCCAAAACGTCAATCGGTTGCCGCTCCAGGTGGGCAGGGACTTGCGGTAGCGGGGATGTCGTCGCAGAATCGAGGCCGCTGCTCGGCGCTTGGCTCTCCGTCGACGGCACAGGCCAGCAGGGCGACGTCGACATCGACAGGGAGCGTCAGCGGCAAGCGTAGCAACGTGTCAACCGACGACGTGAGCCAGCAGCGGCAGCGGGGCAAGGAGATCGTGCAGCGGGACAACAGCTACTCGCAGGAGCGCGAGCGGGAGAAGCGCGAGCGAGAGGAGGCTGCTAGGATCGCCCGACAGGAGGCTGCCGAGCGCTCGCGGCTGTTGAGCCGAGAATGGGCCCTGAAGAAGAAGCTGAAGGGTATGGTCGGAGGCTCGTCACCGTCACGAGCCCAGCCGGTTTGAGAAGTCGATCTCGTCGACGTCTGCGTGGTGTCGAGAGGCTTCGTTCAGGACATGAACAGCCGTCCGTTCCTTCACAATCGACATTCTCGTACATGCTTGCTTTCGACCTTGGCGGCTTTTTGAGCCTTTACTCTTTTCTCTTTTGTTGAATCAGGCAAAAGCATGGCCGTTACTGGTGTCGGTGCTAGGTTTTGGAATAGCTGCATCTTTATGGAGTCACTCGTTGCAGCATTGCCTTATTTTCTCTTTTTTTCTTTTTTGGGGTTGAGCATTGCCTCTATTTATTTTGTACTTTCGAGTTTCCCCTATCTTCTATTTTTCCCGTTTGACTTCGTCGGATGGCTTCGACTACCGAACCACTTGGATTCGCGAGGATCAACGAGCTACACATAGGTGACAGAGCACTCACGTAGTCAGTTTATTGTCTTGAAATCAAACAGAGTTCAATAGTTATCAACCTAGAGTTGTGCAAGCGTGGCGCCTTGTACTTAAGTGGTGCACTATGAAAACGACAAGTTAACGACGGCGACTTTATTTCGTCTACGCTCCCCGGCCCAGATCAGATCCCACTTCAATGAGCTGACCAATGTGACCAAGTCTGGGCATGTTAAGAAGGGTCCCGTCAGTGGGAGCGCTATGCTGTTTTGGAGCAGGCTGATATGCTAAACTTGGGGGCCGGGGGGGGGGCTACTCAGCATCTATTGTACCTAGAACATCAGCGATTTGCACCATGCAGCACCGAGAGACTCCGCCCGGAGTCGACGGAAGGACTGAGAGTCTCTGGCTGAGCTCATAATTATCCACTTGCGCCTAAGGCCCCCCTGTACCCTGCGTCGTATCGCACCCGCTTTAGACCCTTTTAGACCCTTTCAGGCCTTCTCGGGGCTGTGTAACTACCTAAAGGAACGGAGCAAGTCCAGGTCCAGCCTGCTGCTCCCAGAGTCGCGTGCGCTCCAGTGTGCCTCTGCGCTAACTAAATCCCAGGGTTGTCGCTCACATCATGAAAAAATGCTGACCAGCTTCCCCCGTTTCTCTTCTGTCGTTGATACATAATCCTCCCCCCCCTTTGTCCAGGCTGCTCCCGTCCGTTTGCGCTTGAATCCAGATGCATGCCTGACCAGGACCTGCGACGTCGGCAAGCACAAGCGGGCACCAGTCCTGCTGCTGCGCACCCAATGCCCTGGATGAGCCCAGCTGCTCCCGCAGGCGCCAAGCCGGCCGAAGCCGCCGACGAGGAAGAGCTCCAGCACATGGCCGCCACGCCCGCCACGGCGCTTGCCGCTACCACTACCGCCACCACCGCCGGCCGCATGCGGCGCTTCGCCCTTGTGGGCCGCTCGCGGCGCTTCCTCATCTGCCTGCCCGTCTTCTGGTGCATCGCCATCTTCACCCTGCTCGTGTGGTTCCTGCGGCGTGACCACGCCCTCCCGTCGCCCATCTCGTCCTCGCCCGGCGTCGGTGGTGGTGGCGGCGGCGGCGGCGGCAGCGGCACCCACTCGGGCGCGCCCGACGAGTCCGTGTCGGTGACGCTGCGCCAGGGCTCCTACACGGGCACCGTGCTGCCCGCCAGCAAGGGCGGCCGCCCGCGCGAGGTCGACGCCTTCCTCGGCGTCCCCTACGCCGAGCCCCCCGTCGGCGAGAACAGGTTCCGCCCGCCGCTGCGCCTCGCCGCCTCGTCGGCCGCCGCCAACGCCACGCTGGCGGGGCCCTCGTGCGCGGCGGGCGGCGGCGACTACGAGTCGGAGGACTGCCTGACCGTCAACGTGTACCGGCCCCGGAATGCGCTGGAGGAGGAGGGCAAGAAGCTCCCCGTCGCGCTGTACGTGCACGGCGGCGCCTTCAACGGCGGCAGGGGCACGGAGCGGGACATGGCGAGCTTCGTGGCCTGGGCCGACCGGGACGTGATCGGGGTCAACTTCAACTACCGGGTCGGGGCGCTGGGCTTCCTGCCCTCGGCGCTCACGGCCAAGGAAGGGCTGCTGAACCTGGGCCTGCGGGACCAGCAGATGCTGTTCGACTGGGTGAGGGAGAACATCGCCGCCTTCGGGGGCGACGAGGACAATGTCACGCTCATGGGACTGAGTGCCGGCGCACACTCGGTAAGTCAGAGGACGAACCTTGTCGTCTCAAGGATCGATGCTAACGAGGAACGCATCTAGCTTGGCCACCACCTCATGCACTACACAAACAGCAGTGCCGCGCCCTTCCACAAGGCCATCATCGAGTCGGGCGCGACGACCGCCCGGGCGGTCCTGCTGCCCACGCACCCCCGCCACCTCGTGCAGTTCCGCGAGTTCCTCGTCGCGGCAGGTGTCGAAAAGGTCCCAGAAGCCGAGATCTTCTCCGCGCTGCGCAAACTACCCCTGTCCACCGTCGTCCGCGCCTCTCGCCTCGTGTGGAACAAGAACGTCCCGGCCGTGACCTGGCCGTTCCAGCCCGCCATCGACGGCGTCGTGCCCCCCTCCTCCTCCACAGTAGCCTCATCATCATCACCCAAGGGGGCAAAGGACGATACGATCACCACCGTCGCGCCTACCAACCTCACCGCGGACCCGATGCTGCCGGACCTGCCCATCACGAGCTGGCGCAGGGGCCACCACCTCCGCATCCCCGTCATCACGGGCTTCAACACCAACGAGGGCACCATGTTCGTGCCGCGCCTCGCCAGCACCGACGCCGACTTCCGCTCCTTCTTCCGCACGCTCATCCCCTCCCTCTCCGACGCCGACGCCGCCGCCCTGTCCGCGCTCTACCCGGACCCGGCGACGGCGGGCCCCTCGTCGCCCTACGCCGCCGTCCCCGCGGGCACGGGCAGGCAGTGGGCCCGCCTCGACGCCGCCTACGCCCACTACGCCTACGTCTGCCCCGTCCTGCAGACGGCCGACTTCCTGGCCAACGCCACCGGCGGCGCGGGCGTCCGCGTCTACCACTACGCCGCCCGCGCCACGGCCTGGGACACGGCCAACCACGGCGACCACCAGCCCGTCGTCGCGCACGACATGGCCCGCATCGGCGGCTACCCGGGCGTCGTCAAGATCGCCGACGCCATGCTCGCCGCCTGGGCGCGCTTCGTCGCCCTGCCTCCCGCCGCCGCCGCCGCCGCCGTGGACGGCGACAAAGACGACGACGACGCGCTGTGGCCCACGACCGACGTCACGGGCGGCCGCAGCCGCAAGGTCGCCGTCTTCGGCCGCGGCAACGACGAGCGCGTGCCGGGTTCCAAGCACGCCAGCCGGGGCACGCCGCGGGTCGTCGAGGACCTGCCCCAGGACCTGCTCGACAAGTGCCGGTTCTGGTGGGACAGGGTCGAGCTCAGCGAGGGCCTCGGCAGCCGGACGGCCCCCGCGATGGCCGCGGCGTCATCATAGCAATATCTGACAGGGGGAATCGCAACATGGCCCTCCTTTTTTGATAGAAGGTCGCGGCTGTCTCTTGCTTTTCTCTCTTGTTTTCCTGAATATATATCTACGTTGCATTGCACACGGAATAGCGTATAGCGGATAATACCAAGCATATGTTTTCAATTTTACACAAGACAACAGTTTTGTAACATGATTTGATGCAACCATTCACATCAACAAGTTGCCCATGTCCATGTTGAAATGTAGATGGATACCGATAAGAAAACTTTCGTGTCCAGAAATCAAAATTATATTTTGTACATATATATATCTATAAAGTTTTTGACAAACATTTCATGCCCCTTCTCCCGCTACCTAAAGAAGGTAGAGACAAACACACACACATCCACCACACGCAAAGCTGAACATGTACCCGCCCGTTCCTCATCTTGAGACCCGATACATTCCATTCCTTGCCGCCCTCCCTAGCCCCACCGTGTCGTGTGACGACTTCCATTCCAACGGCGCAACAATGTGCTGCTGGCGCAAGTTTGTTTCGTATTTTTTTCAAGACAAAAACAAAAGCCTTGGCATACAGCAGACAATTGGCTCTCAACCTGCAGAACTCTACTTTGCAGGCTCCAGTCATTGGGCCTAAGCATGAGCACTGAGCCCATGATCAGATGTTGTCTTCCTGAGCTCAGCAAAATGATGATGTATTGACGTTACAAGACAGCTCGAATGTGAACGGCCTTGATATCTCGTATGTAAATACAGGGCTCTGCCACCTCACAGCACTGCAGAAAATCCGATATGTTCAGCCGAAAGAGGAGAAAAAGAAAAAGAGTTAAATGGCGAGGATAGCAGTGTAAGCGGAGGCAGTAAGAATACCGAGGTGACAATCCCCGCTCGTGTGAGTTGGGGTGTTGGCATTAATTAAATAGTAGTCGATGGTGTTTTAAAAGGTATGCATAAGCCGTTTTTTGCTGGCCACGCCTGGAAACGCCGTGATGCAGGGTCGAAGGGTTGCTTGGTAGGTAGCGGAGGAATAAGGTGGTCTCTTGAGGATGGGGTATCGTTTTGTGTTCGAAGGGAAGGAAGGGTGACGCTATGCAAGGAGAGATCCAGCGCGATGCCGAACGTGATCATCTTTAGAAGTTTTGCGAGATGCCAGCGTTTTGCGGATAGTGTGCGGGATTCTCAATGCGAGTGTTGCGGCGTGCTGGGTTGTCGCGGATGACGGGGGCGCCGCCAAGCTCCGATGGGCGCTGGCCGTTGTTCTCTGCGTAGGGGTTGTTGCTGCCGTGCTGGTTGTAGTACTCGGGGTTGCTGTACGCCACCCCAATGCCGCCTTCTCCAGAACCGTCAGACCTGGCACCGGCACTATACGATGACGAGGCGTTTGATGGGCCGCGGGCTACGTTGGCGCCTCGGTTGTCGGCAGCAGATGGACCCATGGCACCCAAGATCTCACCTTCGGGAGAGTGACTGCCCTCGTTGAGGGGCTCCCCGGAACGAGAGTCCGACACACCACCTCGAGTAGGCGAGGTAGCATCAGAATAAGCAACGCCAGCAGCACCGCCAGACATGGTGGTCGAAGCCTTCCTGCCCGTAGAACCGGCGACAGTCGTAGAGCCCCATCCACGATAGCCTGAGGATGCATCCTCCTTCATCTCATATGCACCCGCAGAGCCGCCTCCGGCAACGGCTGGAATAGTAGGGTCGGCATTGGGGTTGTAGGTGTAGTCCTCTACCTCCTTCCGCCTTTGTTCTTCGGCATCCTTGCGCTGCTTCCGCTTACGCCACCAGAAGATACCGGCCAGTACAAGCAGGGCTACAGCGGCAATAGGGACGACGACGCCAATGGCGATTTTCCCGCTGTCGTTCAGACCCCCGCTGTCGCCTTTGGAAGGGCCAACAGGTGTACTCGTAGACGAAGTAGTCGGGGCCGAAGTCGAGGAGCCAGTATCGGTAGGTGAGGGAACTCCTGTGGTGATGAAGCTGGTGATGACAGAGGTACCTCCGCCCGAAGGGGTGATTACGGTCGTGACGACGCTGGGTGGTGTGCTGGAAGGGGGCGGTGCGCTGCTTGATGGGGGCGCAGAAGACGAAGAGGGTATCGAGGAAGTAGTAGGCGGCGCCGAGGACGAAGGTGCCGACGAAGACGACGGTAAAGACGTAGTAGGCAAGCTAGGTGAGGAGGACGGAGGCGTCGTCTCCGGAATAGCTGTTGACGGGTCAGTGTTAGCAATGGAACTTGACGAGGACCTGCTCGTCGGCGGTGACGAGGATGGAGTCGACGCTGTCGGCGGAACACTCGTACTTGTACTGTTAGACATGGCGAAGCGTGCCGACTTCAACCCTTGAGAATCCCTACGGTTCCGAGGCATGTTAGTGGGCGGACTTGACGGCGAATGAGGCTGCGGGCGAAGGCATGGTCGCGGCGGCAAAGGACAGGGTTTCGGGGGTGAGAGGGTAGGAGCGATCAAGGTGCGCTGCAACGAAGCAGCATGTGTTGACACACAAAGACTGATGGTGATGATTCATACACCAGTGCAGCGTTGCGCAAAACAAAAGAAAATGGGAACGTGGTGGATGGCTGGTGTTGGTTGTGGTTGTGGTTGTGCGGGATGGGAAGACGCGGTGCAAGGGAAGGACAGAGACAAAATAGCACAGGGCTAGCTCGTGTCGGACAAGCAGCAGCGACATACCTTCAAGCTAGTCTCTCTTTTTTTTCTGTCGCTCTTGTCCTCTGGCTCTGGATCGACAAGAGACAGGAGCGCGCAGGGCGAGAGGGTGCTATCCAAGGCAAAGAGTTGCCGCTGGGAGTGGCGAGCAAGAGTTTCTAGCGTCCAACGGAGGGAGCGACGGCGTTTGAGGTGACGACGGGTGGACCAGAGGGATTGGCTCTGCCTCAGGCGGCGACACAAGATCGGTTTCGAATCGGCACGTCGATTGGCGGCTCAAGCGCAAGGGGCGGCCGTCGATGGAATGAAGACAAAATAAACCGTCGTCTCGGTTTGGATCCGCAAAGAAAAGATGGAACGAATGGTGCTGTCGCAGCAAATGAAGAAGACAAAAATTGGAGGGTTTTTTTTGCTGACAGACAGGAAGGGTGTGACAACCTTGGGGAGGGAAAAAGAGGAGGAAAAACACCGCGACAGCGAGAGGAAGATCCGGAGCAATAAGGTAGATTGATCGGCTCGGACCAGCAGGACGAACAGCGTGCTCGAGCTGTGAGGGAGAAAAATGGGGGGCCTGCCTAGGTCGGAAAAGCTGGTTCTGCTTTTGGCTATGGCGCACCTCGTAATGGCGGATCTAGGATTGCCGGGGTAAATATGGCCTTAAACGGGTCGAACCTCGAACTGGGAGGTGGTCAGGCCAGGCCCTTTTCTCCGTGCTCGCTTGAATTTGCCAGGGTCCTCCTCAATTCAACTGAGATTCGTCTTTCTCGCCGACGATTTGCGGATGTAGACGAGCGATCCGGTCGTCTTGGCTCCACGTACGCTCTCCGTTTTTTTTTTCCTTCCCGCGTACTGTGTTTTGATCTCGATAGTGCAACGAAGTATGCACAAAAGTTGCGTGCTTCGTATGTCTCTGGCCTGGATCTGTGGGTTTGATGATCGAAACTCCGTGCCGCGTGCCCCGTCAGATTGACTGATGCGCCCCCAGGCCGCCCGAGAGATGGATCAGCCTCAATCCCTGCAACCCCCCAATGCCAGTCCGTGACGTGCTCTCCGTTCCTAGAATAGGAACGTTCTCGCCTCAGATCGCCGGCGTATCGCCAATGACGCTTCCGTTCGACGGCGATGGTAACGTTGTCCTTCGCGGTGCAAAATGCGGGACCAAGAACCAAAGATCTGGTGAAAGATCTGGTGCGTAATCCGGGCTTTCCTCCTGACCTGCCCTCGTTCCAGTTCTGATTGGAGTTGTTGAACCGCCGTGCCACCCAGTACTTGTAAACGCTTGGTGTGGCTCACTCAGCCCAGCACAGCCCACACAATACGGCAAATGCACCCACCGTCCGTCTTTTGTCACCTCAGCTTCCACGTGTCTGAGCTGCCACCTTTTTGGAGATGTTGCGTTTTTTTCTCGCCGAGGTCGTATCAGATATTCAAATGTGCTTTGTGCGCCTCGATGTTTCGCTTCGCTGTCCCAATCCGAATTGTGTACGTGCGGTCAGAAATGCCACCGAACGAGAATCGATTGTCCTTTCCTGTTTGCTGCTCCGTTGCAGTGCCGTATAATTGCATGAAATGGGAGAATTTCGGTTATGCCAATAGTCCCGGGGAATTTTGCGCTTCTATCGATCTCCAGAGATCGAAAGGGCCTGCGGGGTGATGCGCTGCCAGCAGTGATTGTCTCTGCTGTATTGTACAAGTTTTGGTCAAGAGAAAAAGCGCCAGGTCGGGACAAAAACGGTAGCAGACACACTTCTTTTTAAGAAGAGAAGGTGCGGGAGGGCTACTCAATCTGCACAAATCCTTGGTTTTCGATTGACTAAGTTGGTCCTGGAGCGTTCTGTTTGAATCGTCACCTTCTTTGAGCCGGCGGCGGCACCGGCAGCAAGGGAAGCAGGTTTACTGAGGCCGTGGATCCACCCGCTATAGCACAGAGCTGCCGAATAAGATGCGCCGTAATGACAGCCTCCAAACTATGCATCGCTGGCTTCCCCGCTTTCTACAGCTCCTTTCACGCACGAGTAATGAATGCTGTCGACGTTGAAGGACAGAGTTTTACCGCACAGAGTAAGCACTGCAAGTCTGCATGCATTTACGGTAATTACCTACGTCTCTCTGACTGGCTGGCTTGCTTTCCCTTCAGCTCTGGGTGGCTTCGCCCCAGCCACTGCCATTCTTTATCGAAAGACATGAAGAATCTCAAAACATCAGCTCAGAATGCTGGCGGCAGCACTTGGGCAGCTCGTAGCGATCCCACAGCAAGCCTCACAACGAAACCAGGTTACACTGGGCGTCGTGGATGACACAGTCCTGCCAGGATGCTTGCCCCCCGTCTGACAACCCCCAGCCTCAGTGACGTGTGAACGAACAGCACGACGGAGCAATGACTCCAGGTCCCGCTGATTGTCAAACAACTCAGTCCTTTTGGGTGAGCGACTCCCAAGAACTGCGAGACCTGGAACATGTGTTTCTATAGCAAAGCGGTGATATAGCCTCTTCTCGGTCCAATCTGTAAAGTCGCATCGGCTCATTGCGAAAACGTCATCTCCCGGGGAACCAAGAAATCGGATTTCCATGGTCTTGGCAAGGTCGAGAGTTCTTCCCTTCTTCTGTCGATGTTGGATCCATGGTCGATCACGGCTTGAACCCAACCGAGCAGCTTTGCACCTCAACGCTTAGTTTGAACTTGCAACTCGTGTAAGCTCAGCTTTCTAATAAGGAAAAAACCTTAGTTGCCGAAGTTCGATTGTGAGGCCGTCTTAGCTCACACACACCTTCTCTAATACACACTATCGACCTGCCAGTAGTCTATGTGGCGGGCCACGGAGTAGGTGTAGCAAACATGAACAAGCTGTGTTGCCATCCGTCACGCAATTGGTGCATCGCATTCAAGCTTTGGGCTGTTACGAGAAAAGAAGAAAAGAAAAAGGAGACCCGATGCGCCGGTTGAGGCTGTGCATCCACTACTTTACTCGACTTTACTCCGTAGTTGTCGCCCAAAGGCCTGCCAGCATGCCCCCTACTCCGTACGAGGATGAGCTGGAGACGCCACTGAGCCAGAGACCGCCGCAACAAAACCGCTCGTTTGCAGCTGCGTGTCTCACTCTGGTAGAACTGCCAGCACACACACCACGAACAGTAGTCGATGCAGGAACGCTGCCAAGACGTCGGTGTCCCCGTAGCCAGCTTTCTGCCATATGCCTCCTGGACAAGTTGTCCACCTTTGCCCTCCGTTGATCGATGCACCCTCGAATAAATCTCGTGCCTGCTTGAGTATGCGGGTTCTCGCTGCCCGGTGACATATGCTCAGGCATCGGGATCAACAACCTCAAGACACAACCAGCCCTAGTTTCCATCGCCTGCATTCTTACACTCAACAATGGGCACACGAAAGAGAAATTGGAAATACTGCCGTCTGAAATAGTCTTCTGTTATTTCTTCCCTGAGCCATGTCTAATTTTACGCCTAAGAATTACACAATATGTGGCTCCCAATGTGTGTGTCCGATCTGATTGTTGTTTCTATATAGATGCGAAGACTGAAAAGATTCCATCATGCCCAAAGGAGCAAGGCAGGTAGAGTTCGTCATGACGCGTTTTGATTTTTTCTTCTTTTTCCCAGATTAAAAGAACTCCCAAAATATGTCTTAGGGGCCAAAGAGACTCAAGCCAGCCAGCAAGCGCCGTGATCAGTCTCGTCTTGGGAAAGACGGACCACACGCGAGTTGGCACAGGCCTGAATCTCCTGCCACCACAAAAAAAAAAAGTACAATGCCGTTGTCATGTCTAAACTCCCGCTGTTTGATGCAAAGATGAAGACCGATGCAGTGGCGTCATCATGAGTGGCGGTGGCCGTCTGGTACGAAAGAGCCTGTCCGCCCGTCGATATGTACACGAGATTCATTACATCCCGCCAAGGTTTGGTGGGAGAAGCCTGCTGCTGCTGCGAGCAGCTACCTAATCACGCATGCCCCACGATGGCTTGAGAGTCGTGTTGAGAGCCGCCTGAGTGAAGACCGTATCGCCCGGCAGACGGCTCACGCGACCGGCGCCGCTGCGGATGGCGCTGAGCTGAGCGGTCGAGATGCCGCTGCGGTTACTCCTGATGCTGCCGGCGTCGCTCATGGTGTCCGAATCCTTGAACTTGCGAGGAGGAGCGAAGTCCAGAGCCGTGAAGGTGCCCGACTTGCGTAGAAGATGTCTATTGAAATTTGGTCAGTGTCGAAGCCCTTAGATCACACACCCAAGGAACCAGGGAAACTTACGGGCTTGGCAGTGCTGCCATCTCGTCAAAGGCCGACACCAACGGCGACGAGACTGGCACGTTGAGCTGGTAAGGCCGTCGCTCGCCTAGCGGGCTCTGTGGCCGACCGGCAACCTTGTCCGCAAAGGTGGGCGGAGGGGCAAAGTCGATAGCTCCCATCAGGGCGAACGAGTCGTCCTTCAGCTTGGACGGTGTGGGAAGAGTCGTCAAGGCAGCCGGAGGAGGCATTGGCTTTCGAGGACCTCGCGCGGACATGGCCGATCCAGCTCTAGGTCGACCCCACTGGTTCGAGGCTGAGGATCCAGGTCTCGGGCCCGGACCCCAGTTGCTAGAAGCTGCTGAGCCGGGGCGGAAAGGACCGCGTCCTCCAGGCATACTCATGCCGCCCAATGAGCCGTGCGGGCCACGAGGAGGACCGCGCGGGCCTGGTCCTCGGGGTCCAGGTCCTCGAGGGCCCGGACTGCCCGGCCCAGGGAATCTTGAGCGAGAGGGGGGCGGCGTCATGGCACGGCGAGCAACTGGCTGTGCATACGGCATGACAAAGGCATTTGTCTCGGGGTCGAAGAAGGCCGTGTCTCCGAGGTAGCTCTGGTCATAGTCCTCGTAGTACTCTCCGCCTTGCGTAGGAAGTGCAGGCATCTCGGGTCGGTTCGTTGATTCATCAAAGTATTCCTTATAGAAGGACCGGATTCTGTTCGCCCTTGTCTCCGGGTCCTCCGTATCCATCACCTCGTCTGGCGGGAGGGGCCTGAAGCCAACAGATAACCTCTTGTTCTCGTACTGAGGAACATTAAGCCCGGTGGACTGCTCCTCCTGTGGGTACTCCGAGGACTGCCGCCGGTGAGTAGGACGACCACGGTCGCCCTCATTGTACTGATCTTGAGCGTGGGCGCTGACCCTGTCCCAGTCATCAGAGTAGTCCTGAGGAGCATCGATGATCGGGGCGGAGAGAGGTGCGGGAGACATGTGGTGTGCCGAAGCATCCAGGGGCGGGAGTGCCATATGCGGGTCAGGGAAGTCAATGCCATCCATCAGTCCGAGGCCGACACTGTCAGGCTGAGCCTGTTTGGGTTGTTCATGGTATTCCGGCTCGGGCATTGGCGAAGACGGAAGACCCTTGCGAGCAATCTTGGGTGGCTCCTGAACCACGGGCATGTCCGTAGTGATAGCCATATTCTTCTCGTCGGGGTAAGACACCGTCTCAATGACAGGGATAATAGGCTCGGGCATAACCATGCGGTCCTTTGACATCGGCGGCGGCACAGGAATAGCAGCAATCTCAGGTTGCTCGGGACTCACGTGGGCCGGGAGAGGCTGTGTGGGTGTCGGCGGCACCTTGGGGAGAGAGTTCTGTCGTGGAGGTGGCATCACTCTGGAGGAGGCGACAGAGCGAGTCTTTCCCAATGTAGTCCTGTCGCCAGTGGAGCCAGTATAAACCGAAGAGCCCTCCCCTCCCTCTTTCATGGGGAATGAGCGAATCGATCCCATTTCGCTTGCGGCGTACTGGGTGACAGGCCTGTATGGATCCTCGTTCTGATGAAGGGTACGGGCAAGTGAGTGGAGCGACTCTCGCGATTGCTGGAGCTCTGGTGGCAGAAGGTAGGGACTCGAGAGGTTCATATCCATCGATAGTTGGCGGTGCTTGGCGCTGTTGCTGGGCTTCTTCTCTCCACCGAAGAATGCACTCTTCCGCTTTCCTCCTTTGCTGGTGTCAATCGTCAAACCGAAGTCCAGAGACTTGTGGGGGTCTTTCATATCCTCCAGGATCTGCCTCTTCACATTCCGGCGGTGCAGATACCACAGAGTGCAAATGATAGCGATCAGGGGAATACTGGTGTGCGGCGTCAGCGTCTCCTCGAAACGTCCTCGTAGGGGTAAAGAGGACTTACCCAATACCCAAGCCAATAGCCACTGGCAGAGTAGCTCCAGCAACAGGCTTTTCGCACAGGTTCGGGTCGGCATCGCAAGACGAGGTGCTGTCGCCTCTCCTGGTCAAAGTGCGACTAGCGATGCCTTGTCCCACGACTTGAGAGGGCTGGTCCATCTCCTTGGCGACCTGCAACGGAAGCCGGGGGCCCAGGCGGTAGCCATAGCTCCCGTATCCAGCACCGTCCATGTTCCGAGTATTTTCTCCTGCTGTGTCTGTCCTCGATCCGTGCTCTGTCTGCTCAAATGCGATGTTTCTGAGTGATGTGTCCTGCGAAACGGAAAAAACCCTTATGCTTTCATATTCCGAATCTCAAGTTGGCTCTGTCGTCGATTGGTTTCGTTGCGTTAAGATTCGGACGTACACCCGATGTTCAAAAACAAAAGGATCAGCAGATACTTTGTTCGTAGTCCTGTTCGTCGCTGTTGATGAATGAATGGACTGCTTCGAAGCAAAAAACGAAGCAACACAAGTAAATGAATGACTGGTTCTAAAAAGAATGGCACGCCTGCTGGCAGGCTTTACTAAAAGAATGACTCTGACGATGTCTACGTCCACCAAGGAAGTCGTCACAGGTTGGCAGGACGGTAGATGAGGAATGCAGAGAGGAGAATCAGGAACAGGACCGCAGACGAGAGAGAACATCGACAGCAGCCACAGAGAGTGTGGCAGTGGGTTTGGCCGACTCCAGCACGGGGCACCGACCAGGTCATCCCGGCACCACTGCCAACGGCCGAGATTGGACTGGACCAGTCCAGGACCGGAGACAAGCTTACTGAGTAGTTGCATTCAGGAGGCATCATGGGCGGAGAGCCACCACCGTCCATTGGCGTGGTGTTGGCTGCGAGTCCCCGTCAGAAGATGGGTAGCTAATTTCAGCCAAATGACAGAAAGGGGCATAGAGGGTAGATATCCTGGCCGGGTGACTTGACATGCCCATACAACCGCCATAGCCAGGGGCAGGTACCATGCTCCACATGGGTCTACCCATGTCTGGGATCCATTCCAAGGTCCACAGCTGCAGTCTTTCTTCCTCCACCCGCCTTTGGCAGCGGTGTGAATGGCAGAAGGACCGCCACACAGCAGTGGATAGCTGGGCAGCCCCCCTGCAAAATAAGCCTGTACCCGCCCCTGAACCAAAGGCTAATGCAGGTACCCAGGCGCAAAACCGCTGGGGCGATTGCTTTTCCCATGGATGCTTTTTTGGTGCTTTTTTCTGTTCATCCGTCCCATACCTAGGTACTTATCCACCCCAGCTGGTTTTGCACGCGGGTTGGCTCCAGCTGCCTTGACCAGGGCGCTAATCAAACCTCTCATTTAAGCTCTTGATAATGAATCCTGCTGGTGGATTGGCCGCCTTCTCTTGTTCTGCCCTCCACACCGATCGCGTGCGCCTGCGCCAAACTTGTTTGGGACGATGGGACAGCGTCGTTCAACCGAAATGAAGAGAGAATTGGAGGGGAGTGTGGCAGCAAAAGAAAGGGAGAGAGCGTTGCATCAGATCTCAGGGGAACGGATGGGACCTTGCTCGGTACAGTCTAGGCGAGTGTTTCCCCTGCCCCAGCAGACCTCACGATTGTTGCAAAACAAGGCAGTGGGTGATAAGGGCATGCCTGACTGGAGCTGTGGCGCATTTATCAAACTTGATGATTACAAGTAGTTACCGACGGAGTACTCTGTACGAGTACCTACTGTCTTGTTGTCTTGCTCCGGTACCTAGTGCCAACGTCTTCCAAAACATCGGAGCCTGGCTCGCCCCCATGAGGTGCCAAAGGCACGGCTCGGACCCCAAGGACCTAACTCAGACAATGTCTCACTCCCGTCGGGATCCGGTCCTGTAGCGTAGCCGTGTGAGTCGTTGGGGCTTATTTCAGTCAGCTGCAGTCTCCGAGAATAGGAATGTTGCAGTTGTGGTTATTTATGGTTCGCAGCATTCCTGAGCACCCAACAATGTGACCTACGAGTGTCTTGCAGCTCGCTGTATACCTAGAGCGATCCGTATTGGCACGCGATGTGATCATCGATTACTCAAGTAGTGTGTCTCACTGAGAAACTCCACACCTCGTGCAGTTGGTTGCTTAGCAAGCAGGAACAGTGAAGTCGTCAATAGGTACTCTGCTGCCTGCATTTCTCGAGGCAGTCTCGAGGCAGTCTCGAGGCTAAATTCATTCGCCGTGCCGTCTGCAATATATACAATCAAGTCAAACTTGTTTTTCCAATCAATAGATAAATACGCGAGGTGCCTATGCCGATCTCGTTCAAGTAGACGAAGCTGCTACCGTACCTCCACCTCCAAGATAGAGGTAGCCATTGTCTTCCAGTTTTGCTGTGAACAAGATCTGGGTGGCCCGGCTGGGTCGAGCTTACTTAAATGTATTCAGGGACTATGAGGTTGTCTGGTAAAAGTCTGGCGCGTACTCAAGCAGCCAGTTCTTCTCGATCTTGGTGATATCTCTGATATATGTCTTATCGCCGGTCTCCATAACCTCATGGAAGATGACCCAGTCCGCCTTGCGATTGAACATCAAGGAGCTCGGATGGGCGTGAAGCGTGGTTCCTCCTGCAATGTTGCGAAAAGTACCATCTGCCTGCATTCTCGCTGCGTGGGCAAAGTATCCAGTTGTGAGGCATCGCCGGATTTGTTCACCCTTGTTGATGGCGTTGGCTCCGGACTGCGCAGACAGCGATTCCTCCACGTTGATACCGAACCGCTCGAGATATCTCCTGAGTTGGTTCCTGATACTGACTGCCCGAGTCATCGCCTTGTAATTGAGAAGGTTTTCATGGCAGAATTTTGCTTCCTTGCGCCCCTTGCTCACGAAAGCGTGATAGACATTCAACAGCGTCAGATGGTCTCCTTCCTCAGCAGCAAACTTCCTTCTCGAACTTTCTAGCCGCTTCTTCTCCCCGTCATGTTGGATCCAGATACTACCTCCGAGGCTCGTCATTGCGGCTATAGTGAGAATCTCGCTAAGGCACTGAAAGGAGGACGCCGAAAGCAATGTTTTGGCCATCATGGGCTCGACGGCGAGCTCTGCCATCCTCAGACCCAGAGGCTTGGTCAGCTTGGCATAGTCGTCTAGTGCCCCAAGGGAGTACAACAATTCCAATGCCTTCACCATAAGCTCAGAAGGCGGCGGTGTGAAGAAGTCAAAGCGGAGGACGTTGTCAATGCCCAAAGCTTTAAGTTGCAAAATGAAAGGCGCCAGATTTGTCCGCTGGATTTCCGGCACGTTCGCGTCAGGTAGTGCGAGGTAGTCATCCTCGGTGTAAAGCCGGAAACACTTGCCCGGCTTAGTGCGACCTGCTCTTCCCGCCCTCTGCCTTGCAGAAGCTTTTGATACCGGGGTTGCCGTCAAAGTCTCAATGCTTGTCCTAGGATTGAAAGCACGAAGCTTTACAAAGCCGCAGTCGATGACGTAAACAATGCCCTCGATGGTGACTGATGCCTCGGCAATATTGGTCGAAAAGATGACTTTTCGAGTATTTTCCGCCGCTTCCTCGAACACATACATTTGCTGATCTGCAGGCAGCCCAGCATACAATGGTAGCGGCTGCAGTGCTTGTGCCTCTGGAGCAAGCTGGGCTGCCCGTTCGGCGACCGCCTGCACAGCTGTGTCGATCTCCTCACGGCCTGTCAAGAAGACGAGGATGTCTCCATTTGGTTCCTTTGTATGTATGTTGAGTACCGTCGAGATGGCAAGCTCGAGATAATCTTCTGCGGGCGTTTCGAGGTAGAGCACATCGATAGGATATGTCCTTCCTTCGAGGCTGATGATTTGGCCGACTGGCTGTGCGCCATTCTTCCCCTCGGCGTTTTGATCCTGGTCGGCCGAAAAGAAGCTCAAGAATTCCTCGGCTTGAAGAGTAGCACTGCTGATGATGATGCGTAGCTCAGGTCTGCGCTTGCGGATTTTCTTGAGCAATCCCAGCAGGATGTCGGTGCTGATCGACCGCTCATGCGCCTCATCAACCATGATCACGGAATATCTCGTAAGCAGGGGATCGACAAGCGCCTCGCGTATCAGTAGCCCATCTGTTAGGAATTTTATCCGAGTTGACGCGGACGTGACGTCCTCAAATCGTATGGAGTACCCGACCTCCTTGCCGACTTCACAACCATACTCCTCAGCTACTCTCAGTGCCACTGTCGTAGCAGCCACCCGTCGGGGCTGTATGAGTTAGTATCCCGATGCTCTGTCCGAGAGATGAATAGGACTCTACCGTGTGCTTGACATACCTGGGTCACGGCAACAACTTTGCCATCATTGCACCAGCCCCCTTGCTCGAGGAACTGTGGAATTTGGGTGGTCTTGCCAGAGCCGGTCTGACCAACAACAATAGTGACGGGGAATGTTTCAATCAAGTAGAGTAGCCTCTCGCGGTGCTTTGCTACTGGAAGAAGCGCTGATGGTTTATACAAGGCAGGGATGAATGACGAGCCGATATCAGACTCGGTCATGGTTGCTGCTTTGCGGAAATGTTTGGGCCATTGAATGGCTGTCGAGGACTGGGGAAAAGCTCGACAACGTGCCGCAACAGAGCTTCTCAGCCCCCTCTCATATTATCAATGAATACCGGCAATAGAATTGAACCAATAGACGGGACCTTATAAATTCAAGTCAGAGACTGAGCATGCACGCCTGAACAGCAGCCTCTCTTGTCCGTCATCAATTTCTCAAAAGAATGACAAGGAAGTCAACATCAAAGAGTCGACTTCAAAGAGTCGCCTTTCACGAGAAGGGTTTAGCGCAGTATGTGCCGAGCAAAGATGGTCTGTGCACACAGGTGGACTGCCTGGTGCGTGGGTCTGCTGGCCGGTACCTGACGTCGTTTTTAGGCGTCGATCCATCTCGCCCTGACACAGCTCACATCTTGCATCGTTCTCGCAGCCCAACTTCCATTCTCGACCTGCATCCATCGCCCGGTTTCCGAGAACAATCTGCAACCGCTTCGCCCGGCTGACCTCATCCTGGAAATTGAGACTGCCTTCCAGAAATTTTCTGCGGCACAAGCCATTTTAGGCATCTCGCTGACTCGGTCCATCGAGGGTTCATCAGATTTCCATTTCATTCTCAGTTCCATCTCAAAACAGCAAGTGTCATCTTGCCGTAAATCCACAGAGAGGAGAGGACTTCAGCCAGACATTGGTCCCAGAGAACAACCCGGTCCTCAGAGACACCCATCCTCTTTCTCTCCCCACCAAGGACGTTCTATCACTCCAGGAACCCTGCTGAGATTCCGTGTTTTCCTTTTTCCCTTTCTTCCTTGATCCCTGCCGGCCTAGGCTCATCTGGTAATTCTGGCCACTATGGTAAGCTCATGACGGTTGCCAGCATGGGGAGAGAGAAGAAGGCCGCACCGGGTGCGGCGTCTGGCAGTCACGCCAAAGACAGGCACAAGAAGAAGGCCGTGGCCGACCGGGAATGGAGTCGCCCTTTACCAGCAGGCCTGGATCCCCGCCGTGCCGCACCGCAGATCAAGTCTAAACACCAGTCCTACTTTGAGCTGGTCGAGAACAAAGACAAGAAGAAGAAGCTGGAGTTCAAGGTAGGAGGGCATGATGGTTGTCTGTTTCATCATGTAGTCGTCAACTCACCCAATTTTCCCTTTCAGATCACCGCCGACCAAAACCCACCACCGGGCTTTGAATTTGTACCCATCGGCAATCCAAAATTGACTAGTGCCTGCAAGGAGATCTCAAGAGAACAGGATGCTATGATCTTCATTGTCTCGGTCTGTTCACCAGCTCGCCGCCGCAAAGCTCGAGCCAGAAACTCACACAAGCTACAACCACAGGCCAGCACAAAGACCAACAACCAACTCCTTTCGCACCATCTGAATCGAACCGGCCATCACATTCGGCAGACAATCGTCGAACAAGCTCGGGCCGCCATTGGAGACGACCCGGACACTGTTAACCATCAGGCCGGTGTGCCTGAGCCAATTCCAGAGACCCAGGACGAGATTAACAAGCAGGCTGATCAGGCTATCAGAGATTTGTTCCCTCGCATCCCGAACACAGACAGGCAAATGATTATTGAGCATGCCTTCAAGAAGGTAGGTATCACTATCACTGCCTCCACTTGTGGTATTGGAGGTGTACATGTGTCAACACTAACGTCGGCAGGGAGCGACAATGAATGGAGATCCACTCGTTGGTTTGGCCAAGGACATAACGCTATCTCGGCGTGTTCAGCTTGCTGTTCTGGCACATATCAGGCATAACCATACCAGATATGATGATCTGCTTCGCGAGACCACTTACGTAAATGCCAGGAAAGCCGTTGAGCCACTATGCCTCGATATCATCGTCAAGTGGCGAGGTGATGAAGAAACAGGCCGTGATCAACTGGAAGAGATCCTGCGCGAGGTCATTGTCCTGTCAGACTCGGAGGATGAGGACGACAGTGGGGATGACGATGAGACCGATGACACTGCGATCTCATCAGACTCTATCCAGGAGATCACAGCCAGTACCACTGCGGCGGAGCGCGACGCCCTGCAGCGTACTCTGCGGCATTCACGTCCCAGAATGGAACGGCTGGACAAACAGCCTCGTGGGACTCTGACCCGTCCCCTGCCGAGGGCCTCTGCTCTAGTGCCGCTTGACCTCATAGCTCGCGAAGAGCGAAGGGCAGCTAAGAAGGCCCAACGCGGGTTTAAGAGGTACGAGGCTGTGCGTCAGGCCAGATGGGATGAAGCTAGGACCCGTTTCCATCTGGAAGAGGGTCCTGGACGAAATGACCAAGCACATGCTGCCCAAAGGCACGATATGCACTTACCTGAACCAGGCACGTCGTATCGGCCTGAGATGATGCATTCACTCGGAACAGACAGTACCTCATCTGTTCAGTCTGCGAGAATTCTCCGTGCTGCCAGCCTTGGCCACTCACATCTGCCCTCTCCGTTTCGAAGGAGTGGCCGCGGTGAAGATCAACCTATGCACGCATATCACACTACCTCAGAGGCCAGGGTGCCATATGCTTCGCTTGATGGTCAAATGGCATCAACAAGCTTGGCACAGTCACGGCAGAGTTCCAGATTGACGGTAGGGCCCGAGGATCTGCAAGACTATCTCGTTCCATCTATTGAACCTGCCTCACCGGTTGCGAATAATGATAACGCAACGCCAGTGTTTGTGCGGAGAGTCTCTCCCACCGAAAGCTTTGTCCAGAATAGGCGTCCAGCGGCAGGACACGCGCACAATGCTTCACCGCTCCATAGAACCCCTGGGTTTGACAGGCCACTGGCATATCCTCCGGATGGACGAGAGCAACCGGAATATATCAGGACCTCTTCTGGTATCACCTATCATCCCGCTCTTCCCCGTGAACGCCATGCCTCGGGTGTTGTCCATCAGGGTCAAGAGAGCCCGAGATTCATGGGCAGCAGAGAATCTCCTGGAGGTCGTTCATACGTGCGCGATGGGGCGACCGCCTCCAGACCAATCCTGATTGACGGGAATGCTGAAACTCTTAGGGAGACGCCGCATCGCCCCATTGTCGTCGATGACTGGCCTGATAGACACAGCCGTGTCAGGGTTTTGCAGCCTCCTCCACACCAGAGTCTTCACACTTTCACTAGAGGTAACGATGTTGATGTACACCGCGCGACGCGTCTTCTGCCGGCCGAGAGCATTTTTGTGGCTAGAGAAGCCCCTTTGGCGTCCTCTTTGCGGGAAGTGGCCCGATCTGAGCTTGACCGGCCTCCAGTGGAGTTCATTACACTCAACAGCACCTCTCGAACTGCTGAGGCACTGGATCCTAATCAGATCTACCGGCGCTCACCTCGCCTGCTTCAGGAGAGAGTGGTAAGTCGCGTTGAGTCAGTGGGTGCGCCTCAACCCCCGAGGGAGTACGAAAAGTACGGCAGCCCCATGATGCTTGATCCTCCCCGAGAAGCCCGACCTGCAAGCGTCGGGGGAGCGTAAGTACTGAGATCTCCGCATATCTAATAGGACGTGTTCACTTAGCCTGCCAAAATTAGGTACTTTGACCCTGCTTTACGGCCTCGGTCTCCGGCTCTGCGAGAGGTTCGTTATGATGAACGCGGTCGCGTTCTGATCCCGGTCGACTCGCAACCACCACCGAATCAGCCTTTACCGGCACCAGCACATCATCCGGGCCCGTCCCGAACACGCCGTCATGACGGCGTTTATGGCTTCGAGAGAGATCCTCCCTACCAGTACTAGGACGATTTTTACATGTCCAGCACATGTCATTGCGAGGCGTTCATCAGAAGGGGGTTGCATTACATATCCACTCGGATAGGGGATACGTGATATGAGAGGATTGGCTGCATCAGCGAGGCTTTGATTTCTAGAGGGTCTACTGTGTCGAAGACTCTGGGCATATGGAGTTGCGATACATTAGTGGAAGGTTTCGGCATTCTGAGCATGTGTTTATAGTTTCAATGAGCATTTGGACGTTGGTTGCGAGCCAATATTGGCCGGGTTTGTCCAAATAGTCAGCTCATTACATGTAATCAATTACTGTCGTGAACTGGACAGTACATCAATACACCACCGCAAATAAGCAGCTCCTGAAGGCGCCTATGCATAACAAACGTAACTATCTATTGATTGGTGTTCTGTGTCATGCTTTCCATCATTATTAAGTGCCTACACTTGGAAACACTTGGTAGGGTATCGTAGGACGCAATTTCAGCCTCCTGTATTCCTGAGTTATCAATATAATCTCAGAGGTCTAGGAGGATGCGAAGCTGGTTCTCTAAGAGCAAGAATGAAAAAAAAAAGGAGAGATAAAACCTCCTCATTGAGCTATGCTAGTCATACGTTGAAACAAGTCTCTGCCTACTGTCCATTTCCGTCTCTCTCAGCCCACCGTGGCCTCCTGCCAATCCTTCTTCTCCTCGTCATGCGGCGCCTCGTGCGTCTGCAGCGCGGCGCCCAGCTGCTCATGCAGCCGCTTAGCCGTGGCCGTGACCCGCCGATGCCACGACTCGACCGCCATCTCGGCCGTCGACGGCGGACCGCTCGGCGCCGCCGGCGCCGCGGCGGGAGCCGAAGAGCGCTAGTCCTTCTTCGCCGGCGCCGGCGCAGCCTTGTCGTCGCCCGCCTTGGCGGGCTTCTTGTTGCTGTCGTCGTCGACGAGGCTGTCGGCCATGGCCTCGGCGGCCGCCTGGCGCAGGCGCTCCGAGTCCTCCATCTTGATCTCGCCACCGCCGGCGCCGGCGCCGGCGCTGCCGCTCCTCTTGTCCTTGTTGGCGCCGCCGGCCGCGGCGTCGCGCTCGTCCTCGCTGTCGCCGAGGCTGAAGGGGTCGTTCTCGGCGATGGGGCTCGGCTCCACCGTCGACAGCGGCTGCCACTTGCTGGCCTTGGCGGCGCCTGGCGACGCTGTGCCGCCGCCGGGGACGTTGTCCTTGGGCGGGAGCTTGGGGGAGGCGCCGTAGGCGTCTATGTCCTCGACGTTGTCGCGGAAGGCTACCTTGCGCTCGCTGCCCGGCTTGGGAGACGGTGAGGACGCGGGAGGGCGGAAGAGGTTGGGGTTGGCCAGAGGCCTGTTGGGGTCATGGGCTGGGGCTAAAAAGGGTTAGTCGCTTGGATACCTAGACATAGGGGGTGATCGCGGCAAGGCAGACTTACTTCCGTCCTGATGGAAGCGCATGCCAGCGAAGTCATCGCTCAGCAGTTCCGGGTCAGCGTCGTAGCGGTCATAGTCACCGCTGCGCCTATTCCTGTCGCCGCCCTGTCGGGGGCCCATCTGCGTCCGTTGCTGGCGGCGCTCGTCGTCCTCTTCGGTGAACTCCTCGTCTATCCGCTTCTTCAAGTTGTTGAACCACGAGTTGACCTTGGTCTGGGTCTCGAGGAAGCCCTTCCGCAGGTTCTCTTTGATGACGGGCAGGTCATCGTCAAGGAAGCTGTGCTCCTTGTCGTACATCTCATTGGGCTTGAGTCCCGTCTCCTGTCGAGGTCTCGAGGAGTAGCCACCCGGGCCAGAGCGACTGCTCGTCCTGGCCTCGTAGGATCCGACATTCTCGTACTGTTGTGCCAACTGTCGGGCATACTCCTCGTCGGCCTCAAGTTGTGACTGCGATGTGGAGCTGAGACCATGGGGCTCCGCGACCGGTCGGGGAGGTGGCGGTGGCGGCTGCTCCTCGCGCTGCACCGCGTCTGGGTCGGTCATTTCTAGACGAGCGTCAGTCAACATGGACTCGAAAGATTTCTGTAATATGATAACGGTCGCCACCTACCAAGAAGAGCGTTGAAAGCAGGCTCAACACGTCCGTTGCTCGCTCTGAGCACAGCCTTGATCACCGATTCCTCCACAGTCGGGAAAGCCTCCTTCAAGACTTGCACGTTCTTCTGTTGCTCTGTCATGGGGCGCGGAGGTTTGGGCGGCGCTGTCTCCTCCGTGGCGGCGGGAGCAGCGGTGGTGGTAGTAGAGGTCGTGGTGGTTGAAGGTTTCTGGGTAGACTCGTCACCCAGGGCCGGGGTCTCTTGAACGTCGTCGTCGTCCATCTCTAGCGGTCTGGCTGTGGTGGGAGATTCGGGCACGCTCTCTACGGTCGTGCTTTTGGTCTGTTGGGAGCGGTGGCAATGGTCAGCAAGGTTGGTGATGACGCAGGCAGGCAGCAGAGAAAGAGGCGCGCATGAAGTGGGTTCGTTTGAGGATCGGGGGGCCTCGAAGCTAGGCTGAATGGACTTACATTTTCAGTTGGGACAGACATGGTCGGTACCGAGTTGCGCAGAAGTCAGAAGGTTTATCGCAATAGAAATAATCGGGCAGGAAAAGGTCAAGCCATACAGGCAGCAGCACCAAGATGACGGACGGTCGGGACAATAATCTCGGTTAGGATATAGCTATGATCTGTTGTGTTTCTTTTCCTGGAGGGTTGAGGGGATCCTGCTCCGCAAGTGGGTTACGACAGCTATGACGCCACAAGGGACGCACGCAACTGTTACTCAGTCAGCCCCCAGCAAGCCCCAGCAAGCCCAGCTTCAGCCACACAGATCCACGGGTCGCGCAGCACTCGAGGCTCCACCCGCGCTGTCCTGCCCCGCGGCCGGCCCAAGCAATGACGACGAGCGGATCGCTTCGGTCGCATGCTCGACCGCCACACTCAAACCCGCGCAGATCTAACGCATTGATCGGACCCAGAGTCTTCGGGCAGGGCTGAAAACTTTCAAGAGACATCACACTCCTCTACTTACAACTGCACTCACATCATCCGTGCCCCATGTAGTCGACCACCCGCTGGGCATATCGCAGCCATGGGTAATAACGCGAGCCGGGTCACGGCTCAGGACAGGTTAGCCATTAGACAGTGCAGCTAGCCCCAGCCATGCTCCCACAGAACCCGAGCGCTGACATTGTCGCCTATGCGAGCAGGGCAATCCTAGATCTCAAGATCCAACGCGACAAGCTTCATCAGTACCAGAAGCGAATCACGATATTGACGAACAGAGAAACCGAGATTGCCAAGCAGATGCTGGCACAGGGCGACAAGAAGAGGGCACTCCTGGCACTACGTCGCAAGAAATACCAGGAGTCACTATTGACGAAGACGGACGCGCAGCTTGAGCAGCTCGAAAAGCTCACTTCCAGCGTCGAGTTTGCGCTGATACAGAAGGATGTGGTATTCGGGCTACAGCAAGGCACAAAGGTGCTCCAGGAGATACACCAGGAGATGGGCGGCATAGAGCACGTCGAGAAGCTCATGGGAGACACTGCGGACGCCATTGCGTATCAGAAGGTGAGCCGCCTCCCTTGCTACAGGTTCCTTCCTATGATGCATATTCGTTTCTAACCTCGTCTTTCACATCGACAGGAAGTCAGCGATATGCTTGGAAACAGAATCACAGCAGACGACGAGGACGAGGTGGAGGCGGAGCTCGCCGCCCTCGAGGCCCAAGCCTCCGGGGTATCCGTCCCCGATAATCTGCCCAATGTTCCAAATACGAACCTTCCAGTTCAGGTTCCTGAGCGAGAACAACAGCAAGGGGCTTCGAAACAGCCAGAGCGTCAAGCCATGCTCGCATCCTGATTCGTGTCCTCGTTTGTTCTTTCCTCTCTTACTTTGGCAACGACTGGTGGCAGTCTCGATTGTTTTGACGAACCAAGGAAACATAGCATTTGGGAAAGCAGGGCGTACTTGGATAGAGATTATACTTATGCTTGGATCATTCCTGTTGGTGTGGTATTGTGCTTGAAGTGCTAGGTAGACACCACAGTAGCCGCGGCTGTGGAATGAATTGAATGGTTTGAAAGACTTCAGGACCCGCCCTCATGCAGAGCTATATATACAAGTACATGTACTTGTATGTGTTCGTACTTGGATGCTAGGAGAGGGTCGGGGCACAAGAAAGCCGGGACGGGCTCCAGGCTAAGTTCAAAGGCAAGACAACTGCGGACACTTGTTGTAGTTTATTTGAGAGACAGAAGGCGAGAATCCGTAGCATGTATCCACAACACAGTCGTTTCCGGAGCTGCATTCATTACTGTACGGAGGAGAGTCTACTTTGGTTCTTGGGCCCCGCAATGGCTACGGCGAGAGCTCGGAGCCCGGCACTGCGTGGGAGGTGATGCATGGGCGTGAGCATGGGCTTGCATGCAATCTGCAGGTATCTCGACCATCTGTGATGCCGCTGATGCGGAAGAGAGAGGGATCGGGGAAACAAGCACCATGTCGATTCCATCCGTCTCAGCCTCGTGAGAGCTTGTTGTGAGAGCACATGGGGCGAACTAGACCTGTAATTGGCCGAGTCGAGACAAGCACAATCGCAGCGAGCAGGGATAGCTCCACGCTAAGCAGCTTTGAGCACTATCGATTTGCTCTGTATGGGGGGATTTTTACAGGGGGGGGGGGACCGGGTTCCACAGTGGGCAGTCCGTCCAGCAAAGTACTTTCCCACATGATAGTGCTGTGAGGATACATCGAATGCAGGCATGGTGCTGCAGCTTCCACTACGGAGTAGTTATGGTGGAGCCGCAGTCCACGAGAAGCGACGACGGGCAGGTCTGGTCTGGTCTACTCCGTAGGTATCGAGTCAACTCGACTCCAGTTCCATCCACCCGTCCAGGCGGCGCATCTTTTCGACATCAATGAGGGTGTGTGTGTGTGTATGCCGGCCCGCTTCACCTCTGTGTCCCGACCTTTCTTCACACCGGGCACAAATTCAAAATTCAAAGTTGCTTGAGTGAGAGGGAGAGGCTCATCGTCGTCGAGATCTCATCCCCAGGTTGCAAGACAGGGTTCGCCAGCCAATCACCATCCTACCCTACACGACCAACCATCAACTGCCACCTCTTAAGTGTGCGTCTCCTCTCATCCCGTCCGCATACCTACTTCACTTTTGGACCGTGTGAGACAAACTATCGTCTCTCGGGTCTTTTCGTTTCTGGACGCAACACCACAGTGTGCAGAGCTTCCTTCAGTCTGGAGTCTGGGCCTGTTAGATGTTCAACCTGCAGCTATCACAGACCATACACGTCTCACCGGCCCAGAGCTTGTGACCAGAGCCGCCTTCTGTACTGAGGGGTAGCTACGACATAGCTCCGTCGTAGTGACAGGCTGGATCAGAACCAATCCCCGTCCGTACAAAGCATCCGTTGCCCCTGGATCAACGGTTCTCCCATAACCTAGCTCTGAACGGTCCAAGCTGTATTGTTCCAACACTACCAACTCTGTAAGCGACTCTGTCCCACTGCCGTCATTGCTACGGCGAGCCGACGGGCCTTCGAGATTCAAGGCCCCAACGTTGAAGAGTCGGGGTCTAGCCGCATTGGACGGGATTGAAACAAAGTGCCAGGCGCTGTCAACTCATTCCCGGCGGCACCAGCTTCTTCCCAAACCAGTGGGACTGATCGGCCACACTCTACTCCGTACCCTTGACTGACACGCAAGAAAGCCTCAAGCCCTTATTGGCTACCTCTGCATGGTCTCCCGAGGCACTCGTTAATCTCTCCCGCTACCAAAGACGCCCGTCCTCACCGATCCCGCTCACTGGATCCTTGTACAGCAGTCCACTGCCTTGTACTACCTGCAACCCTTGACCTCCTCCAGGTGGAGGCCCTCGCAATCCCTACCTGCACAACTTGCACTTCTCGACTTGGGCCTGAATGCGACTCAGGCCTTTGACACAGTCACTTACAGCTTGACCCCCACCCAGGCGGTCCTTGCATACAATCCCTTCCGCATCGGGTTCTCCAAGGTATGTGTGACCTGTCTGATGCAGCCATTCTATTACGTTTCTCCAGTTGCATCTTAGCCCTCGCCCTAAGGCCTGGAGACCCAACCGAGGGATATCCACCGCGTCGAATTCTCTTGAATAAGAACTCGTCCGGCGTGGGTTGAGCTCATAGTCGTCGTTATTGTCCTGATGACGACTGTGCCAGTCTCAGGGCTGATCTCGTTGTGGTCTTGCTTTCCTGTCACTCTGCATACCCCACGTGCCAACGCAAGCTCACTCCCTCCATGTTCTAGTACCCCGACCGCGAATCGCCCGTCGCGACGTGGGACCACCCTCACCGGTCTCTATCTGCCTTTTGATACGTTGTTGGGACTCTTCACACCGCCGGAAAGCTTGCCAGCTTTGCATACGACCCCGTCTCAGGTTGTGGCAGTCTCCAGCCCAACTGCTCTCGCAACCTCATCTTCGTGGAGGAAGTCTCTGATCCCCTGGAGCAGTGACTTCCACCCCGCACCATGTAAGCCCCTTGCTGCTTTCTCATTCCTCAACAGACATGCTATGGTCGTGGCTCAGACACTGATTTCTCCTGCAGGAAATTCGGCAAGCAAATACAGAAGCGTCAGCTCGAGGTTCCCGAGTATGCAGCTAGTTTCGTCAACTACAAGGCTCTAAAAAAGGCATGTATCCTCCTCTACCCCCACCCCTTCTGTCGCCTTATGCTCGTCTCGAGATGCGCCCAACCCATGTCGCAACTCGATGATCCAAACAGACCTGCCCGTGCACATGATATATAAAAAGACATATACTGGCGGGTCCCAGGATCGCCAAGCAGCCACCCAGGCCCCCTTGTATCCCTCCCCCAGACTAACACTGCTCTGGACAGCTCATCAAGAAACTATCGGCGACTCCTACCTTGAGCGCGCAGAATGACGTCCATCACCCGGCAACCCATATAGACTCGCAGGCTGCCTTGCAAGCCAACAAGGCCACCTTCTTCTTTCAACTGGTATGTCGCCCTCACCAACTCCAGAGATCCCCCCAGGGGCCGTGCTGACAGTGGAACAGGAACGAGAGTTGGAAAAGGTCAATGCATTCTACCTACAAAAGGAAGCTGAGGTATGCCGTCAATATGTCGAGACTCTACTCGCGAAACAACTAACCGCATATCTAGCTCCGAATCCGGCTCAAGACCCTGCTCGACAAGAAGAAGGTCTTGCAGTCGCGCGGCAATGGCATCTCGCGACGCTCGGCCAAGTTCACCACCCTCCAGGAGGGCTTTCAACAATTTGCCAACGATCTAAACAAGCTGCAACAGTTTGTCGAAATCAACGGCACTGCTTTCTCCAAGATTCTCAAGAAATGGGACAAAACGTCAAAGTCCAAGACGAAAGAGTTGTACCTTTCCAGAGCAGTTGAGGTTCAGCCGTTCTTCAACGCCACAGTCATCAGCGAGTTCTCCGACCAGGCGACTACCAGTCTTCAAGAGCTTGGCGCCTGGGCCGATGGTGACAGTGTCAGTTTTGGCACTCGCCAAGACCACGTCGTAAGCAGCCAGCACCTCCTGGGTACCGATGAGGGCGATGTCGACACTCTCCTTCTGGATACTGTGCTTACTGGGAATCTCGAAAACCTCCGCGATCTTCTCAGCCGGATGCGCGCCGCCGCCGAGCCAGCGGAGAATATGGACGTTTCGCTCATAGATCGTGTCACGAGGACATTCCTGGCATCAATCCATGATGGCCCTAAGGAAGCACTACTTGTCCTCCTTGAGACTGGCCTTGTTGACATTCAGTCGGAAGACGATATCAACGAGAGGAATTGTCTCCATCAATCTACCATCTACGGAAACTCATTCGTTCTGAACCTAGGGCTGGACAAGGGTGTTGCCGTCAACAGGACGGATGTCTACGGGCGCGTGCCCCTACATTACGCGAGCATGCACGGGCGTCTTGATATGTTGGACGCTTTGCTTTCAGGTTAGTTTTTCATCACCTCGGTCCGGTACTACCAGCGAGACAGCGTACTGACTCTATAGCAGTCGATTTGAGCACCATCGATTTGATTGACCACGACAACTTCACACCCCTGATTCACGCAATCATTCACGGCCACCTGGACTGCGTCAAGAGGCTCTTGGAGAAGTCCGCTAGGCTTGATCCTGTATCTGACTCCGACCATGTTCCCCTGAACCTTGCTTGCGAGCATGGCTCCAGTGCCATCGTCGAACTTCTGCTGCAGCATGGCGCTCGGATCCTACCAGATGCGGAGGGTCTCTATCCTCAACATCTTGTTGCTCGTTCTGGCCAAAAACCAGAGCTTCTTTTGCTTTTGAAGCAATTCGGTGCGGATCTCGACCAGATAGACAAGCTATACGGATGGACGCCTTTGGTACATGCGGCGAGCGAGGGCAATGTCCCTTGCCTGCAAGCACTTATCGAAGTTGGCGCGGATCCAAACATCCGAGACGAGAAAGACCTTCCTGCGATGTACTACGCAGCCTGGGAAGGACACCTGGAGTGCATGAGACTTCTGACCCCGTTCAGCAGAGGTTCAAATGCAAGCCCTTCGTTGAGTGCTAGTGCCCCGTCATTATCCGCCATTGGCACCAGCAATGCCCCCGGCCCCATGGCGCTCGATCCAGATGCCATCCCCGTCCTCGAACTACCCCCACCTATCATCCCTCTCCGGCGATATGGACACAACTTTTTGGACACCAAGACAGTTGTGCAGATCAACTTTGAGGAGATCGATGGCGAACAGCCCCTGATCTTCTTCCAGGATGGAAAATACCCTGCTGCCAGACTGACGATATCTTCAAAGGTCTCAGACCTAATCCCCAAGAACATAATCCTCCCCTTCCAGGAGGACACTCGCCTCGTGTCCTTCCAGATCGACAGCCTGGATTCCTTCACCCTCGACTTCGACGTGTTCCCCACGTATGGCGCCAAGATCATTGCAAAGACGGTGGCGCTCCCCAACACCTTCCGGGCTCTGCTGAGCAGCTCTGGCAAATGCTGCCTACCGCTGTTCGACCCTCGACTCCGTGCGATCGGCCAGATTAGCTTCAATACCCAAGTCATCAAGCCATTCCAAGGCAAGCCTCTGGAGATCACGGATTTCGAAACATACTGGAAGGCAACAAGCCAGTTTGACGGCAGCCCCAGCACTTTTGTGTCTGGCTCGAGTCTCTCGGGTGACTTTGTGCGTATCTACGTGCAGCATACAAGCGATGGCATCCCTGTGCTCTGGCCGACATGGACTGTGAACTGCGGCGGTATAGATATGCCCGTGTCCCGTCTGTCCTTTGGGCAGTTCAACACGGTCACCGGGTCCAGCCGCAATGCCGCCGACCTGGCTGCCCTTCCCACGAAGACATTGGACGCCATCACCGATGTGCACCGGATCCTCGCCACATCGGGTATCACTCTGCAGGATGCACTATCCTTACTGCCCGCCGGAATGCACGTCAACATCCAGATACTCTATCCTGCGGCAGATGACGAGAGGCTCCTGGGACTTGGACCCGGCGCGGATCTGAATGCTTTTGTCGATGCTATCCTGACCATTGTGTTCGATCATGCCCGCTCGCAGCGCGCTCATTCGCCCCACGCTGTGAGGTCGATTGTGTTCAGCTCGTACAACCCGAGCCTCTGCACGGCCATCAACTGGAAGCAGCCAAACTTCCCGGTATTCCTTTGCAACGACCTCGGAAGACAAGATCTCATTTCCGCGACGGACTCTGTCCAGAGCAGCGGGCGCAGGACCTCGTCTATCAAGGAAGTGGTGAGGACAGCGGAGAGCAACAACTTCATGGGCCTGATATGTTGCTCTCGCCTGCTGGTAAGTTTTTTGAATTGCTAATGCTGTTTATTGCGATCTTTTTTTTGGTGTCAAGGGACTGACCATGACTCTCTCCCTAGGATATGGTGCCTGCCCTTGTGGATGCGATCAAGTCGCACGGCCTGGCCCTCGTTGTTGACAAGTCTGCGGACAGACAACCAGACTTCAACCCCATGGACGACCCCTTCCCCCGGATGCCCAAGGGTGTCGATGGACTCCTGAAGAGTAACGGCGTCTTGAAGTTCAACCCGTCGATAGACATGTAGAATGCATTTGCTCCTTAGTACTTAATGATTTCTTGTTTTCTCTCGTATTTTCCGAGACTGGGAAGGCGGCTATAGAAAACTATCGGTAGCAGGGGGTTTAGGCCGTCATGGGACGAGGCATGGAGGGGAGTTTGTGCGAGTGCCCTCGTTCCTCGAGATACGATCTGGTTTTATCCTAGAGCTTCTGCTTCATAAAAGGGGAGGCTTGTTATGGGTCAGACAGCGATACCCTAATCATACAGAATAAAAAGTACACATTGCAAGAAAGTCACACTCTTCATCTTGGTCGCTTCATGAGGGATTCGATCCCCAAAACGTGGGCCAGCCCAATGCAATTTCCTTATAGGCATATTCGATCAAGCCACTCTTATGTCACTGTTCGTCTACTGAATGCTGCCCCATCTGGCGTAACGCATATCACCAAGCCCATACCTCAACATAAAAGAGACTACCATGAAAGAGAAAGTATGCAATTATGGGGTATATCACTGTATCATATCATAGACATCATAACAATCCTTGCAAGAGACCGGCCAGCTTGTTCCGGAATCCCCATGCTTTCCTACCCAAAAGCAAGCCAAACCAAACCAGGGAAAAGCAAGACTGGGCTGTCAGGCCATGACCGAGAACGCCATGCTCCCAAGGCCAGACCCCGTTTTCACGCGCCCTTGTACTCGTACCGCAGCGCCGCCAGCTCCCGCTCCGGGTCGACGCCCGCCATGAGCATCTTGGCCACGAGCACGACGGCGTACACGACGCCCGGCAGCAGGCCCAGGCCGGCGGGCCCCAGGGCGCCGCCGGCATCGGACGCCAGGCGCGAGCGGGCGAGCAGGCCCAGCAGCGCGAGGACGGCGCACAGCCCCAGGTTCATGTAGGGCAGCCAGGTCTCGAGGGGGCCGCGGGCCGGGTCCGGCGCCACGGAGAAGCTGGACCGGCGGCGCCGGCGCTGCTGCTGTTGTTGGCGGAGGCTGAAGGCTTGCTGCGACTGCTGCTGTCCGCTGGCGAGGGCGTCGAGGAGGGGGAGACCCGTGGCCGGGGGCGGCAGGGAGTAGAGGAGGTAGCCCGTGGAGGCGAGGGATGTGAGCGCCAGCAGGGTCAGGAGGAGGAGGGGGTGGGACGCGCGCTGGAAGACGGCGACGAGGTAGGGCAGGGAGGCGAGGGCCGGGAGGGCGAGGAGGAGCTGCCGGAAGGAGGCGTTGTGGGATTCGTTCTGGGCTGAGAGCGTGGTTATGAGGACTTCTTGTTCTTTGGTTTGGTGATGAGATGTCAGCATCAGGCCATGCGACAGAGGAGACGAAAGCTTTACCTTCTTCGTCCATGGCCTCGGGGGAGTTTGTTGATGACGAGTCGTCTGGGTAGCGGAACGCTTTGCGCAGACGCGCTGTCGTGCCTTTGATGTCTGCCATGGCGCAGCAATAAGTTATGACTGCTACTGTGATCTACCGGGGCCAGTTGGGTCTCTTCATCTGGGAACGTCGTCAACAAACATGTGGGAGCGAGATCGACAGAGTTGAAGGTCTGGAGGAATGAACAGCCTTGTGATTGTGAGGATTAGCCTTATGACGTTGCACTAAGAGTACTAGCCGTGGTGTAGCTAGGTAGATCAACTGGGACGACCCCTTGTATTGTGCCAGGCGTCTGCCGGACCGACAGACTCTTTGCTTGAGTGCTCTGTCCCCGCCTAGCCAAATTCAGACAGCCCAATGCCGTGAGAGGTCGGCGCATGGTGGGCAGATCCCAAGATTCGATTTCTCCGAAACAGCTTCATTCGCGATCGGGTCTCGGAGCCACACAGACACCAAAATGTTGATTCCAAGGTCTGTCGGAAGGAGAGCCGCCTCTTCCCTCAGGGGCCAGGCAGTCAGAAGAAACATCAATGCCTCGCAGCGGAGGACGCTCGTCGCCCCGCCGCGGCCCGGGAGTGGTCCGCTGATGGAGAGGAGAGCAGACCGAGAGCTTCCCGGTAAGTCTGCTTCTGCTGGCTTGTCCCGAATCTTTTCTTACACTTCGGAGCTGAGCCTGCCCGCTGACTCTCCATACTGCTGCCAGACATCAACGCCAACCGCTTCCACTGGTCGCGCACGCTGCCCGTCTTCGCCGCCCTCATCGGCCTCAGCAGCCTCGCCATCTTCAACTACCAAAAGTCGAGCAGCCCCGTGGTGTCGTCGACGCTGTACGCCCTGCGCACCTCCCCCAGGGCCCGCGAGCTCCTCGGCGACGAGATCTACTTCAAGCAGCAGATCCCCTGGATCAGCGGCGAGATGAACCAGCTGCACGGCCGCATCGACATCAGCTTCGCCGTCAAGGGCACCAAGTCGACGGGCGTCATGCGCTTCGCCAGCCACCGGCCCACGGCCCGGGGCGTCTTCGAGACGACCGAGTGGAGCCTCGAGGCCGAGGACGGCCGCAAGATCGACCTACTCGACGGCGAGGATCCCTTCCGGGCCCTGATGAACGACGGCCTCGACGACTTTGAGGACGACGCGCCGACGACGAGAGGGTTCAGGCAGATGAACAAGACGTAGTAGAATGAAATCACCCTTGCAGGACACAGTGCAGTGTATGTGTGCAGAATGCAAAGCTGGACGGAAACTGGTGTATGGAGTTTTATATATTTGTATGCCGACGTTTCGGAAAAGGGGGATTCTTTTTTTTGGGGCGCTCCCCTCTATATTCATTCTCAAACTTAAAAGAAAGGCCGTCCGTCATACACGGTAATTGTACACTAGGTATTTTATGATACAACATGTATATTACAAAGTCGCAGTCTCCTCTGGCTTGGCTGTCGTATCCAGCATCTCCGCAGCAGCCACCGCTCCCATCGTCGTCCTGGCACTCATGCCGTCCTTCAGCAGCTCGGCTATCCTGCCCTCCTTCCTCATGGCCTTGAGCTCCAGATGCTTGGCCCTCGCGGCCTCGAGCAGCTCCGCCGCGTCGGGGTTCCGCTCGTTGACGAGCTGCAGCGACTTCTCGACAAAGTCCTTGGACGGGTCGGGCTTCTTGACCGCGTCCTGGATCTTGACGAGGGCGCCCTTGGGCCCGGCGACGGCGCCCTTGACGACCACGATGCCCAGCTCGTTGTCGACCATGAGCACGCTGAGGTTCTGCACCGTGACGCGCTCGTTGCCCATGCGGCCGGGCATCTTCTTGCCGGGCATGACGCGGGAGCCGCTGCCCTGGGAGGGGCCCGTCGTGCCGATGGTGCGGTGGTTCTTGGAGTTGCCGTGGCTCGCCTCCTGGCCCTTGAAGCCGTGCTTCTTCATGCCTCCGGCGAAGCCCATGCCGCGGCTGTTGCTGCGCACGTCGACCCACTGCCCGACGTGGAACCAGTCCGGGCGCAGCTCCGCGCCGACGGGCAGCAGCCCTTCCTTGCCGCGGACGCGGAACTCGGCGAGGTGCTGCTTGGGCGCGATGCCCTTGGCCTCGAAGTAGCCGAGCAGCGGCGCCGTGGCCGTGACGGCCCGGCGCTCGCCGCAGCCGACCTGCACGGCCCAGTAGCCGTTGGACGCGCGCGTCCGCGCGGCCACGACCTGCACGCCGTCGAGCTGCAGCACCGTGCAGGGGATGCGCGTGCCGCGGCGCGTGTAGAAGGCCGTCATGCCCTTCTTGGTCGCGAGCAGGCCCGTCCGCAGCGGCGTCGTCTTCTCCTTGCGCCGGAGGGCGGCGGCCGGGCTCGCGGACGGGGCGGGCAGGCCGGCCGTCGCCTGGTTGAAGCGGGTGGGCTTCGCGGCGCGCCGGGGCTGCGTGGACCAGCCGTACTTGACGCCGCGGGCGGTCGTGCGGGAGAGGAAGGGCAGGGTCGTCGGATGGGGCTGGGCCTCGGCGGCGAGCAGGAGGCGGGTGGTCGCCCAGCACCGCGCCGGCAGGCGGGGCGCCATCTTTGTGTGTTTCTTGTGCTGGCTTCTGTTCGGTGCCTTGGTGTTGGCGGGTTGTGGAGGTCACTCCGGGAGGGAGTGTCGAGTTCCCGATCTCCCCTGCCTAGCACTCGGGTGTCGCTGGCAAGAGGGGCTGATCAAAAAGCCCTTCTATATCGTGCAATTGAGGGGGCTGGTGTCTGGTTTGGCTGGATTGGGCGACGATGGACTGATAATCGAGAAGGGGAATCAATGGGATGAGGTCGTCGAGCTATGTGCTAAAATTTCTGGGGTGAGGTGAGTGAGCCGCACGGTGGTTCAGAAAATTTACGGCGGGCGGGGCGAACCAATCTGGCAATTTTGCACTAGGCCGCCTGGCCTGTCTGCGTCTTTGGCTGGGCATTTCCAATAAGACGAACCTTCAGGGAGTGCTTCTTGATTTACATCTTAAGAGAACACATGAACACATGAGAAAGCACCAGGGTTTGTTCAGTTTTGAGACTCTAGCATCTGAATCTGAGCATCGATCCACCCGGAGCTGCAATGGTCTACTATTTCACCTCCAACGTCGTCGATCCCCCGGCGTATGTCTATGTCGGCAAGGACAAGTTTGAGAGTGAGTCGGCTCAGACGATATGGGAATTTCATCAAGCGCAGGACACTGATAGGGGTTGCTTCTGGTCACTTTAGACGAAGAGCTGATTGCTCATGGGTGGGAAGAGGATGTCTGGTGAGTTTGCGACCTTGTTTCCCGACTTTGGGAGACATAACTTACTCAGACTTCAAAACTAGGGTACGATATCTCACCGTACATCATGTGGAGGACCTCTTACTCACCGATGTCTTTCTATCCGATAGTTTCACGTCGACAAACTGTCGAGTGCGCATATCTATCTGAGGCTGAGAGAGGGAGAGACGTGGGACAACATCCCCCAGGAACTCCTCACTGATCTCGGCCAACTCACCAAGGCCAACTCCATCGAGGGTAAGACCATCATGCCGATGATTTCAAGCTCGGAATGCTGGGCCGGGGGCTCATGCCGTCACTCCAGGGAATAAGAAAGACAACATCACAATCATCTATACGCCATGGTCGAACCTGAAGAAAGACGGCAGCATGGCGGTGGGCCAGGTCAGCTTCAAGGACCAACGCAAGGTCAAGAAGATCCTGATAGCGCAGAGGGAGAACCCCATCGTCAACAGGCTGAACAAGACCAAGGTCGAGAAGCACCCGGACCTGAAGCAGGAGAAGGACGACAGGCTCCGGGAGCTCCGGAAACGGGACCAGCAGGCACAGCAGCAGCGCGTACGTATCACCTCGGCTTGAGCATGTCTCCATCAAGGGGGAGGTCTCAAACAGTGCCGCGACTAATCCGTGTTCGTGCAGAAAAAGGAGGAGGCCCGGGTCATGAAGGAGAGGCAGGAGAAGAAGTGGCAAAAGGACCACGCCTATGACGAGCTTTTCAGCGAGGAGAACATGGAGGCCTCGAGCAACCAGAACCGGGGCGACGATTGGGAGGATGACTTCATGTGATAGGTCCTGGTTGTCGAAAGGAGTTAAAAAACGGAAATTCAAGGGATAGATGACTATTTGGAAGGAAGGGAAAACAGCATAGCATGACAACTTTCGCGCACAACACAATCGGAGCCGGATTTAGAGCTTCTTATCTTTGACTGGTATTCATCTCTGCCTGCATTCTTGCACCTCACACTCCCGGCCCCCGTCCGCCGATCCCGCTTCCCATCTGGTTCACGTTCGTGCCCTTGATCTTGTGGTCGCCCGGGTTCGCCGCCGCCTCGTAGAGGATGTTGGTCGGCGCGCGGCCCAGCTGCATCCACTCGCCCTTGAAGCCGAGGTACGACACGCGCGTCGCCTCCTCGTCGTCCTCGCCCTGCACCTGCGCAAAGTTGTCCGGGAAGAAGAGGGCGAGGCGGCGCACGCGCGCAAACTTGGCGCGCTTGACGGGCAGCTCCTGCACCTCCGACGTCTGCGACAGCTCGAACTCCTGGTCGGGCTCCTGGTCCTCGGCCGCCGAGAAGTCGAGGTTCTCGCGGTTCTGGAAGACGCGCAGCGTGGCCGGCGCGCTCGAGGCCGGCGAGGTGCGGACCAGGATCGAGTGCAGCTTGACTTGGCCGGTGAAACTAGTGTCGGTGAATGATTAGTTGGGGTTCCTCTGGGACTTATGAATAGAGAGACCTCCGGATGCACGGTTGTATCGGTCCATTGGGTCACTGTAAGAGGTTCTGGTGGTCCGTGAAACTTACGGAACATTGACGATGAGCTGCTCATCTACATCGCTCACCAACTCGGGCTCCGCGTCGAGCCGCTCTGCCCACGTCTTCTTGACGATAGCCCGGCCCATGCCGTGCGACGTCTCGTTGAGAGTGTGAACCTCGTCAAAGTTGATGTGCTGGTAGAGAGAGAACTGGAGCGCCGGTGTGATGTCGTCCGAGTGGTCGTGCTCGTGATCATGGTCGTGGCCGCCATGCCCCTCATGCTCGTCGTGGCAGTGGTGGGACATGATGGTGATGATGACGGGATCGAAGGTCTAGGTTTATGGGCAACTAGGGAATGAAGCATAAAACCACTTCACGTATATGCTTTCGAATGCGCCGAGTTCCTACGTGTGAGGAGTCTGTATAAGAGTCCCGTTATTGGGCAGGTGTGACCAGTGGGTTCTGAGTGGCGGGAGCTTTGCAGCAGCTAGAGCACTAAAAGCCAGAGAGGCATGGAATGACGATGGTGGGACTAACAGCCACAACGGTACGTTACGTTGATTGAAGCAACTCTTACACAACAAGCACATGCACTCTTTGACATTCAGGGATTGGACAGGTGAAATGGGTTGAGCGAAAATGATATCGAATTCGGCAGCTACTTTCCAAAATCTCCCCAGTTGCCACTACTTGAAACCGCCCACTTTCTTCGCCTTCTGCTTCTTCGGCCGGCCACCGTGACTTCCGCCAAGGGGCTGCGACATGGTCTGTACCGGAGCCAGGGACGACTGGCTCTCAAATGCAGATGGCGCCTGAGACTGGCTAGAATGCGGGATATGAGGTAGCGGCTGTGTCGAGGGCCCGGCCATGTCATCCTCACTTCGCTGCAGGCCGAGTTTCGCCGCCTTCCGACGGCGCCGAGCCTCGTCTTTCCTTCTCTTCTCCAGAGCCTCGTCCAGCAGCGCGTTTCTAGCATTGTCTGCGGACCAAACATACCCAGACGGATCGCTCCCAGGAGACTTTGGCCAGTGAGAGAGGAGGCGCAATTGCCCTTCTTTCCTCGGAGGCACGGACTTGATGGACACGGCATACCTTCGCAGCCGGGTAATCGCCTCGTCTTCTTGGTCACCTGGGGATTCCTTCGGTGTGCCTGGCTCGAGAGGGTCGGATCCGACCGATGAATTCGCAATTGAAGCAGTGTCTATAGGCGTAGGAAGCCGCCCTGGCGGCGATGGGCTCAACTCCATCGCGTCGGAGCTGGTCAATTGAGATCCCTGCGATTCTCTGGGCGGCAAAGGTACTGATGATATCGTAACCCCGGTCTGGGAGAGACACAGAAGAGTTGTTATGTGTGAGAGTAAGGACTGCCTTCGCTGTAAAGCGTGCTCATCCAGAACTCCTTCTGGCAGGCTCTCTGACCACATTACTTCGAGTGCTCTCAAGAGCGACGCTCCGCTCATGATTCGGCCGCCTCTCGAGAGCTCTGCAACCTGCAGATCTTCAAATTCATTCTTGAGATTTTCCAATTGTGCCGTGCAATTATTGCCCATAATTTGAGTCTCGAAATCAGCTGTGAAGTCACCAGCGAGCTCGAGTCTGTGATGATGTCAGTAAATCAGGAAACAAAGCACGAAACGTCCAACTTCTTACAGTGTGTGGAGAGAGATTTGCCGATCGGCTGTGTGTGTGGTTTGAAGGTGATTCTCGAGAAGATCCAAGGGCCCATATCCGCTTGCATGGTTGCTTGGCAGTTCAACCCTTTGGACAGAATGCGCCACACGCTGCGACACCACATCGAGCACTCGTGAAAAGTCCGCCGTCGCAATCTGTGCTTCCTCCTCAACAGTCGTCGTTCCTGGTAGGGGACTCCCAGGTATTGTTTGATCTGGAGGAACGGCGCTCCTCTCATCAAAAGTATCAGAGACCACAAAACTACTCGCAAGATACGAGATCGCTTTGGCGCGCCTGTGGCTTCGACTCGTTGGCCGGTAGCAGTAAGAGGTGCTCTCAATGTCTACCCCGGTTCTCCTTTTGACGGCAAGCAACGCGGAGCTCAGACTGAGCTTCGGACCGAGAAACACTACCTGAAAGAACCGAGCGCCATCTTGACTGTACCTGAGACCTTGCCCGCCGCCGCGAACCTCAGAATTGTAATATAGCGATACAGGCAACAGTTCGATCTGTTGAGGTACTGGATTCACAATGCTCCCCAGCCTGAAGAGGTGATATTGAACACGCGCCGGACAGCCTGTTTTTGGTCCCTCGAGCCACAGCAATGTTGTTAAGCCGTCTCGAGCGGAGTATATCCATGTGAGACAGAGGCCATTCCTCCCAAGATTCGAACCTGACAAGACAGCGATCTTAAGGGTAGAGTCTCCTTGGTCTCGAAGATGTGGGCATGAAAGGAGCACAATGGGTCGGTTTGCTGTGGCGTCCTCGGCCTTGACCCCAGTCAAGACAGGATCACGAGACTCTTTCACAGCAGAGAGGTCTAGCCAGAACACAGTAGACGTTGTAAGAACAAACACCTGAGAGGCATCGAACGGAGACCTGTGCACATCGAGGATTCGATCAGCTTTGTTGTGCCTGGCCATTGTCAGGGCTCTCAGGAACCGCCCGGTCGTCAAGCAGAATAGCTTGACCGTGGTCCGATCAGACAATAGAAGACTCTCACAGCGAGAGGACACATCATCCGGCGAGCCTTGGCCTGTCTCGGAATGGGGGTTACCCAGCGGGCTATCCAGATCTCGCAACCACCGAGATAGTCCTTTCTTGGACCTGACCCAGCATAGTCGGTACGAATCCCCTTGGCCAGACCCGAACAAGACAGAGTTCTCCATCAAACCGTTGATGAACTGGCCACAGAACCGGCGTAACGGGTATAGCTTTCTGTGGCCATCGCTTCTCGTTTCCATGATATCCCAGACTGTCCAGTTTCCGCATTCATCAATGACTGCGATCTGCGGAGGATTGGAGTCTGCTCCCGGGTTGAAGGCCACATCGCGATGAGAGATGCCTCCCGTTTTCTCCCCGCTGAGATTGATGACAGGCTTGATCGAGATGTAAGGCAAACTAGTTGCTGCAAGAGAGCACGCATCACTACTGCATGAGATCGGCAACCGCCCAAGCTCCGGGGCAAAGATCGTTGTTCGGGTGGACTTCTGGGCCAGGAGCCAGCGAGTGGGACTGTAACGCTTGCGGCTAGAGACAAACTTGAGTTGATGGTAAGGGACGCTGTCTCCACACAAATGGCCTTCCTCGGTCTCCTGACCTGATACCAGGCCCAAGGAGACGCTCTCGCCTTTCTCCCACTGCCAGTTTTCAGCCTGCAATTTGACAACACGAAGTATGTGGCCGGACTGCCCGACAGCCATCGCCAGAGCAGGGTGGCCTGTTGAACGAGAGGGATCAGTAGCATCAGTGATCTCTCCCACAGTCAGGAGAGACAAAGGTCGTTCCTGATCATCCGGGGTGCTGGGATGTTTGAGCTCATCGGCGATCGATGAATCGACGCCTAGGGTTCCCATAAAAGCTTGCGGCTGGCCTTTCAGCAGCCAGCTTCGATGCGGACGACGCTCTCTTTTCAAGAATGACCTCGTTTCTGAGGCAACACCTGTTGACGGAAACCATTCAGCAGTCTTGGTGACCTGCTGAAGCACAGTATCTTCTAAACATAGTCAATTAGCGGATAGGAAACCCGGAGTATACACGCCCGTCTTCTTACCTTCTGCGATACTTCGGTTGGACGAGAGGTCGCCCACGTCAGCCCCGTCCACATCAATTTCTAGGGGGGTATAAGTTATGCGGCCTGGATGGCCAAAGACCAGGTCATTCATGCGATGGTCGCCGATAAGCTCGACGGCCCGCTGGCCTGGGCTCTGGGCCCGGTGCTTCCTGTCAGCCATTTGACACGGGTCTATAGACTTGGCTAAGCGATGAAGGCGTGGTTTTCATCGTCTCGACGGATGAGAGTGCTGGACCGCGGTTGAGACTCTTGCGGCTCTTGCGGCAGAGGAAGCGAGCAGAGTCAAGCAAGTAGTTCCGATTGCAGGTGGCGTATACAACTTTAAGGCTCGCAAGTTGCGCCCTTGAGAGGAGAAGAATATCCGACACGGCAGAGAGTCTGAGGAAGTCGGGGTACGATGCTTAGACGAGGTCTCGATTCATCAAGACGCGGTTGCGCTAACTTTTGGCTGAGGCCCACATTTGTGCAAACAGAACTAACGTACAGTAGAAAAGCTCGGGCCACCGACGTAGCTTCTCTGTGATTTCCGGGACGACCAGACCCAGAAGGGAAATAGTAAACAAGGAAAAGGTGCCTCCACCCAAAAGACAAGAAACACCATCCATTCATTCTGTTGCTCTTCTAAAAACAGATACTCTCTATTGCACGCAGGATTGTCGTCAGTAATACACACAAAGACGAGGAACACTACGCAATCTTGAGCACCGTCGGACCTACTCCATCATGGCTACCGCATTCGAACCTTCGCTCTCCACCAGCCGCCAGACACTGACGCCCATGGGGCCGTCTGTCGCGGACCAGCTACCCAGCATCAACTTCGGCTTCGACGAGCTGCGCGATCGCATGGCCAAGTTCACCGCCAAATTTGATGCCTTTATCGAGCAGGGCCGCAAGCGCGTCCTCGAGGAGCGCAACCAGTTCCGCATGAATGTCGCCGAGCTTCAAGGTACGCCACAAGCCGCATCGCATCGCATCGCATCGCACGAATGCAAACGCAATCCCACCAGCCGCCGCTTCGTTGTCGCATATCTTCCCCCCCCTACGCAACACCCCATACGATGAAGAAGAGCTTACTAACACGCAATCCCTCCCCCCAACGACAGAGGACCAGCGCATGAAGAAGAAGGACATCGAGATCCTGCAGGTCAAGACCAACGCGCACCAGCACACGATCGCCAAGGAGGCCGCCGAGACGCGCGAGATGCAGGCCGCCATCGCCGCGCTCTCGGAGCAGCGCGACCGGCAGGAGGTCGCGCGCGACGCCCTGCGGCAGCAGATCGCCGACACGCAGCGCGACATCGACGCGCGGCTCGCCGCGCAGCGCGCGCGCCAGGCGCAGCTCGAGGCGCAGAGCCGCTTCAACGTGCCCGAGCTCGACTTCTGGGTCACGAGCCTGTGCCTGCGCATCGAGGGCGCCGGCCGCGACGACCACCTGCGCTTCGTCTACACGCACGTCGACGAGCGCGACTGGGAGCGCGAGGCCTGGTTCGAGCTGAGCACGGCGAGCCGCGACTACGACGTGCGCCACTGCCGGCCCAAGCTCGAGCGCGAGAAGATTGAGCGCGTGCTGGACCGGGTCAACGAGTCGAGGGAGCTGGTTGGCCTGCTCAAGGGCATGCGGGAGCTCTTTGTCGAGGCCATGAAGTCATAGTGTTAATCTGATCTGTATAAACATCCTACGACGAAGATACCAAGTAATTTCACCTGCATGTTTCACCACTTCATAGGTTTAGGGATGACTACCTATCGGAACAGTGGCGCGATGTCCTTGTATTTGTAGTGATATATAGGTAATTGTAGTGATATATAATCTTGGGCTTCAATCACTCAGTCCATCGTGTATGCGGCTCCGTGCTCTAATCTCACACTTTAGAGACGGTACGCGCTAAGCCCCACCACAACCACGGGCTGTACCTAGTCAATCGCACGCGCCTCTGGTCGTCCCCCTCTTGATCTCGACTTCTCGACCTCTCATACCAGCCAACCATCCATACCTAATACCGTCAAGCACATCAGACATCTCCGCTCAGAACTTCCTTACCAACACCTCTCAAGGAGACGAAAAAGGCCATGCCGCCACAGAGCGAAAAGCAGGCGGCGGCCCAGGAAGCCGTCGACATCCTGCACGAGATCTCCACCATCCTAGTGAGTTGAGCCCCCCGTCCTCCCGTCTCATATGAGCGAGCCAAAACCCCTGCTGACCAACTTGTGTGTGCGTGCGCGCGCTTGCTCAGAACTGCCACATTGACCGCAGGACGCTGTCGATATGCATCTCCATGATTGAGAACGGCGTCAACCCGGAGGCCCTAGCCGTAAGCAGTCGCTTTCTCTTCATGAACCCCCCGTCGTCTCCCGCTTGTTTCTACCTGCGCGGCCCCAGATAGGGAGAGATCCGTCTGTACTAATAAAGCCCTTGTTCTGCAGAACGTGGTGAAGGAACTGCGCAAGGAAGGCCAGCAGGTAGAGGCACAGATCGCGTCACGTCATCAGCAGAGATGAGACGATGCACTAGGTGGACGCCGGAGCAGAGCAGGCGCGGACGCGCCGACCACAGATGCGTGCGACTGGGGTTCTCACCTCATGGCAGACGCCTCTTCACCACTTACGGTCCTGACTCGGCCATGAATGAGGCAACTTGGTGTGTGTATGACGCCACCGACATTTGGGTACGCCTGGGAATGTACAGGAAAGGGACCTAATCGGCCTTCCGGCCTTGCGGTGTGCGAATTGCCGCATATATCCAGGATGATAGTCCGAGTAATAAGCCTGGCTTGGAGACATGTCGAGTGATGGCTCAGCAAAGGGTTGGCAAATGCCCATGAGCAAGGATTAGGGCACAAGACCAAACAAGTGCATGTATGTTCTACTGGGCTTTTATTTACAAAAACACAATGCAAGCCATTTGTCCTTGTCCCAGACGAGAATGAGTTCGCTACTATAAACCGCTGATGCCGACCCTTAGTCAAAAAACGCCCCAAAAAGATCCCGTCGGCCATGAGTTAAACCCCTATACCTAGTCTTGTCAATCATAATTCATAGTTTGAGGCCAGCTACCTAGCCTTCATTGCTGCGGCCATTGTAGATCAGCCTCCGGTTCATCGGTGACCAAAGAGCATGATCTCCTCCTCTTCATCGTCGTCGTCATCTTCTTCTTCCTCGAGATCATCCTCGCACTCATCAGAGTCGGTCTCCTCGTCCGAATCCCCGTGATCGACATTTTCGGCCGATGTCATACTACGATGCTCGTCCCGGCCCCAGAAGTCTAAAATGGAGCCTTCCCCGTCCGACTCATCAGTAGTGAGCATGTGCTCGGGGAACCCGTTGGTGGCAGTGGGTGACAATGACCGTGCGAACCGTTCTGGTGAGATATCCGACGGCAGGCCTTGAAAGTCTACATGAGACCCAAGGGAGCCACCGGGTCGATGCGACACATGCTGATGAGGCAACGACGGCCCATCACGAACCACCCTCGCTCGAGTGTCATTGGCAGCGTTCGTCGCTTGGAGTGAAGCATCTCCGCTCGAGGTATTATCTCCTTCTGCGGCCTCCGCAGCTCCTTTAGGAGCATTGACGAGCTGCATCTGGACCGTGTTGTAGGACAGGCAGACTTCGCATTTCAGGCCACCCCAGTGGTATTTGGTCGTGGTCTTTGCCTCGCAGTCGTTGCAAAGAATGACGGCTCGTGTCTGTTGCCACTCAGGGGGCATCGGCTGCTCTTCCAAGTGCTTGTCCAGCCTACGAAACTGGCTTTCCATATTTTGAACGCTCTTGCTACAGATCGGGCATTTGTAAGCCGTCTGGATGTACTGCTTGTGACAGTCGCTGTGGATCATATGTCCACACTTCATCGAGAGAACCATCTTGTGCGAGGTAAAGAGATATTCGCCGCATATTGGGCAGTCACAGTCCATGAGGCCCTCCCTACAACGATGCGATGTCTCCAGGGCGATAGCGATGCACGAGCCACATTTCTGTTGAGAAGGTCAGCCTCTGAACACACATATTGTCGTCGAGGCTGAGGGAAGCGCTTACCTTGCAGTGGAAGAAGTCCTTGCCCAGTCCTTCACCAACTCTGCAGATCCCACAATCATTGCAATGGTAAATGCTCTTGCCGGGGTCGTCATTCCACAGTTTGCAAATGCCGCAGTAATAGCACGCCGCAGACTCTCCGCACTTTACGCACACGTCTGAAGCCTTTTGGGCGTGCCCGCAGAGCATGCAGAGCATATTCCTCGTCTCCCTCCTCGGCAGCACATGATCCTCGGCTTCGTTGTGGCACAGGCGGCAGGTGTACCAACGTGAACAAGTAAAGCATTGCAGCTTGACATTCCGCCGATAATGTTCACAGCCGAGCAACTTTGTCCCTTCCTCCAGGTCCAGAGAATTGCCGAGGTAGTCGACAGACTTGCCAGTGAGTGGCACATAAGTAGGCCGGAGATCCTCTTCGGTGAGCGTAAACCTCTGGGCAGCACTGCCCTCGCCAAGGGCGCTGTGCCAGAACCTCAGCGATTCCAAGGGCCGCGTCGGGGTCACCTTCTCGAAGACTGTGGGGCTTGACGGCGTCTCACTCCGCGGTGGGAGATGGGCGTTGCTGCCGGCTTGTGACTTGTTGTACCCCTCCATAAGAAGTCCATGGATGAGACGAGCTTTCTCCTCGGGTACTAGTTGTTGCGACTGCACTTCCAATATTCGTCGCCGCAATGCTTTCATCCCGTCATCTTCTGGTAACTCCGCCATGCCATACATTGACCTTGGTAAAGAGCTTGACAGGAGCTGGGTATCATCCTCTGGGGTGCCGAGTCTGTCCGGTACGACATCTCCCGCGATCGTCACAGATCGCATAGCAGCCATGGTGGCAACTGGTCGCGCTGGCGGTGCGGACGTGGACATTGGGACGTCGGAAGAGAGGCCATCTCGCCTCTCGGGCGATGCAGTTAAATATAGGGAAGCGACTCGAGTGTGCCGAGCCATGTTGGGGTTCGTCGAAGCGGCGATTGGCAAGGTCAAGCTTCGGGCGGGATCGATCTCGTCAATTTCGCTATCGTCGCTTATCCCCAAGCCCCTCGTTGGGCTCCTCAATTGCGCCCTCATGTCGAGACTGCGCTGTCCGAAAGATCGGCTGGTCGGCAGCGGACTCGGAGGTGGCGAAGCTGCTGGAGAGGCGGCGTGCTTGTCGCAGAACAGGCTCGATGATGAAGTTGGAAACTAGTGATGGCATCGGGAATCATTTGCTGCAGGTGTAAGGGCCAATCGGCAACTACCCTCCAAGAAGAAAAGGTAACTTTTTGGGGGTCGTCTTTTCGTTGCAAGTCAAAGGAGAGGTGTGCCACCACAGACATTCGCGTGATCGTGCGTTATGTCATGGTATGGGCTGCTTTGGAGGATTTCTACAGCACGTGCGTCCCGCTAATCAGTCCACCAGATTGCGGGGTACCACTGCACTGGATCTCGGAACTCCAGGGTCTAGACTGTTGGTTTTTTTTGTCTTTTGCTTCTCTGTTGACAAGAAAAGCCTCGATCAAAGCTTCATACTCGAGTCTGAGAGCGCGAATTCCCACCGAAATGCTAGAGCCTTGTGAGAAGCTTAGACAAGACATAAAGTCCTGGGACGCAGTCCGTGTTGAGAATGCATGGTGACATTCTGAGTTCAGTTAAGCCAATGAGGGAGCCGGTCCAGCCAAGCCCGGAAAAGGAAGGTCAGATTGAACTGGAATCCTCGGTCAAGGAAACCAATCTTGTACAGATGGATCTTCAAATTATGGAAAACAAATTAGCATGAGCAAATAAGTATTCTTATCTTTGAGGATTTGACTCCTTGGCCCAGCCGGCAAAGCCAAAGCGGGACCGGGATTGCAGAGGCCGGCCCGGTGTCAAAAGTCGGACTGGCACCGCCGCCGGATCAAAGCCCCGTGGGTCTCCGTTTTCAGTCTAGTCCACATCAAATCTTGTCACTACATCTCCACTACGGAGTATGCTGTAGATAAGAGTGCGCCCTCTCAGGACACGCCGTCCTTATAAACAGGCAAACCTGCACATAACATACTGGCTTTCGCAGCGCAGTATTTTGCTGCCGCCGAGACCTTCCAGTCATTTATTACAGACCACAGAGTCGTGGGCGCGCGGACTCATACTTCGACACACAATGGCGCCGTCAGCGATCTCGGACACGAGCGCAGCGGGACACTCCGTCCAAGAGATCCCCACGATAAACGGGAAAGAGAAGACGCCCTTGGAGGCCATATCGCAGGGCGATGTCCTCCCTGGTAAGTCCAGCAGCACCGCACGCAGCGTCAAACCGGCCGTGTCCATATGACATACATATATTGAACAAACATGGCAGGCATTCCTACTTTCCCCACCTACGCGGCCGAGCGGCGGCACATCCTCATCCACATGGCCGCGACGTTCCGGCACTGGGCGCGCCAGGGCTTCTGCGAGGGCCAGTCGGGCCACATCTCGGTCCGCGACCCGGAGTTCCCGGGCCTCATGTGGATGAACCCGCTGAGCCGGCACTTCGGCATGCTGCGCGCGGGCGACATGCTGGCCGTCGAGATCGCGACGGGCCGCATCGCCGCCGGCAACCCCAACCCGGCGACGGGCCTGCGCACCGCCAACGCGGCCGGGTACTGGATCCACTCGGCCGTGCACAACGCCCGCCCGGACATCCACGCCGTCTGCCACGCGCACACCCGCGCCGGCCGCGCGTGGTCCGTCTTCGCCCGCCCGCTCGACATGATCACGCAGGACGTCTGCACCCTGCACGACCGACACGCCGTCTACAGCGCCTACGGCGGCATCGTCTTCGCCGCCGACGAGGGCAAGCGCATCGCCGCCGCGCTGGGCGCCCGCAACAAGGCCGCCATCCTCATGAACCACGGCCTGATCACGGTCGGCGAGACGGTGGACGAGGCCGGCTTCCTCTTCGGTCTCATGGACCGCTCATGCGAGATCCAACTGCAGGTCGAGGCGGCGTGTGCGTCTGGCAACCTGGAGAAGCAGATCATCAGCGACGAGGAGGCGGCCTACAACTGCAAGATGGCGAACGAGGCCAATGTGCTCTACCGCGAGGCACAGGGTGATATCGAGTACGAGATAGAGGCAGCGGGCGGAGAGGCCGCCATCGCGAAGGGCTTCGAGACCCTTCAGATCGACTCTCAAAAGGCTTGAGCTGGTTATGACAACATATTGCGCACAAAAGCTACCATTGCATATAGACTTATTCGTTAGTGGCAAGACATCATATTCACCGGGCCCAATGTGTCAAACCCTTGAGCAAAGTTAACGCCATGGTGCTTCTAGACCTCTTCCCCAGGGAACATTAGGTTCAGACTAAACATGCCTGATGACAGAAGGCGGGACCAAATATCGTTGGACGACCGCCCGGCACAGGTGAATGACCATCAATCTCGAGACCAAACGTGCTCCAGCAACACACTGACGCAACTTGTGGATATGGAACGATGTGTTCTTTTCCCGGTGGAATGACCCAAGGTTTTCTCGGCAGGCGAAAATTTGCACGGTCACGAAGCAAGCCCGTCGATTCGCATCGTACGCAACGCAACCGGCGGACCCGGGTCCCACTGAGGGAGTCACAGTCATACCCTTTTTTTCATGGAAAGGGGGTAGACCTAGTGACGGTAACTTCCAGCCACTTTCTCACGAGGCGGACGCCCGGGTGGTGTGGGAAAAGTAAAGCGGGCTGGCAACCTATGTCAGCCCATCCTTGGCGCAACTCAATTAACCTCGAACAAGGCGGGAAGGACCTGCTTGTATGCGACGGCATGCGGGAAGGCCTTTCGAACATCTCGCTTGTCCATGTTGCTGTTTATTGTTGGGAAAGGGTTCTCCATTGTTTCCTGTCCAGCGAAAAAGTCGTCAGGGGGCTTGGCGGTGTGCAACACGGGTCAGTCAAGGCCAGAGACCGGCTCACCCCTCGTGCCACTCCTGCACAATCGCGATGACCTTCTCTCAGACTGTCTCGAGAGCGGCTCAAAGAGATATCTGAAGCATCTGTCCAAGCAACGGAGATACGCGGTCGACTTTGGGAGCACAAGCAAAGGAGGATGAGACAGTGCCACTCCTGGACCGTCAAAGCCTCCTCTCTCGTGCCAATATTGCCAGGCCCAAATATCCCGTAGTACCGGGAGCAATCCATTACCGAACTTTTCTTCCCACTGTTGCACATTCCTTTCCATTGGGTCCTAGCGATGACGGGTTGGCGAAACATGGCGCCTGTCTGTGGATTGTGGCTCCCTGGGCAAGGTGAGACCCGAGAAGACGCCCATGCGGATGTTCATTCCTCCTCCTACGCCTCATCTCCACTTGAAATTGTCAACTAAGGGTCGGATCAATCAAATTCTATTCGTTGAGGTGTCTAATTCTAAGGGAGAAAAGGGGAAGGCCGCTAGGTGGCCGCCGGCCCTTAGGGGTGGCCCTAAAGGGCGATATAGTTAGGCAGAGATAGCTCCATATACTAAATTTGCCCTGGGGTTGTCCTTAGTAGACCAGCCCCTTCTGATACATCTCTCTAGATCTCTAGAATCTAGGATTCTAGGAGATCTAAAGCTATTTCTATATTCTAAATAGGAAATTAATAATTTTACTTAATATTAAAAACTAATTAGCTACTTTTAGTCTTATTAACTATATATTAGATATTAATATAGATATATATTAAATAGAAGGTTTTATAGAGACTACCTCTTCTTATTATTAATTTTTATATCTTTCTTATATATCTTAATATATTCTATATATATTTAAATAACTTCTATCTTTTCTAATAATTAATCTAATAATTTAGTAATTATAATATTTATCTTTTTAAGTAGAAGATTTAAATTTAAATCTTAATTAGATCTTTAAATTAGATTTTAAATATCTTTAAGCTTTAAGATATAATTTTAAATAGTTTTAACTAGGATATTTCTTAGATTTATTAGCTTCTTATTTAGATTAGTTAGATTAAAAGATTCTATAGATTTAATTCTTATAAAGGATATTAATCTTTTTACTCTTCTTTTAAATAATAATAAAAAAAGATATATAAGAAATAATAATATAGTACTTTCTATAAGTAATTCTAATAATTTAAGAATAGAATATCTATCTTCTTTAATAGAAGGCTTAGATTTAACTTTTAATTAAATTCTTTAATAAAATTCTTAATATCTTTAGATTTAAGAAGTTTATTATTTTTATTTAATATAATTAAAGATTATTAGTCTTTTTATTAGTTCTAATTATCTCTTAAAATAATAATAAGATAAGAATAAAGATTTAATTACTTAATAAACTTTTAATACTTATTAATTAAAAGAATCTTAATTAGCCTATTAATTAATATCTAATTAATAGCTAGATATTCTATTTCTATTATCTTCTTTTAGATCTCTTACTAAACTTAATAATAATAGATATTAATATATCTTAAAGCTATCTTAAGCTATAGATTCTTACTTTTAACTAAATAAATAATTTAATAATTATTATAATAGATAATAAACTAATTTAATAATTATAATATTATCTTCTTAAAGAACTATATAATAATAATAGTCTCTTAAAAGAAGCTTATAAGAATAAGTAACTCTACTTTAATAAATAAGATAGTAATAATATTTTACTTAATTACTTTTTAATTAATAATACTTTTAAATAGTATTATAAGATATCTTTAAAAGGACTTTTAATTCTTTAAATTATCTTTAAATAAAGTATTAATATAGACTTTAAGTAAGAGATTTAGGTTATTTCTATTAAATAGAATATCTAGCTTCTTTATTCTTAAGAGGTAATAGATAATTCTATCTATCTTCTTTATTACTTTAAATAGAGGGTTTATAAGAAAGTAGATAAGACTAATAATTACTTTAATAATATCTAATCTTATAGTAATATTAAAATAGATTAGAGATTCTATCTTTTATTAATAGATATAAATCTTTAATAAGATTATTTACTTATCTAGCTTTATAATCTTCTTAATTAATATAAAGATAGCTAGCTCTTTAATTATATTATTAAGCTTATATTTAATAATAAGATTAATAATCTTATCTTTTTATAAGATTTAGATTTAGCTTTAATTAATACTTTAAATAATCTTTATTTCTAAGAACTATTTAATATCCTCTAAGTTTCTTATTTTAAATTAATAGGTTAAGACCTCTTTAAAGATCTCTTCTTTAGCTTTATCCTTCTTATAATAAAGATAGATAATATTATTAATATAGAAGAATATTAAAATAAAGTTATTATAGAAGAGATATAACTCTTTAATTAATTAGATAAATCCTATTTTAATAAGAACTATTAAGAGAAGCTTCTATTATAATAATAATAATATCTATAGATTATATAATACTTTAATTAAATAAGTGATTTTATTAATCTATTTAAAGTATAGTAAAAGTTTTATAAATATCTTCTTATTAAGATAGATATTAATAAAAATATTAATTATATCTAACTACTTTATCTTAAGCTTAAATCTTATAGTAATAGCTATAAGAATTTAGAAAGACCTTCTTATTAATATAATAATATAGGTATTCTAATTATTTAATAGCTATTAATCTTCTTAAATATAGATTCTAGTCTTAAATCTTTTAATATACTCTTTATTATTAAACTTATAAATAAATACCTACTTTAATAATATAACTATCTAGCTCTTAGCTTTATAATAATCTATTATCTTTAATATCCTATTATCTTAAATATTCTTAACCTCCTTTTATATAGTCTTAAGCTAGTATTAGTTATAGAGGCTATTAATAATCTTTTTAATATTTCTTAGCTTTAGTAATAGGTTATTTTAATATAGTTAAAGTAGTTATTAAGGCTCTTATTTAATAGAAACTACTTTAACTTAGAAATTAGTATAGATTATATTAATATTATAATAGTCCTTTAGAATTATCTTATTAACTACTTATTATTATCTTCTAAAAAGCTTCTCTTACTCTCTTAACTATTATATATAGTTTATTAGCTTATAATTTTAAGCTAATTATCTAATTAGTATAGAACTTAAGAAATCTTTCTAAAAATTTTCTAATACCTTTAGAATATTATTCTCTTTCTTTAATAAAGTTTCTAGAGTTATTAAACTAGAGATTATAGATTTAAAGCTCTTTATTAGTTTTATTATAACTAATTCTTAGACTAGCTCTTTATTTTAATAAGAAGTTAGATAGATAATAATTATCTCTTTAAGTCTCTCTTATACTAGACTAGTCTTTTTAATTATTTTAGCCTATTAAGACTAATCTTTCTCTCTAATAACTTTAAATAGTCTATCTATTAGACTAGAGAGGCTAGTAATCTTATTATTAACCTCTTTAGGCTCTAGCTCTCTCTCTACTAATTTTAATAGCTTATAGATCTCTATTAATAATATAAATATAGCTAATCTCTCTTTAGATCTATTATAATTCTTCTTTTTAAAAAAGAATCCTTCTTTAAAGGTTATATCTCTTAATAGAATAATCTTCCTCTTCTTAGAGATCTAGATCTACTAGATATTTATATCTTTATAGCTAATAAGATATCTAATCTTAATATAAGGTTAATATTTAGCCTTAGTTAATATTATAATATTATAGTATTTATTTTTAAGATAATATATCTTTAAATTATACTCTTTAATATAGCTAAGATTTAATTAATTTAAGTTACTTAAGATTTAATATCTATTCTTCTAATATTATTATCTAATAGTCTCTTCTAGTAACTTCTAATTATTAACTTAATAAGAGAATTTATTATAAAGATAGGTTATTATTCTATAGATCTTACTAGCTAGATTAGTTAGTAGATTAATATTAAATAATATTATATTAGTCTTTATTTATATTATCTCTTTAGATTATTTAGTATAGCTATTAGATTAGTATATATATATTAATAATAGTTTCTATATAATTTCTTTATATTATTTCTACTTCTTAATAATATTAATATTAAGAGCTAGTTTATTATTATTATAATCTTATTAGATCTAGAGATCTTATTACTAATCTATTAGATTATAGTAATTATAAAGAGTTTTAAGAAGAGTATACTTCTTCTTATCTAATAAAGGGTATATAACTTTTAAGTTTAAGAATTTATCTTTAATAATTAAAGCTATTATTAAACTATTAAGACAGTTTAATATTATA